ACACTCTCTTGGAACAGGGTAAGTATACTACACTCTCTTTGGAACAGGGTAAGTATACTACACTCTCTTTGGAACAGGGTAAGTATACTACACTCTCTTTGGAACAGGGTAAGTATACTACACTCTCTTTGGAACAGGGTAAGTATACTACACTCTCTTTGGAACAGGGTAAGTATACTACACTCTCTTTGGAACAGGGTAAGTATACTACACTCTCTTTGGAACAGGGTAAGTATACTACACTCTCTTTGGAACAGGGTAAGTATACTACACTCTCTTTGGAACAGGGGTAAGTATACTACACTCTCTTTGGAACAGGGTAAGTATACTACACTCTCTTTGGAACAGGGTAAGTATACTACACTCTCTTTGGAACAGGGTAAGTATACTACACTCTCTTTGGAACAGGGTAAGTATACTACACTCTCTTTGGAACAGGGTAAGTATACTACACTCTCTTTGGAACAGGGTAAGTATACTACACTCTCTTTGGAACAGGGTAAGTATACTACACTCTCTTTGGAACAGGGTAAGTATACTACACTCTCTTTGGAACAGGGTAAGTATACTACACTCTCTTTGGAACAGGGTAAGTATACTACACTCTCTTTGGAACAGGGTAAGTATACTACACTCTCTTTGGAACAGGGTAAGTATACTACACTCTCTTTGGAACAGGGTAAGTATACTACACTCTCTTTGGAACAGGGTAAGTATACTACACTCTCTTTGGAACAGGGTAAGTATACTACACTCTCTTTGGAACAGGGTAAGTATACTACACTCTCTTTGGAACAGGGTAAGTATACTACACTCTCTTTGGAACAGGGTAAGTATACTACACTCTCTTTGGAACAGGGTAAGTATACTACACTCTCTTTGGAACAGGGTAAGTATACTACACTCTCTTTGGAACAGGGTAAGTATACTACACTCTCTTTGGAACAGGGTAAGTATACTACACTCTCTTTGGAACAGGGTAAGTATACTACACTCTCTTTGGAACAGGGTAAGTATACTACACTCTCTTTGGAACAGGGTAAGTATACTACACTCTCTTTGGAACAGGGTAAGTATACTACACTCTCTTTGGAACAGGGTAAGTTACTACACTCTCTTTGGAACAGGGTAAGTATACTACACTCTCTTTGGAACAGGGTAAGTATACTACACTCTCTTTGGAACAGGGTAAGTATACTACACTCTCTTTGGAACAGGGTAAGTATACTACACTCTCTTTGGAACAGGGTAAGTATACTACACTCTCTTTGGAACAGGGTAAGTATACTACACCTCTTTGGAACAGGGTAAGATTACATACACATCCTTTGGAACAGGGTAGAAGAAGAATGCATAGTTTGGAGAATGTCTACCTTCAGCTCTTTGTTGTCCTCTTCCACTGCCTTTATCCTCTCCTTCAGCTCCTCCATGTCCTTCTTGATTGAGTTGTGTTCCTGTTTCAGCCCAACTCCCTCCTCACCTCCTCCCCCCTCCTTCTCCTCCCCACCTCCCTCCCTCACCCCTTCCTCCATCTTCCCCTCCTCCACTACAACCACCGCCGGTATGTGCACCCCCTCTTTTTCCATTACATCATCTCCAATGACATCATTCTTAATGACATCGCCCCCATCACCTTCAGGTAATTGAGGGGCATTGACAGCAGCTGGGAGATTAAGTACAGCATCGTCTATGGCAACTGGACCCTTGGCCTGAGGGACGAATGGTCGAGGAAAGTCCTTGGAACCAGGAAGATGACGACCATCGTCTTCTCTCATGTGCTCACTGATAATGGTAGCAGTGCCTACCACCATCACCAGGACACCCAACACTGCCAGGAACTGCAGGAGAACAGGAAATTGCAACAATCTCATATCAGTAAAAAACCTGAATCATTATGAATGTTGCAGTACTTTGGGCTTCAGCTGAGTTTAACATACACACACATACCTATGTATCTATGTTCTTGTGTCACCGGGGCTTGCACAATTAATTCCCACCCCGTGGCTCCTGACCTTTGCCCTGTTGCTGAAGGGAGCGTGAGAGCCGACCACGGAGAGGAAGATGAGAGATGGGAAGATGAAGCTGACGATACTTCCAGTGGTGGCACCGGTCAACGTCAGTACAACCTCCACATTGGGCACCAGGAGAGCAATGGTGAGCGTCCCTGTAATTATCGCGACTGTAATGAGGTTGAAGATCCGGGCTGGAATGGGCTCGGCACTGGAAGTTTGCTGGAGAATTCAACACAATGCATAGCTACATACCACTTTCAGTTCAAGCATTCTCAAAGAACATATATACACACTCCCAAAAAGGGTTTGAATGGTTTTGCATTTTATGCAGGAACATGAGACAACGAAATGACAAACCAAGCATACCTAATACTTTGACTGTTATTGGAGTGTGGAATAAGCAACACCATCTTGATAATCTCGCTGTACACATCATCATCTCATTAACCCCCAACTACACCCTCCCAATGAGGGTTTTGCATTTTTTTGCATGGGTGAGTTTAAACAAGGGTCTTTACTTTACAGAAGGAGCAATGGGGAAGTACATTATATGGTCACCTTCGAGAAGAGGAGGGAATAGATGCTGGCACGGACCGGGAACACAACCAGAGGAAAACCCACCACAACTGACAGTGAGAAACCTATGGAAGAGGGTGCACATTCAGTGAGGATGGGAAGAGGGAGAGGTGGGAAGGACGAGGGGGGAGGTGGGAAGGACGAGGGGGACTTACCAAATCTAAACAGCTGGGACAGACCGTCGTGGGGGAAATTAGTGAGCACGTCGCCTTTAATCCCGTCTCGGACAAACATCATGTAGCCAAAGAATGCCATGAGACCGTAACCCGTGGCAACCATGTAGATGGAACCGTTGATAACAGTGGACATCTTTCTAATAGACGGGTCGGCCATCTGGATGTAAATGACAAACATTTGCCTGCAGGGAAAAGAAGGAATAATATCACCCCCTCCGTCTTGAACACAAGCCTTTTTATAATTTTTTGTTACGTACGTTTTTCACTACTGTGCACAAAAATGGGTGGAGTATAAAACCAAAGCTATCGTATGATTGTAGTTTAACTCCTTTGTGACTGAGGTCTTACGGGTGGCATGAGAGAGCGAGGGCACAGATAGGCAGGCAGTGAAGAAGACCATCAAATTTGACAAGCGAAACTGTTCTCCAGACATCCGTGTTGACTAGGGACGTCAATGACATCAGCACAACCTTGGGACAGGCCAGGCAGAATAGGGTTAAAATTAAATCAGCATTGGAGGTGTGGCTTCCAACTCCATTTAGAGCTCACCCGGATGAGAAGGCAGGAGTAGAAGAAGAGTGAAGAAATGGCGACACCACTGAGACTGTCGATGTTCCGGAGGAGGGAGAGAGGGAGGGAGATGGCAAAGGCAAAGAACATCATTAGACCCATCCTCAGGTAACTGGGGGACTGCACATAATAACACTCAGTAACTTTCCCGCATGGGTCTATGTATATGTAGGAAACGATGAAAGTTTGGAGGGAGATGGCAGAACAAAACAACTCACCCAGTTAATTCCGAGGGAATTGGCGACAATGGGCGGGGCCAGGTCGCCAATGACGACGAAGAAAGAGGTGAGACAACCGATGGTCAGGCCAATTATACTGAGCTCAATGACCAGTTTACCATGGCGACCAAAGGTATGGTATGCTGGAATTAGAGGAATCATAACAATTAAACAGGACGGATAAACACTCTATAAAAATCCTTTGTTCTGCCCTCAAAGGGAGAAAGAGAGAAAGAAGGGCATTTGTTTAAAATTTGCATGTCAAATTCTACGACCGTGTGAATCAAATGAAGTATACACTATTTTTGAAGCCACTTCATAGAATCTGTTCATCTACAGAGATGTTGTCAGGAACCTCATTAACCCATGGAGCCTGTGTCTAGGCAGAAGTGCGGGTGTTTACCGAGCTGTTCGTAGGAGGACTTGTGTGTGAGTTGGGCGGAGCGGACGAGCATCTTGAGGGACCAGATGGTGAACGTGGCACTGAGAGCAAGGAGAGAGAGGCCCAGCACCAGTCCACACTGTTAGAGAGATGAGATAGAATGTCATTGATTCCATTCACTTCGTTTGAGCATAGCTACGTTACGTACTTATACTGAATTACATAATTTGAGACTGCATTACTTGAGACTGCGATCATAGATAGTAGAGATTTAGAGTTCGCCACATTATCCATGCTGTGATCGAGATAAAGCAACAGGGGTCTCCTATTGTACCTTCTCTATGCAGTAAGGCATGGCGAGGATCCCCACTCCAATGACGCTGTTGCCGAGATTTAGGGCCGGTTTGAACACCCCTTCCATCGCTACGCTCCGGGAAAGATTAACGACCACTGCACTGCACTGCACTGCAGCTTCTTGGCTGCTGGGGAAATGGGCGGGGTTACAGGTTTAACCCTTTTAGCTCAAAATTCGGGCATCACGTGATACTTTTGACAGCGCGTCGGGGCGCGCGTGGGAAAGAGACAGGGTGTGTGTGAAAAAGCGTAGTTCCCCCTCTGGAGATCGAGCCTTCTCCGACAGCTCTAGTGGCGACAAGAGGTCCGAGGGAGAGAGGGACGGGATGTCGGAGGAAGAACTGGACGGAGAAATCTCTGACGAGGAAGTGTGTTCGCTCCTTGAGTCCAGCCTAAGAGAAGTCGAAGACGGCATCACAGAGACCTCAACCTATGTCTTGAGGTGAGCTCTCAGTGTGGGAAAACAACATGAACTACGGAAACACGGGTAGAATTTAGATAGCCGGCTCGTATTAGTGAAAACCTGCCGCTACGCATGCGCAATTGGTTGTGCCACCCCAGGGAGAAGGTAGTTGGAGGGGAGGCAGGAGAAGGGGAGGCGGAGGAGGAGACTAAGGCACTACGTCTGAAGGTGAAGCAGCTGCAGAGCCATGTACGAACGCTGACACAGTACTACCAAGAACTGATGGTTGCATTTGAGCATCTGAAGGAGAGACGGGGAGAACCAGGCGTGAGTGTACCGCTGCCCTTTTGTGTGGAGGGAGAATTGAGTCTGTGTGACAGGAGGGAGCAGAGGAGGAGGAGGAGGAGAGAGAAGAATTGAATCAACGTCTTCAAGAGGCGGAGGGAAAGTTGCAAGATGCTCTCAGGCAGCGCAACGAACTGGAGGAAGAGGTGCGTACAAGTCTCGCTTGTCTTCCCGTTTATGCTTAGGTCTTCAGAAATCACTGTTGGCAAAGCTGGGCAACGTACCTAGAATTGTACCGCTACTAGAGAGTGTGCATTGTGCATAATCACAATTAGATTCTCCAATGTGCAGCTGCAATCGTCACAGGAGGAGGGGGAGGGTCTGAGGTCGGAGATTGTGCTACTGAAGACGCAGCTGGCCGACTCTCAGAACAAGCTCCTCGAGATGACGCAGGCACTCGCTGCCACCAAACAGGCTATGGACATCTACCAAGGGACTGCCCGGCGGGATGTAAGGGGTTAACATTTTAACCCTCTTCTTGCAGAACAGAAGTACACCTCTTACATGAGGACACCTCTCTTGAAATTATACCTTTTCTTTCCCTAAGAACATGCATTTTAAACCCTGAAGAAAGCACACTAATAGGTATCTGAATTAGAGGGGTTTCACTGTAATCAGAGATGATGTCATAGTGTTCTCTCTGTGTATTAGCTGGAGCACAGAGATGATGTCATAGTGTTCTCTCTGTGTACTAGTTGGAGCACAGCGATGATGTCATAGTGTTCTCTCTGTGTATTAGTTGGAGCACAGCGATGATGTCATAGTGTTCTCTCTGTGTATTAGCTGGAGCACAGAGACATGGAGCTGGAGAGACTAAAGGAGGAGGTGGGGCAGCTGGACGAGAGAAGACGGAGTCTGGAGATGGAGTGTGAGAAGGGGAGGGGGAGAGTGGGCGGAGCCGAGGCCGAGCTGAACAAGGCTCGCGACGAAATCAAGCTCTTGCAGAAACAGGTTCACAACCAGTTTATTGTGTGGATGCCAGCTTTTTTTTTACTTTCGTCAGTGCTAAGATTTGTTGTACAAAAAGTGCATTGGCAATTATGGAAAAAATGGAGCACATAGCTTAAAATTTCGAAGTAAAAATCTGTTGCGATTTACATTTTACTGAGAAAACCTTAGCAGTTTTTTTTGCTTTCCAATTATCTCTGTCCATAATGAATGAAATCTTCCACTCTGTGGTGTACAGGTGGAGGAGCTGGTGCCGGAGGTGGAGGGAGAGGAGAAGAGGGCGGGGCAGCTGGAACGAGAGTTGGAGTCCAGCCGGGAGGAGACGGAGAGTCTGAGGAGAGAGAAGGAGAACATGGAACAGAACGTGAGTACTCACCGGGGGAATAGGGGGGATGGGGCGGAAGTATATAGTGTGTTGTAATTAAATATGTCCTGTGTGTGGTGTGTCCAGTTGGAGGACAGGATAGCGGAGCTGCAGGCAGGGATAGCAGCTGCTCTCCAGGGACAGAGAGAGGCTCAGCAGCGGACCAGCGACCACAAACTGCAGCTGGACTCTCTCCGAGACTCACAGACTTCACTACAGGTGAGTGTGAGAGAGGAGAGAGAGAGGAGAGAGAGGAGAGAGAGAGGAGAGAGAGAGAGGAGAGAATTGGTTGTCTCTACGGCTAGGATGAGGTTCAGAAGTACCAGCAGTTGCTACAGGAGAAAGAACAGCAGTTAGTAAAGATGATGACGTCACTTCACGTTGCAGCTGCACAGGTAAAACCTCTTCCTCTATTTCTCCGCCTCTCAGTCTTCAATCAAAAAGACTCGTGTTTCGCAGATTGCTGGGCTGCGTTGCAATGGAGACAGAACACCCACAGGGGGTGCGGAGGATCAGGGGGTGTGGTCTAGTGACAGTGGTGAGCTGGTGAAGGTGGTGGAGAAGGAAGTGGAGGAGGTGAGGGTGGAGTGGGAGGAGTCGCGAGCTGTTGTCTCTCAGCTACAGACCACCGTCACCGAGATGACTGCTAGACTGGTGAGTCTAGTGACTCCATTTAGAGCCCACCACTGACTTCCGTACTTAGTGATAAGCAGGTTTAATTTGTCCCTGTGTGTGTTGTGCAGGAGCAGCTGCAGTCGGAGGTGGTTCTGAGGGAGAAACAGGTCTCAGAGCTGGAGAAATTGGCTTCCGAGTCCCAGGTGGGTGTGACAGAGGGCGTGGCTTCCCTCCAGGAGCGGGAGAGGGAGGTGGAGAGGTTGGGAAGGGAAGTGGAGGAGGAGAGGGAGAGGAGGGAGAGGGATCTTGCAGCTGCCGCAGGGAACAAAGAGGAGACGGAGCAAGTCCTATCAGAGGAGGTGAGTCTGTGGTAATTAGTGGGTGTGGTCAGTATCACGTGACTGTCATGTGATCCAGCTGGAGCGGCGAGAGAGCTCTCTGGAACAGCTGAATTCTGAAAACAGGTCACTCCAAGAGCAACTGGCTGCCATTTCCTCAGAGGTTGTCCTAAAAACCACCTTCCAACCTGTCCTGAAGTTACCTGTCCTGAAACTCCATGTCCTGTAGGTCGAGGTGATGCAGACGGCGCGGACGGCTCTTCAGGACGAGTTTGAGCAGCTGTTGTCGGAGCTTGAGGCGAGTCAGTCGAGTGTGGCTAGTCTTGAGGCCCAGGTCAGAGGTGAGGGAGAGAGGAGGGGGGCAGAGCTGTCGCAGTATGCAGACGTCATCAGAGACCTCCAGAAGCAGCTGGAGTGCGCCGAGGAACAGCGGAACACCGCCAGACAAGAGGTATCCGATTACATCGCAATTACATCATCGTGGTTGCTTTCGACATCATCACAATAATTGCCTTTTAATTCCCTGTGGATATTTCACATGCATGTTTCCATGCCGACGTCATGTTTCAGACTTTAATTAGAGGAAGTGAGGTGTAATTAAAGATTGTATGGTGAGACGAACAAGTGTATAAAATTATGTAGCTGTCACCCCCTTCATTGGCAGCGTGTGTGGTAATCAAATTACCCTGGCAACCAGTAGGCCACAGGGGAATTTCATCAAAGAGGATCAAATGATGTCTGGGGTTTGTCCAATCTGAGCTTCCTTGGTTTCTGAAGTGGCCCTTTCTTCAGAGGTAGAAACTCGATAGGAGAAATCATATATATAGTCATTTTATGGAGGAGTGAATGATATCAATGTATGTTTCCCCCTTCCTTTCTCTTCCTTCTCCCTCCTCTCTCCCTCCTCTCCCTCCTCTCCCTCTCCCTCCTCTCCTCTCCCCTCTCCCCCTCCTGTTTCCTGTGTGCAGTCGGAGACCAAACTGACAGAGGTAGAGCAGCTGGCAACCCAGCATCGGAGACTCAGCGATGCTGTCAGCGAGAGAGAGAGAATCATCGCACAACTGGAGCAGCAGACAGCCTGTCTCTCTCTGCAACACCAGCAAGCCCTGGAGGAAGTAAGTGTGTGTGTGTACATGTAGTTTGCATAATGATGCAGTAGTTCTTAAACCAGACTGATGTGGCATATTAAATATTGTGTTGGAACTGAGTGTGGCTTTTGGTGTCTGGTAGAGTGTGCTGTGTGTGTGTGTGGGCCTGTGCAGTTGAAATCACCAGCGATCTCTTTGATGTCTCTGTGAATGTTGTCCTTTACACAAGTTACCACGTTTAGCCCAGAGGGTTTGGTGTCCTGGTATGCTTTGACAGAGAAATCAATCAAGATGACACCATGGAGATGTCTGTTGGAGTTGAACCTTTGAACTACTGCATTAAAAATAACGTCTTCATTTCTCCCTCTTTCTCCCTCTTACACTGCCACAGGCTGAACGGCAAGAGTCCATTGCGACGTCTCTACAGACAGACCTACAGACCTCAGCCACACTCTGTGACAGCCTCAATCAGGAAGTGAGCCACTTTGTCGCCTCACTAGCCATCCTCAACACCTCCTCTCTCTAAAATTTGGAACTCCAGACACTTAGAATCATATTTTTCCACTGTAGGCATCAAATTTTTGTGCATCAAATTTTTGTATGCACCAATTCATTTTTCTCCTCGTTGCACTGGTTTTATGATGTTTTTCTCTTTTTTTTCTCTTGGAAATGGTTTGGTGACGAATAAAGGTTGCAGCTGGCAAGGGTCACGAGGAGGAGTCAGAGAGGCGACTGGTCGCCATGGAGACAGAGAAAAACAGTCTCAGGCAACAAGTCAGGAGCGGGCCGGGCATGCAGACGAGTTTCCACGTTTTCATGTTCAGCACCATGTTACGTAACAACGTGGCTGTAAAACAACAGAAAACTGGAAATTGATCTCTGGAAGATGCGTTTTTACCGATTAGGATTGTGGTCTGGGTTTTATTCCATACCATTGACATGGGAATGGGACTGGGATGATGTATTATTTTTCACAGCTGTATGATCGTGAGGAGGAGCTGGAGGAGCTACAGGGGGAGCTGGAGGAGAGTAAAGAGAGGGAGAAGAGGAGGGAGGGGGAGGAGGGGGCAGAGGTTGAGCAGCTGCGTGTCACCCTCTCGTTGGACGCGGTGGAGAGAGAAACGGTGGAGTTAAAGCTCGCCGGTCAGGAGGAGCTCATTGCTGACCTTCGTCTAGAGGTAAGGAAACAGCAAACATTTTAGCCCGTTGATTAGTTGATTTTTAAAACACACAATTTCATTGGTCCATATAATATACACACATTGAGTCAAAGAGTGACTGTCTTCTCAGTATAAATGTTAGTGGTAGAAAAATTTTGCCAGCAAATTTTAGTTTGTAGCTGAGCTCATTTTTCCATTGTCCTCTGTCAGGCCGAAGAGGTCCAGGCGTCCAATGAAGAGTTTTCCTTCAAACTTGCCTCCCTCGAAGCCCTCCTTGCCGAGACACGAAACCACGCCCACCAGCTGGAGGCGGAGCTTGCATCGGCGGAGGAGAAGCAGCTGTCGTTGGAGCAGTGTCGGGGTGTCCTGGAGTCTGTCGGTGCCGAGCGTCTGGCGACCATCACTCTACTCCAGAGCGAGGTAGAGGCAGGGAGGGTGAGAGAGGAACAGGTCAAGATCATGGCAGACAAGCTGGCTACTCTGGAGAAACTGCTCCTGACTCTACAAGAAGAGGTGGTTCTATCTTTTGCTCTCATTAATTGCTATGTACAAATATATGTATTGTGGCCTAGTATATAGGGGATATGCATGATGAAATAATGTACCAAGCCAAGGGTTTCTTGCTGTTCTTCCTATTCTTCCCTCTTCCCTTCTCGTTTTACTCTATTCTCTCTCTTTTCCTCGGCAGTTGGAGACAGCTCAGCAGGAGAGCAGGCAGCTGGAGGAGGCGAGACAGACAGCAGAGTCACTGGCCACGCAGACAGAGACACAGCTGATGGCTGAGAGGAGGGAGAGGGAGGGGGAGAGGAGGGAGAGGGAGGAGAAGGTCTGGGACCTGTCACAGAGACTCCAAGATGCAGAGGAGAAACTCGCACAGACTGAAGCACTGGTCAGGATGTACTATATATGTACATGATATGAACTGTACTGTGGTGAAGTGTTTGAAGAGAGAGAGGATTTGCTAACCACACGTTCGGAGCATTTTAACCTTGAGTTTTTGTCAGATTTGCAAAATTCACATCCCCCCAAAGTTTACGGTAGGTAAATAAGATATCTCTCTCTTTGTTCCAAGGTTGAAGAGGTTGAGGAGGAGAGGGATACCCTGCGATCAGAGCTGGAAACGACAGGGAAGAAGGAGCGTCACTGGTCCTTGGAGCTGACTCAGCTCACCGCAGAACTCCAGCTCTCTCGTGAGAAGACGGGCCAGCTGGAGAGGGAGGGGGCGGAGCTTAGGGCGGAGCTAGCACGAGTGACACTCCTGCTGGAACACACTCAGAGAGAGGTGGGCGGCGGTTGGTAAACATCGTAATGATGTCATGATGATGTCATCCTTTGAAGTGTCCCTTAAGTGGACTGCACACACACATTGTGTCTGGATATGTGTCTGCAAGTTTGGGTAGGCCGACAGACACATAGCAACCAACACTTCCTCTGATTTGATGACCCCCAGTCATGTGATCAGTCATGTGACTTATTCAATGAGTCATGTGATAGCCTTGAACCAACTGACTCTATAGTAGTGTGGGTAGATGTGAAAAACTTCAGAAATTGGTATCAAACGGGACACCTTCAGCTACAGGCTCATACAACTATCTCATTTCCACGTGTCTTATCCCCCCAATGTGAACTTTTCCCTTTGTACGCTGCCCCTCTTTGGAATGTCGTGGTGTGCAGTGTCGAGAGGAAGGAGACCAGGCAGGCAAAGGGGACCCTAATGGTTGTTTATAGGCTCCAAGACTCGTGCATACCAGCCGATTAGCGGCGGCAAGTTGATATCCTGCCTGTCAAAGGACGGCAGCTGTCTGTGCCACATCGCAGTGACGCGACTGTGTCTGCCCTGAAGGAGCGGGGACTGTTTGCGATATGTTCATGTCCTGGCTTTATTGACTGTGGGGGAATTTGACGCACATAACCTCTATCAGGACACCTTTTCGACTTTATCTGGACAGCTTTTCGGGACACATCACCTTCACCGAGACTTGTCTCTCTCAGACACTTGTCCAGTCTAGTCCTCGTGTATGAAGCCTTGAAAGTTTTTGTTTTGGATGGTGAGTTGAAACATGTTTTGTGAGCCGTGAGAAATGTGGCGACAGTTGTGTGTGTCTTGTACTGGCTGCGGTGTTAGTGAATTAAGCCCCTCCCTGCCTGTGGAGGTCCTCCGGCTGCCAACTCTTCAAAACTCGCTGTTCATTTCGCCGGACTTGTTGATAAACAAGTGTCCACTGTGAATTAGGCCCTTCGTGGGTGGCCGGGACAGTGTCAGCAGTAGCAGGCAGGCAGCCCATTTTTGATTGGTCGTGACACACACAATGTCATTGGCGGTAAACACAAGACAATCACATATCAAAGACACTCAGCTCAGGGCAATACTTTTCCCGACACTCTGATAAGGGGCCCTCTGAGATAGGGACGACCTCTCTACAAGGGACACTTGTTTCAACCCCATGCTAATACTTTAGTGTGTATTTGACCTCCGAGATAGGGACGACCTCTCTACAAGGGACAAAATCGTTGGTCCCATAGTGTCCCTTGTTCGGAGGTTCCACTGTATTGTAGTACATGTGTGGATGATGTTGTTTTATGTGTGTGCAGTTGACTGGAAGTCGTGCGGAGGAGGAGGTGGTGGAGGGGCAGGTGAGGGAGGGGAGGGAGAGGGTGGAGCAGTTGGAGAGGGAACTGAGGGATGTTCGGAGAGAGGCTGCCTCTCTCCGAGGACAGCTCGCCGCCACTGAACAGGTAGAGAGATACACTGAGAAAATAGCAAACTGTAACCCCATAAGCAAAAACGCTAATACTTAATTTGCATTGGCCTTACAAAACACTAACATGAGAGAGTGTGTTTTATACATTTGCCTGAACTGGTCATGTGACACACATGTGAGCAGTCACATGACCAGCTGCAGCAGCGGCTGGGTCTGATGGAGGAGGAATACGACGGTCTGCAGCAGTCTGCGTCGCAAGCGGCCACCCAGCTGATGAACACCCAAACCAGCCTCGATGACCGGAAGGAGTTCTGTCGACAGCTGCAAGAAGAGTGCGAGAACATGACAGGGCACGTGGGGGACTGGGCGGAGAAACAGAGGTGACCTTTATTCCTTTGGTAGTTGAAAGTTTGTAAAGAGTTTTGTGCGTGAGGATAACAAGGTTACTTGTGTGTCCTCTCTGTGCAGGTCAAATACTGAGGTCCTTCTCAGACATGTGAGGTGAGTGTGTGTGTGTGAGGTTGTGGTGGGAGCTAGTGAGTCGAGTTCCTTACAACTCTGGTCTTCCCATAACAACACTGCTATTGAGACCCCAGAGAGTGTGTGTGCGGTAGATGTGAAGGGTTTGAATGGAGGAAGGCCACATCAAAGGAGGCAGCTGCATTGCAAAGGGTATCGGAATCCGTCATGTGAGGATGACACGTCCCTTGCAGCCCGGAGCCCCACTTTGTGACAATCTTTGTAGCTGTTTGTCGCTGTATTTGTGTTCCTAGGAAAGGTTTTGCTTGTGTAAACAGACCGTGTCAGTCTGTCTCTCTCCCTGCTTCTCTCCCTTGCTTACTCACACACTCACACTCTCACACAGGGAGCAAGAGTCAGAGTTACAGTCACTCCGAGCCAGCCAGCGAGAACTGGAAGCTCTCAACGCCTCGATCCTCTCCCGTAACCGTGACCTTCAGGCCCAGCTGGACAGGAAGACGAGAGAACTGGACACAGCCATTGCCTCGTCCTCCTCTTCCTCTCTCCTCAACTCCTCGGGGGGTGTGACCCACATTACTGCTACACTTGACTTTGACCTCAGCCAGCTGACAGGGGTGCAGGTCAATACGTTCTCCCTCGTCTTACCAAAACTTGGTTCATCATATTCCATTCGTGTGACTTTGTAGGTGGGAGAGAGTGTTGTCGAAGGTTCTTCGACAACCGTCCACCATGCCTCAGCCGTCGCGTCTGTCCCTCTCAAGTTTAACTCTCTCTACTGCTCCACAATGGAGGAAGGCCTGTAAGTGTGTGTGTGTGTTGTGAGGGAGGGAGGGAGGGAGGGAGGGAAGGATTAAAGACCATTCCTCTTTGTACCACAAATCCAGTGTCTTTTGTGTTGTCTTTCTTCTCCCATCAAAGCTAACCTGTGCATTCAACTCCCCTTTTCCCACTTTTGTCCTCTCTAACACGCCGGTTCAAAACACACACCACACGAGGCAGAGAACAGCACGTCAGGCAGGGGTGTGCTGAGCCTCGCCTGCATACCGAAACACACGTAGTTTCCCCAACAAAGTGCCTACTTCAAAGCCTCCCGGAGGTCTGACACTGCCACCCAGCGTGTTAGTGTGTCTCTCTGGTGTGTGTGTCTGAAGGATCAGCTGACAATGGCTCCCTGCTTCAAAGGGAAGGGAAGGTGGCCATGTTGGGTGTAGGCAATGTGATGGAACAGGCGGACATGAGTTGCAGCTGTTTCTGCACTGACCCCTTTTCTCAGGTACTCCTAGTACTGGAGCTGCTGGACACGGTGTATGTGTGTTAGGTACTCCTAGTACTGGAGCTGCTGGACACGGTGTATGTGTGTTAGGTACTCCTAGTACTGGAGCTGCTGGACACGGTGTATGTGTGTTAGGTACTCCTAGTACTGGAGCTGCTGGACACGGTGTATGTGTGTTAGGTACTCCTAGTACTGGAGCTGCTGGACACGGTGTATGTGTGTTAGGTACTCCTAGTACTGGAGCTGCTGGACACGGTGTATTATGTTTCCCGCCACTTTCAGTCTTTCTTGACTCCCTGCTCTCTTTCCCCTTCTCCGCTCCCTCCTTGTCTCCCTGCTCTCTCTTTCCCCTTCTCCGCTCCCTCCTTGTCTCCCTGCTCTCTCTCTTTCCCCTTCTCCGCTCCCTCCTTGTCTCCCTGCTCTCTCTCTCTTTCTCCCTTCTCCGCTCCCTCCTTGTCTCCCTGCTCTCTCTTTCCCCTTCTCCGTTCCCTCCTTGTCTCCCTGCTCTCTCTCTCCTCTTCTCCGCTCCCTCCTTGTCTCCCTGCTCTCTCTTTCCCCTTCTCCGCTCCCTCCTTGTCTCCCCGCCCTCCCATTTGTGTGTTTAGTGACTGTTAGCTATTGTGGGTGGTTCTTGGTTCATGCATGTTGATGCAAAGGGGGCCTTTGCAGGGTTCCTATTGTTGGTTAATTACATTCAACTGCATGTTGGTTTTTGCCTATTCAACGTGGCATCTTATGTATAGTAATGTGTGTGTGTGTGTGTGTGTGTGTATTAGATCAACCACTGAAGACCCTGGGATGAGGGTGGGGCAAGCAGCCGATGAAGAAGACGAACTTGACAAGGATTTCTGGATTAGGCGCGCTGGAGAGGTGTGTTTTACCTTTGTCTGTGAGTGTGTAGGCGTCTTCCTCCCTCTCTCCTCTCTATCTCCCCATACAGTTGTCTGTACAGCTACAGCAAAGCAGTGACTACTGGTCGCAGAAAGTGAGAGAGCTCTCCATTCAACTAGAGAAACAACATCAACAACTGAAGTCGGATCATCGACACACGGAATATTCAGACTAGAACCCAAAACACAATGACAGTCACTGTTTTAGTAATACCCCATTTAGCGTCAATCACCTTTCCAGCTGCTTTCATGATTTTTTATACTGTTGTTATCATTACTCCTGTCACCTACAGCTTGATGCGTATGTACGTAAACACATTCATTACGCGAGAGTGCAATTACACGTTTCCTTACGCGAAGCGCGCTGCTTTGAAGTTTGAGCGCGGCCGCCTCTACTCCCATTGGACCGCGGCATCCTTTGATCTCGCCTCAAAGCATGTAATTACTCCTTTGAAGTGGGCCGGCTCGCCCGCAAGCGTTCCAGACGTTGCCCCCGTGTGTGTGTATAGACGGTGTACTGCAGTCCACCCGAAAAAGCGCTGCCTTTGTGTATGTGTGTATAAACCAGTTGGTGGCGGCGTGGGTCGGTCGTGCTGAACGTGTGCTTCCCGCGTCATCGTGAACAAGTCGAGAAGTCTGGTTCTCTTGTCCGGCGACACTCCGTACGCAACCCGCTGTCAGTTCGCTTCGTGCGCGTGCGACCAGTGGAGACCAGTTGTCTGTTTGTTGTGTGGTGGAGAGAGAGTCCGAGGTGCCGTGTAGATGGAAGACAAAATGGACGATTCAGATCTTGCTCTCGAGCAGGCCCTCACCAAGATAGACTCGGGAGACGACCTGACCAGCGGCAGCGACCGCGAGACGGAGGAGACGCCCGCGCCCGTCGTCGTACGCCGGGTGCCGAACGGGGAGACGGGTGTGCTGAGCGGCGGCAGCTTCCAGGAAGAAAGTCCCGAGCGAGTCCTGGAGGACGGAGGGAGTGGTGGAGGAGGTGGAAGCGGCGCGGGAGAACAGCAGCGAGCCGCGGTGGACGCGGGGCAGTCCGATCTTCTACACATCCCGCGCTCGCAGGTGACGCTGGACATGGTATTCCGCGACTACAAGCTATTCACCATGTTTCGGCGGTTTCTCAAAGACCAGTGCATTCTGAGGAACCTCAACTTCTGGCTGGCCTGCAAGCACTACCACGAGCTGCCTCGAGAAAAACTGTTCAACGTCGCCGAAGCCATCTACGCCAAGTACATCAAGATGACAGCGCCGCAGCTAGTCCAAGTCAAACAGAACACCAAACGCACCATCAAGAGCATTCTCGGCCTCAACCCCAAGACTCTGTCAAACTCACTCTTCAAGCCGGCCCAGAACGAAGTGTGGGACATAATGACGCAGAACGAACTGCGGCAGTTTCTCGCTTCCGACGTGTTTGGGGAGATGTTTGGGGAATTGGATGACTCCATGAGTATGGAGCTTGCCTTCACGCCGGTTGGTGGGATCCTGCGTGGTGCCTCTCCTATGATGCACCAGTCCAGCTCTGAGGACTCTGTCTCTGTCACTAGCTGTTCAACTGAGTGAGTTTCCTACTATATAGCCAGCACTGTGAGGGAGGAGAGAGAGAGAGAGAGGGGAGGGAAGGAGGTGAGAGAGATAAGGTGTGTAGTGAGAAAGGGAGAAAGGAAATAGGTTCATTGTAGTCCTGGAAGTGTTGCTAGCCCAATAGTCTGGGTGTGGCTTGAATGAAATGTTAATTAAAAGATCTCAGTGATAATGGAGTACCTGTTTTAGAGTGTGCAGACCTAGAGCCTACTTTCCATGGCGTGCCAAGTATAGACCTGTGCTCTGCGGGGTACACAAGTAAGACACCACCACCGTTGGCGCCGGTGGACTGTTTCAGCTATGTGTGTGTGTGAGACCAAAGCCCTTTGTTCATACACTTCACATGGCATCTGTTTGGGAACTGTGACGATCAGAATGTGCCACCGCAATACGCCTCACCCTGTGTCTCTTTCTCCCCCCTCCTCTCTCTCTCTCTCTCTAGTGGCGGTGGAAGTGAGTTGGGAAGGTCTCGAGGTCATCGACTGAGACTCCCCTACCACAGGAGTCACCGGGCCTGTAGTTCAGACACTGAGACCAAGGTAAATCCTAGTAACACCGTCTGTATCAGCTACACAGGTATATCGCCTGACGTATTATGTGCAGTGTATGCTGCGTGTGTGTACGCGACCGGGTCTTGTTTCACAAAGGGTTGGATGCTCTATAGGTATACATGTTGCGTGTATTGGATGTCGATACAAACTGAGTGCTGGAAGAGAGCCAGCTCTCTCTGTGTGTGGGGGGTGGTCTGGAATGATTTGGGGTTAGATGACAGCTCCCCAGGTGTCCTACCTTCTCTCTTTCCCCTCTCTCTGTTTTTCTTTCTCTCTCCCTCTCTCTCTTCTACCTCTCTCCCTCCTATTTCCCTTTCTCCATGTCTCGCTCTCCTCGACATAACACCAGCCTGTGTGTTACTGGCAGAGAGACAAACTAGGCCTGGGTTTGCTTTGTGTGGAGCTGAGGTTCCCACAATGGTTGACGTTCACGTAGTGTGTGTGTTGGTTGGTTGGGTGATGTGTCTGGATCTCAGAATTCCAGCCGGCTTTGGCAGCACACACGAACCACTGTTTTCCCCCTGGTTTTGAGGAGGGAACATATTATTATGGGTTTGTGTGGGTGTCGCAGAACAGCTGCTCCCTCTACACAGCCTTGTTGCCATTTCAGTCCCTACTTGTGCGTGGCTTTACTCTTCCCTCCCTCTCTTCCCTCCCTCTCTTCCTCAGAATTTTCGGAGTCACCACGTGGCGGGGCCGCTGGCAAAGAAAGATAAACCGGTGACGAGAGAAGATTTCGTGGCCATGGTCAGCGAGAGACTAATGGCGGTGGCAAAGGACAGGGAGACCATGAAAAAGAGGGCCCAAGACCAGGCCAGACAACAGGGAAAGTCCTACGAAGAAATCATGGTGAGTTTCTTGAAGAACCTCTATCTAGATGAGTGTTTTTCATATCCAGTTCCTGGTTGGCTGTGGTTTGCTAGTCTTTGAAGTGAAGCAAAGCAAAGCGTCCAGGGTTACCCTAGCAGTGCCTTCTAGTGGAGCATTTCAAAGGTGTTCCTTCGCCTCCTAGTCTCCTGCTGACTTCCTGCCCCACAGCTGTTGAGACCAACACCTCACTCCTTTCCATCTCTCCCTCTCCCTCTCTCCCTCTCTCATCTCTCCCTCTCCCTTTCTCCCCCCTCTGGTTGCTTTGTTACCTCACTTATGATCCATATTACACCTTGCCCAACAAAGAGTTAACCCAACAAAGCCTTGTCTGTCTCTTTGCAACAAAGTAGCCAGATTCTTTTGAAGTGACATCACACAATCTTGAAAGGAAGTTGTTTCAATGTTACATTGTTAACTTCCTCGTTTTTCACCCCCTCTCTTCCCAATCTGTGCAGGCCATCGACTGGTACGACCTCCCGAACTCTATCAAATACGACAGGTTCCTCGACTCCGCCCCTCCTCCCATGGTCAGTGGAGACTCGCCCCGTGGCGGCGACCTTTCACCTCTGCACAGCCCCAGTCTCGCACCCTACGCGAACCCTCAGTCCAAACTGGCAATAGAGCAGGGTCAACTTGCGCAGCATGAGATCCAAGACGCCCTCAAGGACCTCGAGATCACCAATCAGGTCAGCCGGAATCGGAGACATCTCGGGCACCCCAAATCCTCCAGCACTGCGTCGTCGATTCTCTCGTACACGTCTGACTCCGGGGTGGGTGACTCCGTCCAGTGGGGTACCACGCCATCGAGCATGGTGGCGTCCAGTCGGCACGTGCAGCGGTTCGTGGAGGGGCAGAATCTGCTACTCAGCAAGACACCTCAGAGGGATATTGCAGCTAAGGCAGCAGCTATTACTCTAATCAACAGCTCTCCTCACGCGGAGGATCTGTCGCACTGTCGTGTCCAATCGCTCAGCGGTCGCCATCGGTTACCGCCACACCAGCTACACACGCGAACGGCCAATTACCCGGGGGCTTACTCGAGCGACGACAGCGGGTCGTTTATCACAATCACGAGTGAGTCCGACCTCTTCATCCCGAGACGATTTTCTGCCGCCAACTACTCCGAATCAGATGAACCTCATCATTTCCCGAGGTACGTATGTACCCCTCTACTCTCTCTGTCTTGGTCAATGTTGTCCTGATCCCTCAGAGCTGTCCTGAACCAGGTTGTGACATTTCAGGACAACATTGACCTGTTAGGTGTCCTAAATTCATGTGGGTGTCCTGATTTGTAAGGTATAGCCCAGTGTTTTGAAGGTTCGGTAGCTTTGTGTTTTTGCTCTGAGCATACACTATAAAAGATCAAAGAAATTGGGAAGCTTCTACAAAGGGCAAATGTACACACACTACTGAGTTTGTGCAGTAAACAGAGGTGTACTATACTCTCTGTACCGTACGATACAGTGGCCCTATAGCGGGCCCAAGTGCCAGTAGTCTCGCTGGATATCAAAGACACCGTGAGTGGATGTGTTTTGTGGGCGCTGCCAAGTGCGAGGGCAGGTGGTCGACTGCCCGACTTTGAAGTGTGCCTCTGTTCTGCCGGTACAGAGGGCAGCGAGCTGTTTGCCTGAATACCGCGCTCGTATTGGGACTCTGCAGACTGTTTTATTGCTAGCTGACTGCCAATATGCGGTCAGTGGAACCAGAGAGAGAGAGGGGGTGTGTGTGGGAAGATAGTGAGGTGGGAGATAGGTAAAAACAAGAGGTCGTTCCGAGTCCTGGGGTGTCCTCTATTGTTCAAGTAGGCGACATGTTTCTGGGCCTAGCCTCTGCTAGCCCCCCTGGACAGTGGCACCATGTGTGGGCTATTGTCACCACCAATTTGCTCACAGGCTGTAGGAGGCTAGTTCAGTCTGGACTCACCTCTAGTGGCTGTTTGTATGTATGTAGTAGTATATACCTCTCATGTGTGCGCATTTTATATACCTCTTGTTCTCTCTCTCTCTCTCCCTCCAACAGCAGGATGCCTCATCGACAGTTGAGCCGGCCCAGACGCACCGGATTCAAAATGCACCAAACTCCGCCCATCGTCGAGCCAAGCCACACACCCACGTCGCACTCGCAGATGCCCCGCCCGGCTGCTCCGCCCCAGCAAGCAGCCGGTATCCTGGTTGTATACGATATTGTGGAGATGCCGGCGCAGGATTCGAAGAGGACTCCGTTTATAAAGAAACACCACTCGAGTACCGTCACTCTCGGAGAATTCAAGGAGAAGATATTCAACAGAAAGGGAGAATACAGGTACGTATACACCCTCTCTGTGTGATGTATGTATGTACTGAGTTATAGAGGAGTTAGGTTTTATGTTTGTGTAGATCAAGTGCTAGAATACACCCAGGAGAGCTTTTTTTTAGAAAAGAGCTGCCCTGAGGGGGGCCCGAACCCACGTCACTCTGCTCTCTAGGCAGAGTTGTCCTGATGCCAGGGCAGCTAGCTCATCCATGAATCGAAAAATGAATGGGCAAGTAGTGAATTAGGCATGAGGTTAAGAAAGGAAGGATAGGGAGGGGGGATGGGGCAGCTTTGCCCCATGTTCTGTTTCGCCACTACGGCACTGAGGTAGTGAGTGGACATCGGAAGATGTGGACTAGAGTAAGCCGAGATTGGAATCTACTACCAGAGATCTTACCACATAAGAGGGTCCTTTTCTAGTGTACTAGTGTGTGGCCTCCCCCCCACTGAGTTAGTAGCATTGGACGGGAGAGTAGGGAAAGGGAGAAAGTGGGGAGAGAGAGGGGATGAAGGAAATGAGAGATGAGACTTAGGTGTACATATATTATACATACACTGCACAGAGTTCACACCACTTTGATCTCTACCCCCTCTCAATGTATGGCAACATTCAATCCTCACCCACAGCCTTCAAAGCCATGAACAGCTGCCTGCCTTATTACTGTTTCACTAGTGCAAATGGCTGTGGTGTCCTTCCTACTGTAGACTGGAATACAATATGTGTACATTTTCCAAGAAATCTCCTTAGACCTCTGCTGCTGCCCATTCAATGTCATTCCCATGAGTGGGTGAAAGACAATGCCAGCATGTACTCCACGTACTTTACCCTCTGGATTAATGATGTTACCTTTACTTGATGTGACTGTATTGAGCTGTTTGACGTTTACTTGATGTGACTGTATTGAGCTGTTTGACCTTTACTTGATGTGACTGTATTGAGCTGTTTGACCTTTACTTGATGTGACTGTATTGAGCTGTTTGACCTTTACTTGATGTGACTGTATTGAGCTGTTTGACGTTTACTTGATGTGACTGTATTGAGCTGTTTGACCTTTACTTGATGTGACTGTATTGAGCTGTTTGACGTTTACTTGATGTGACTGTATTGAGCTGTTTGACGTTTACTTGATGTGACTGTATTGAGCTGTTTGACCTTTACTTTGTCCATATTTGAGAGCTAGGCCCACAAACTGCCATTGGGTGTATACAGACAATTCCAGAATTGCATACTAGCAACAATTCTTATCCTCAAACGTGACATAGAGTATTGTATGAAGACGGTATAGTAATTATTATGGTCATGTGCCAATACTAATGTTCCCCTCCTCTCTCTCTCTCCAGATTCTTCTTCAAGACAGTGTACGAAGGAATTGAGGGGCCACTAATGGAGGAGATATCAGACGAGGAGACCGTCCTCCCACAGTTCGAAGGTCGCATCATCGCCAGAGTGGAGTCCGTAGTATAGCCACGCCCCTTTCTCCACCCCCATCTTCTCTTTGTCTCTCTCTTCCACAAGATACCACCCCAGGATTTAACCTCTGACCCCACCAGAACTGGAACGAAACTTTCACCAGGAGACAATTGCCGTATTTATTGTCAGGGGCCCTTGCAATTTCTCACCTTCGCTTTTTTCCCTGAGTCAAAATTATTCATCTTTCTCTGTACTTTTTCTTTATAATTTTTAATGAATGTTACTTGGCTCGTCTTGTCTTGCTTTGTATAATCAATTATGACATTTTCTTTTGTTTGCCGTTTGTTTATTTGTTGTTTTGTTTGTTTGTTTGTTGTCTGGCACAGAGTCACCAGCACCTACCCCATCTCATCAGATTGTTTCAATTTCTTATTTATATTATACCTACATACGTACTATTGATATGACTGTGAATAACACTTGTCAAATGTCAACGTAGACACAAAACGATTTGCAACACAGATGTATACGCTTCCAAATTCACAACTGACAGAATGACTACCTATATATACACAACCTTACAATAGTAGCATGGGGTGGGAAAGGTTTCAAGAGAGAACTGTTTTGATTCAGTTGCAAGTAAAAATTCTTTATTATACAGAATTGTCCACAAATTTACCGCGAAGACTTAAGGAAAAGGCCCTAAAGCTTTGTGCAAAACTATAATTATATTGCTTAAGGATCCTCTGAATAGATCAGAGCATAGCTGAGATGAGTAGGTTTTGTCCTGTGAGAGATGGTTTGGAAGAGTGATTGGGTAGTCCTGTGAGAGATGGTTTGGAAGAGTGATTGGGTAGTCCTGTGAGAGATGGTTTGGAAGAGTGATTGGGTTTGGTCTCTAGTCAGATTTGTAGGGCTGTCTGTTAGTGAGTCTGGAGAAGAGGGAGAGGAGAATGGCGGCTGTCACGAAGTAGCTGAGTCTGTACGTGTGGACGGAGCAGTAGAGGACGAGGGAGACTGATAGGAGAGACGAGGCGGACACCAGGGGGAGGGGCATGTAGGTGAAGCCACACCCACCAGCCAACCGGGAAAACCTGTAAAACAGGTATGGAAATGTAAGTTTGGTCGTCAACAACAGGAGCAAGAGAAACTTGTAGCTAGGAGGCTAGGGAGGACTTCACAAATACTGTTGGACAATGGTTTCCGTTGATACCCAACCCAACCCAGACATGTGGGGAGGTGTAGTGTCTCCATGGCAACCACACCCCACACAGCTGCTTCAGAGCCACGAGAACACAAACAGAAACGGTCCTCGGTAGGTAGGCAAGCAAGGATACGGACCAGAGATGGCTGCAGAGATGGCTGCTGCATGCACCTCAACACAGGAAACCCAGCCATATGAAAGGGGCTTTGTGTTGACGGGCTTATTATCACACATCAGGATGTCAAGTTGGTGTTTGTTGTGCGTATGCTGCACGTATCAGGAGTTCTGGCAGGAGAGAAATGTGTTTGTGCGTTGTATGGGGTCGGTCCTATACACAAACCAGTCTATATGTATAGTACATGTAGGACAACGTAGCGTGTTTATCTGCTCATATCCGCTAACAATTAGGCAAAGGTAAACACAAAATCATGCATATTATCATGTTAAGTGACGTCAAACCCACTCATCCAACACACACAAGGACTTGCATAATAAGAGCACAGACACATCCCTGCTTGAAAGGAGCACGTACTGATTTGGTCGAGGAGGTAGAAGGAGAGGGAGGAGGGAAACTGCCGAGGCCACACCCACTTGCCAGAAGAGAGGGTCAGGGTACAGCTGCAATGAGAACCTGTGAGGAGAGAGATGACATCATCTCCATGACTACCAGACACTGGAGGACACACCTGATGTTCTTGATCCAGGAGCAGAGGGAGGGGAGAGAGAGGAAGACGAGACAAAGGAGGAGACTCTGTACTTGACGCTGCCGTCCATCCACAGCCTGCAGACAGTCAGAAATAGAGAGAAGCTCGCCGAATGTGGCTCAATGTGCCTCTCTTTGCCAATACCTTGAGAGTGTAAGCAGCCAGGGAGAGGAGCAGGCCGAGAGCTGAACACAGAATCAGTCCTGGACACCACATGGCAACCAGGGTACCCACGACCACCCTGTTGTTGCCACGGAGACAGCGGGAGAGGAGGAGGGAGGGGAGGCGGAGGAGAAGGGGTCTGAGGACGAGGAAGAGTCCTCTCGCCACGAGGTGGAGAAGGGGAGGGGCCCATGCTGGCCAGAGTCCGTCTCGAGTCAACTGGTCCCAGTCAGTTCCCGGAAGGAGACCTGTTCTGCAGAGAGAGAGAGGGTTCTGTGGGGGAACTTGTCCTGATCAGGAAGAATCTCAGATTGGTGAGGTGACCTGATTTCAACTTACGAGGTGACCCCCCACATCACTGCCAATAAGACCATCTCTCCAATTAGGTGGGTTCTTGGCGACGCCATGGCAACTGCTGTAACCCACGGCAACAGAAGAGGGGTATAAAGGACCAGGAGTTTGCCAGCCAGCGAGAGCAGAGAGGGAGAGAGGGTAACGGAGAGAGAACAGTTGCTAGGAGACCAAACAATCAGCTCCGCAACTGAATCATCTCTTAGTGGAACCTGAAAAGAGTCGAGTCTCATTCCCATACTTGGTTCCAGACATGGGAATGGGAACCCACCTGGAGGCTGAGCGGTACGACGAGACGACCAGTCCCGTTGTCATGGAGAAGAGGAGTGTGTGGTAACCGTGGCAACACCAGGCCACCTTTGACCCCGGCGCAGGAGGCGGTAACAACTGCCGAGTGAGCAGTCCATATTTGGGTGAGTTGGGGGAGTGTGACTTTGGTGAGGGTGCAGTGGGAGGAGGGAGGGAGGTGGAGAGATGATGTCATACCTGAAAGGCAAGAACACAACCTAAAACATCACCCCTAAAATGAGCTACGACACACTTTGAAAAGGACCTTTTCCACCAAAGAACAACTCTTGCATGCAAGTTAACACCCTTCGTCCGTTTCATTAATATCGAGACTAAAGAGGCTCCACCAAACTAACAGTCAGTATAATAATACACACTTCTCCTCACCCCAGAATGGCAGGTCCAGAGAGAGGGACCTGTTCTGGCACCACTCAAAGACTAAAGAGGCTCCACCAAACTAACAGTCAGTATAATAATACACACTTCTCCTCACCCCAGAATGGCAGGTCCAGAGAGAGGGACCTGTTCTGGCACCACTCAAAGACTAAAGAGGCTCCACCAAACTAACAGTCAGTATAATAATACACACTTCTCCTCACCCCAGAATGGCAGGTCCAGAGAGAGGGACCTGTTCTGGCACCACTCAAAGACTAAAGAGGCTCCACCAAACTAACAGTCAGTATAATAATACACACTTCTCCTCACCCCAGAATGGCAGGTCCAGAGAGAGGGACCTGTTCTGGCACCACTCAAAGACTAAAGAGGCTCCACCAAACTAACAGTCAGTATAATAATACACACTTCTCCTCACCCCAGAATGGCAGGTCCAGAGAGAGGGACCTGTTCTGGCACCACTCAAAGACTAAAGAGGCTCCACCAAACTAACAGTCAGTATAATAATACACACTTCTCCTCACCCCAGAATGGCAGGTCCAGAGAGAGGGACCTGTTCTGGCACCACTCAAAGACTAAAGAGGCTCCACCAAACTAACAGTCAGTATAATAATACACACTTCTCCTCACCCCAGAATGGCAGGTCCAGAGAGAGGGACCTGTTCTGGCACCACTCAAAGACTAAAGAGGCTCCACCAAACTAACAGTCAGTATAATAATACACACTTCTCCTCACCCCAGAATGGCAGGTCCAGAGAGAGGGACCTGTTCTGGCACCACTCAAAGACTAAAGAGGCTCCACCAAACTAACAGTCAGTATAATAATACACACTTCTCCTCACCCCAGAATGGCAGGTCCAGAGAGAGGGACCTGTTCTGGCACCACTCAAAGACTAAAGAGGCTCCACCAAACTAACAGTCAGTATAATAATACACACTTCTCCTCACCCCAGAATGGCAGGTCCAGAGAGAGGGACCTGTTCTGGCACCACTCAAAGACTAAAGAGGCTCCACCAAACTAACAGTCAGTATAATAATACACACTTCTCCTCACCCCAGAATGGCAGGTCCAGAGAGAGGGACCTGTTCTGGCACCACTCAAAGACTAAAGAGGCTCCACCAAACTAACAGTCAGTATAATAATACACACTTCTCCTCACCCCAGAATGGCAGGTCCAGAGAGAGGGACCTGTTCTGGCACCACTCAAAGACTAAAGAGGCTCCACCAAACTAACAGTCAGTATAATAATACACACTTCTCCTCACCCCAGAATGGCAGGTCCAGAGAGAGGGACCTGTTCTGGCACCACTCAAAGACTAAAGAGGCTCCACCAAACTAACAGTCAGTATAATAATACACACTTCTCCTCACCCCAGAATGGCAGGTCCAGAGAGAGGGACCTGTTCTGGCACCACTCAAAGACTAAAGAGGCTCCACTAAACTAACAGTCAGTATAATAATACACACTTCTCCTCACCCCAGAATGGCAGGTCCAGAGAGAGGGACCTGTTCTGGCACCACTCAAAGACTAAAGAGGCTCCACGAAACTAACAGTCAGTATAATAATACACACTTCTCCTCACCCCAGAATGGCAGGTCCAGAGAGAGGGACCTGTTCTGGCACCACTCAAAGAGCACAAACTCCCTCCCTCTCCCCTTCTCTCTCCCCGAGAGACTCGTCTTCACCACCACATGAGTGCCACCCTCCAATTCTCCCTCATTCAGTGTCACGTATTTCACCACATTCTCTCTGTGTGTGACGGAAAGTTCGGTTCTTGTGAAAAGTGGTGCACCTACTAAAAAACCACAGGACAGCTCAAACATTCTTCACAGAAATATGCAGAGACTAGGACAGTCAGTCTCAGTCTCAGGATATATGAGACCAAACAGAGAAAATGCCCAGATGATGATAATATCTCAAACCTGGGTGGAAGTAGTCGAGCACGATGAGAGAAATCGGTGCAGTTGGCCTTGGCAGAAGTTGACGGTGATAAGACACACACATAGAGCCAGTGAACTGTCGGCGAGTTTGTAGCCACGAGCAGCAGAGTGGAGGGAGAGGAGGAGGAGAGGGGAAGAGCCGTCATGGAAGGAAGGGAGCCTTCGTGGAAATGAGGATTTGAATCGACGAGTTTCCAGCCTTTAGAATTCACTGCAGAGCCAACAGAGTAAATCTAATCACGAAATATCAGACCTCATTGTCCGTACGTACGGTGTGTGTTGGAAGGAGTCATCGGGACACTCCAGCCTCTGAACAAGAGATGATGAAATACCTCCCGTTGCCTGCTAGGGTCAGAGGTCAATTCGTTAGTGGGTGGGGTCTGAAGGGTGAAGAGTCCTCTACTGAGTGCCAGTTGTAGCCTGCGACACCTGAGAAGGGAATGATGTAATGATGATGTAATTGACCCACCATACGACTGCTCGGTGGTCAGCAGGTACCCAATTTCTTGGTACAGCTGGGGAGCCGATGGTGGGAGTGTGAGTTTGGTGAGGGTGTGAGGATGGGATGGTGAGGTGGAATGGAACCTGTACATCACTGTCTCCCCCGGAAACTGACACCAGTGTCACGTTCCTAGCCACACCCCCTTCTCTGTCATTGTACCATACCTGCAAACGTGAAATGGAGGAAATTGCTGTGGATTTCTGGACTCAATTACAAATGGTCTCTGATGATAGTGGTCTCATTCCCAGACCCTCACCTCAGATATTCTGGTATAAAACTCCATCAGAGAGGGGTCAAAGGTGACGACAGGTCGAGCCAGAGGAGAGGAGAGAGTGATGATGGTCGATACGAGGGACGAGGGGAAGTTGGGGAGTGTGAACAACGCCTGGGCAACCACACCCCCCATGGAGTGGGCTACAATTAGAACAGAGGAGGGACGAGATGGGGAGGAGGGGTAGAGGGAGAGAATGTGCCGGATTGAAGCAGCAACAAACTCTGAGGGAGAGAGACGGTCGCCGAGTGAGATCAAAGGTAAGCGGTGGGTGTGGCCTCACGTACGAGTCTGTCGGAGGAGGACTCCGCCAAAGAGTCCCGAGAACTCTTCGTTGAGATCGACAGTGAAGAAATCAAAATGGCGGAGGCGAGGGAACTCGTGTCTGTGCATCTGCAGTGCTATGGAGGCTGAGGAACGAACTGCCGAGAGAGAAAATGCACAGAAGTTCGGAACACTGTAGCTATGTACCAACCTTGCTTGTGGCTGCCTGCGTTGCCAGGTATGAAGAGGGCGGGGAGCCCGCGCAGTCGCAGCGGTGCAGCGTCTAGCAGAGGCTCCTCTCTGTTACGATTCTCTCGGTACAGGTGGAGGCCGTACTGAGGATAGGCTTCGCGGAGCTCTAGCGACAGGTTCAACCTCTGGTACTGCGGCCAAGAGAACATCCACGTCATCTCGCAGTCGCTGTGCGTCAGACGCGGGACCAGATCCACCGCAGACGCCGCCAGCAGTCCGCATACTAGGAACGGGAGCCAGAGAGCCTGCAAATAACCAAGAATGACGGCATTCTGGCTTCTCTTGCTCTTCATTCCTAAACAACGCGCACCCAAATTCAATTTCTAAATAACGCTCACCCGAGTCGAATCTCTAAATAACGCTCACTCGAGTTCAAAGGTCACACTGTGGAACCGGACTCGGTCGATGGAGCTGGAATGGAACGGGAATTCACAGCCACTCCCCCATACACACGCAACCAAACATCAGAATCGACAAGGGAGCCAGAAAAATGGTTCTAAAGAAAAGTTTCCGCGTCCTGAGGCGCTACAAGCCCCGCTCCGTGCTCCTGGAGTCGAAGGAGATCGAGGGAGAGACGCTACTGTTCGAGTCCAACACCATAGCCACGCTGAGTGAGTATCTCGACATCCGAGCTGCTGGGGGTTGCGTTGCTAGCTCTGCCTCGTGTTCCCCGCAGCTCCTGCCGAGGCGGAGATGGTCCGCAGAGACTACGGCGAGGCCCTGGCCGCCTACTGTTGTCTGGGGGTCCTGCAGGTGGCGCAGGGAGACGCCGTTTACCACTACCTGGTCCTAGTCACCGACTGTCAGTCCGTGGGAAAGGTTAGGAAAGAGAGAGAGAGAGAGAGGAGGGGAGGTGTGGTGGAGTTTGATAGTGAGGAGCAGCAGCTGTGCCAGTGGTGTGTTCAGAGCCAAATGAATCCATGTAGTGTCAGAGGAATGAACTGTGTAGTGGCTATTGTAGGTGTTCACATGGGAAATACAGGCATGGTGGCCGTGGAGGTTACCACTTAATGGTATAAGAGACACGAAGACAGCTACTCGATCAAATCCTGAACTCTGTGTGTGCAGGTTAGGGACGTGGAGGTGTTCCGGATCACGCAGACTACGTTTGCACCGTTCAGCAGTCGTGCAAACCTGGAGCTGGTGCAGGAGGTTGGGAAACTGCTGGCCAGCGGGCAGTTCTTCTTCACCTGGCCGTCGTACGGAGCACAGTTCGACCTCCTCTCCTGCTCCCAGAAGCAGGGCAAAGAGCAGCGGCAGTTTTTCTGGTTAGCTGTATAATTATTCACAGAGCTGCAATTTTCTATATTTTTACGATAGAAAATTGCTCGCCGTACACATGCATAATAATGTGAAGTATTAATCGCAGCTAAAACACGTTTTCTATGCATGGGAACGTTTTTCTCACTGCTGAACATTTTATCAGCACATTTGAAAACACTTGCAAAAACATCCAGGTACGTATGTAAGGTCAGAAAATGTGACTTTTCCCTCATCATTCAGGAACAGAGCTCTCTATTCGTACATGAGAAGGTTTGGAGTGGACTGCAGGAAGTGGCTGGTGCGAGTCATGTGCGGGAGTGTGGAGATTCAGACCGTGTATGCTGGAGAGAAACAGGCCAAGGCTTGTCTCTTCTCCAGACTCAGCTGCGAACGAGCAGGCACCAGGTAAACCTTCCAAGTCTCTCTCCATCTCTTTGCCCCTTTATTCTGCCTTTAATTAGGACGCAATTAGGGAGAGTGTATGCTTGAGGAAAAGTATGTATTGTGATACAATTCATGCGTATTGCACACTGGCTGTTAAAACTATTGCGTAACAGAAAAACACCCTACAATTTAGTGGATGTGTGCACATAGCACGCGCTCAACATGTAGCATGAGTTTAGGTGAGGTACTACCCGGCCTTACCTCTCATCTTCTTCTTTCTCTCGCTGCAGACTGACCACCAGAGGAACAGATGACAGTGGTCATGTCGGAAACTTTGTGGAGACGGAGCAAGCCATCTTTGTCGACTCGAACGTCGCCTCGTTTGTCCAAATCAGAGGAGGGGTTCCCCTATTCTGGGAACAGCCGGGGCTGCAAGTAAACCCCTTTCCCTTCCCTCTCTCTCTCTGGGTTTATTATGAAAATGTGCATGAATCTAAACTCACTAGCACTTTCCTCACAACATCCTTGGAAATAATGGAATAATGGAGTAGTTTTCCTTCCTGCTCATTTTCAGACAAGTGGAGGGATGATAAAGATAAAGTTTTCCCGCGGTCCGGTCTGCTCGACTCCTGCGTTTGAGCGTCATTTCGAGTGGTGTCTGTTGCACTACGGCCCGGTGATGTGTGTGAATCTCCTGGGCACCAGAAACCAGGAGCAGATGCTCAGCAAGGCCTACTGCGAACAGTTCCAGCATCTGAGTTCTGTGAGTGCCAAATGCATTTCCAACTCTTATAGCCCTTCGATATTCAAACTTTAGACTTAATAACAAACGTGGGGAAAACATCATTTTCTGCTTATCAAACTGCAGATAAATCTTTTGCGGTTTTCTCCCAAAATGCGAAATTTCGTCTAACGTCTCATAGTACATACAGTATGCCACACTCTGTTACCTGTGACGTCTCTCTACCAGGCGTACTGTGCTGAGATGGCATGTTTTGACTATCACAAGTTCTGCAAAGGACAGAGCACCCTGGCCAACCTGGAGGGAATCTTCTTCCCCCTGGTTAACACCTTCTTCTCCACTCATGGATTCTTTGCCCAGACAAACGCCGAGACACAGAGGTAGGGATCACATGACTCTCCTCTGAGGTCATGTGACGTGTGCTTTGATGTCACATGACTTGTGTGCAGGCGACAGACTGGGATGATTCGGACCAACTGTCTTGACTGTTTGGACCGCAGCAACTCAGTGCAGACGTTTCTGGGGCTCCAGGTTATGAGCCAGCTGATGTCTGATCTCGGTCTCCAGACCAAACCGTCGGTCGTGTCCCGGTTCCAGGCCACATTCAAACAGGCCTGGGTACGGAACGGAGACAACATCAGTCTGCTGTACGCCGGGACCCGAGCCATGGGGCGCACAGAGGGGAAAGGGTTAAAACTGAAGGACGGCGCCCGTTCGGTGCAGCGAACCATCCTCAATAACTTCCTCGACAAGTCAAAGAACGAGGCAATGGAGATGTTGCTGTCTTGTAATGCTCGCTCGGGAGAACTGGGACAGAAGGCTGTTGCCCTGTTGGACAGGGCAGATGTACTAGGTAAGTATATGGGTTGGACCATCTGACAATTGGACGCCCCATTTGCCGATGATTGATTATAATTATTATGACTTCTTTGCTCAGCTCCGCTCAACTTCAAGCAGGCGATGTTGGAGCGATGGAGTGAGTACACCATTCCCGAGAAACTGAGGGTTTGCATCGGGACTTGGAACGTGAACGGAGGCAAACACATTCACAGCATCGCACTCCGGAACCAGAGCATGCACGACTGGCTCCTGGATGCCCCATTCATCGCCGGTGCCGTCAAGGAACATGTAAATCCATATCCTCAGTTCATGTCTAAGAATTGTTAGTAAACTCACAATCAAAGTTGTCAATCAGTTTTAAGTCAACCTACACTACTAGGGTGTATTTAGAGTGTAGATCGATTTCGTACGGTGCTGAAGCCATTTTGTTGACACGATGGTGTGGAGTCTACGAGTGGTAGTTGTGCATGACCTGTGCCTCCACAAATGTAGTAAGAATGTGTGGGACTATGTTAGTCTTGGAGCAGTTCACAGTGTGTGGCTGATTGTCCATGTGTAGCCTTTTCCTTTGAACTACAGACTCTCTCTCTCTCTCTCTCTCTCAACCACAGCCTGAGGAGTTTGCAGAGCCTCCCGACATCTTTGCCCTGGGATTCCAAGAGCTTGTTGGGCTCACCGCCTCCAACATTGTCTCTGCCAGGTACGGTGCAAACCTCTGCACCACTGAATAAGGGGACACCTTTCTGCGTGTAGCTCTACCCATGCAATAGTAATGCAGTAGTCGCTCCGATTAAGGGGTACCTCTGACTAAAGGAGACTTTTATTCATGTCTCCAAGGTGTTCCTTATTTAGAGGTTCTGTTGGAGCACCATCTCCCCTCTCCCTGTCCCTCTTCCCCCCAGCTCCACCAATAGGAAGGAGTGGGCGATGGAGCTGCAGAAGGTGTTGTCGAGGGACACCAGATATGAGCTACTGACAGCCGAACAGATGGTCGGGATCTGCCTCTACATCTTTATCAGACCCAAACTCATCCCCTTCATCAGGTAGGTGGAGCCAGTCGCCACGACAATAACCATGGCAACCGCATTTCTCCGCCTGCAGGGATGTGGCCGTGTCGACGGTGAAGACAGGAATGTCGGGGAAAGCCGGGAACAAAGGGGGTGTGGTCGTACGATTTCTTCTTCACTCCACTTCTCTCTGTTTTGTCTGCTCTCACCTGGCGGCACACCAGACCAAGGTCACGGAACGGAATCAGGACGTCCACGACATCTGCACCAAGGTCCAATTCCCACACGTGAGTCGGTTCCGATTCCATTCCACAACCCCAAGTCCTGATTCCATACCAGGGTCAGACTCTGGAGTCACATGACTACGTGTTTTGGTGCGGGGACCTCAACTATAGGATCGACCTTCCGACCAATGTGGCCAAGGAGCACATCGTGGGGAGGAGATGGGAGAGCTTGGTCCTGCAAGACCAGCTCACAAAACAGAGGAAATTGAAGAAGGTTCGAGTTACAGGCTGAGGATGAGTGGGTGTGGCTTTAATTATTCACTGGAACAAGACACCCCTGAAATAAGAACACATGTCCACCTTTTCCCCAGGAAACAGTCTTGTGTGCAATTTCACCTCTGGAATAGGACACCTCACTCACTTTCATTAGTGTCTTAGTGACAGGGGTATCTCTCTTTCTTTTCCTTTGTTCAGGTGTTCAGAGGTTTTGTAGAGGGAGCTATGACCTTTGCCCCCACCTACAAGTACGATCAGTTCTCCGATGATTACGACACAAGCGAGAAATGTCGGACCCCTGCCTGGTGTGATCGGATTCTGTGGAGGAGAAAACCCCTCGTGGCCGACCCATCCACGAATGGGATGACCAGCAACACGTCCCAAACATCGATGGCATCTGAAGACAATCTTGAAGGTAGGAAGTTGTTACTGACAATTGCTCTTCGAAACATGAGTCGATCTAAAACCACACCACTATACTAAAATGCACAGTTTACTAACAGACTTTCTCTTGATCTCTGGCAGTTGAAGGAAGAGAAGAGTCCCCATCTCCCACCACTCTCTGGGACTTTGGTCTACACCGCAGCGATGCTGGGAAGGTCTACCGGAGGGAGATGGAGGGAGGAGGAGGAGGTGAACTGGTGAATACGGGCCATCCCTGGCACCCGGGACGTCTTCTCTTCTACGGCAGAGCCGAGTTGAAACAGTCAGACCACCGTCCTGTCGTCTCCCATCTCGAGGTACACACACACACAGTAAAACTGAAACATCTTATGGGAAACCTTGGATCCTTTATTCAGAGGTGTCCCTTATTGAGAGGGTCACCTTTCGGAGGTTTTGCTGTGCTGAAAGTTTACTCGTCTCCATGGCGATGATCATGTGACATGTCATGTGACCCAGGTGGACATGTACCGAGTGGACAGGGTGAAGAGAGGGGCGGTGAGGAAGGAGGTGGGGCTGTTATTGGGACCGTCTGATCCAACCATTGTAGTCAGCGAGCCGGAGGGAGACACTGTTGATATGACAGCTCTGGTCGACTCTGTCAAGAAATATGGAGAAGTCGTTCTTGTCAGGTGAGAGGCCAACATTCACGTGTGCTTCTACGACACCATAATTTATTGATATGTGTGTGAAGAATGTACTACTGTATTATGTGTATAATATGGCACACAGAGCTACTGAGGAGAATATTTTGGTGACCTTCAAGAATTCTCAGTCAGCAATGGCAGCCACTGCCCTCAATGGGGACAGAGTGAGTCTTAATATTCTTTCAGCGTGAAAAATTTCTAAATGTTTGATAAAAATTTAGGTTAGCTTACTAGTGTTTTTATGGAGCAAATTGCTTGCTATACGTTGTACAACACAACCTCTTTCTCTATCCTTTCTCCCCTCTTTGTCCAGGTAGAAGGGGTTAAAGTTGAAGTCAGTCTTCGAACTCCGTGGCTATTACTAGACGAAAACAAGGGGGCCGAGGGAGATTCGGGGGGCCCAGAGACCTCCGAAACTCCCCCAGGGGGCGTGGTTTCGAGGAAACCTCAGAGGGACAAGGAACTGCTGAGGAAACGACTGTCGTTGCTAGCGGTAACACCGGATGGTGGGTGTGACCAGGAAATGGGGTCAGAGGTAAACGATGATGAGCTTCTGGAGTTCAGTTTTACAGGGGAAGCCCCTCCCATGTAAGTCAATTATGAGTTTTAATTATAATATTATATTGATAAACTTGTTCTTTTTTCAGGAGTTCAGAAGAGTTGGGGGAAGGGGTGGAGGAAGAATATGGTGACGAGAATGGAATGGAACCAGAGAGTGACGAAGCTGGTGGAATGGAACCGGACCAGGAGGAGGGGGTGGAGTCATATTCTTCTTCGTCATTGTCAGATGTGGAGGAGGAGATGGGGGCGGAGGGAGGGAGGGAGGAGGAAGAGGAGAGGCCTGTCACTGTGAAGATCAACTCCCCGCCTCCTGAACCAGCAGACCCCCCATCTACCACTGTATGTTTACCACCTTATGAGGCTTTCAATATTAACCCCAAATGAACTGTATGCACCTTGTCCATTTTACTCCTATCTTGCTTCAACCTTTCGCATTTCCCCTAGTAACATTCCCCTTATATCGCTCTGCTCTATCTCAGACCGTAATGGTGTCAGGTTTTGCCCTGTGCTCTACCACATTACAGAGTTCTCCATCTTCTGAACAGAAGCCAGTCCCTAGACCTCGCTCCCACTCCTCCCGGTCCCCCATTCCAAGCCCCGCCCACAGCCCCACCCCCCCAGAGACAGGTTGCCACAGAGACCCCAAGTTCAGTGAGCGACAAACCAGCTGTCCCCCAGCGACCCTCCAGACCCCCTGTCCCCCAGAGACCACACCCACCAGCCACGCCAACCAGGAGAGCTCCGCCCAGTCGTCCAGCCAGACCTCCCAACAGACCTCCACCTCCTCACTAGTAGCGAGAGACTTTCACTCTCACAAATCAACAACCTGTTTATTTATGCCAGTCATTGAATGATGATGTTGCTGCTATTTTTTTTTGCTATTTTTCTATTTTTCGGGCATTGAAAGTGAGAAGTGATGATTTTTCATACATTACACCGATATAATTATACTAGGCTACGTTTTAGTTCTTCGTTTCTGCCATATCTGGTATTTGTGCAGAGCGGTGTGTATGCAGGAGAGGAGATGGGACGTGATTTGAGAGTCAGGTAGAGAGGAATCAGCTGACGGGGCTCCCAGTTTCTCGGAATAGTCTCTGAGGCAGCTGGACATCCTCTGGGCCTGAGGCAAGAAGCATTGAAAATACTGTAACATCATCATCCTTATTCCTATCTCGCCATCCCCTCACCCCTCACACCAACAATAATGGTTTTCGCCCAATAGGAAGAGAAATATTAGTGTGGTGTATAAACCAGCTGGAATTTATTTGTGAAATGGGAAAAAGAAATCTCTTTACAGTATGAATACCTTTTCCTCCAACTGAGGATTGAGAATGGGGAAGCAGGCCCAGAAATGCCGGAGTAGCTCGTTGACAGCCAGCTGGTGATGGTACAACTGGTCCCTGGTGTTGGGTGACAGCTGCGAGGAGACCACGCCCCCTCCCCTGCTCATTAACGAACCCCCAGGGACCAGGTGACTGACTGCGGAGTACATGGCACTGTGGTTCACTGTCTGGGGAGAGAAGATTCCAAATGAAGTGTAAAATATGGGAGAGAAGATTTTGTACAAATTCCGTGTTTTTTTATAACATGATATTTTGTGGGTGGGGATGGTAACGCAATCTGTGAAATTATCATTTGCTATCTTTTCTCCCCAGAAAGCACTTTACTGTATATTTCAGTTATCTGAATGATGAAAAAACATGCTTCCATTGTTGCTTTCTTCACGGACCCCACATACATTTACATACATCTTCTCCATCAACCAAACTTGGTGCGGCATTTGTGCGAACCTGTTGTGGTGTCCACTGCATGACCTCTGCAGCCAGCTGCCCCATATCTACTGCTTCCCCTGCAGAGCCGACAGTCTCAGTGGGCGGGGCCAACTTGAGCCTCGTCTCATATGACTCACCCCCCATCGTCTCTGGTTCTAGGGACTAGAAGTCACATGACAATCACATGACTGAGGGGTATTGGATCATACTCTGCCGACCTGAACTGTCGAACCTCTGCAGTAGTAAAGAGGAGACAGGGAGTTAAATCAGAAATATATAGGAGAAAAGGAGTTAAAGAAGAAAATGGCAGGCAGTAATACAGGACAGCAAAAATATTAGCTTAGGTAACCATTTGATACACAAGGAGGCACATAGCGTTACACTGTAAAGAGGAATGTAGTGTTCCTAGGAGAGAGTGCTCACCCAGAGCTGGAGCCAATTGCCTGGAGGACCATGGAACTGTGGAGGTTACATCTCTGTACCAGAGAGTGAGGGGTGACCGAGGAAGAGGAGGAGGGAGGGGTGACGGAGGAAGAAGAGGAGGGAGGGGGCGAGTGGGGGAAAACACTGTACCCCTATAAGGATTGAGAGATAAAGAGAAAAAAGCAGGAGTGTGAAGAGAGAGAGAGAGGGACGTGAATTTCCTCCACACACCTCTTCAGGAGAATCACTAGTATTGAGAACATTACTCTCTTCCTTCCTCTGACCTACACACATACCCACACAACACACACATCAAGACAGGAGAGAGAGATTTCAGTAGGTCAGGCAACACCTCTCTCTTCCTCAGCGAGGCAGCTGCTAAGCAGATTCTTTGGCCCCAGGTCCCGGTGGAACCTCTGAGACTGGAAGAACTGGATCCAGAAATCTTCCTCCTTCATCTTGTCGGGGACCAGCTGGCGATGTCGGGCCTTCACCGAGGGGTAGGTGCGGAAGATGGCCTCGATCACTTCGTGGGTGACACTCAGCTTCATGGAGTTGCAGCCATCGGAGCCGTCGGACACAGCCTCCAGCTCCGCCAGGAACGCAGACGGGAGACCCGTTTCCTGATCTGACGATGATTTCCCCGTGCTCAGGGACCGCTGTGCAGGAGGAAGAGGGGGAGGATACCACACCATACCATGAGAAACTTTTGAAGAAGATGAACCACTCATTATACTTTCAAATCAGTGTCAAGTAAAAAAACTTGGCACAGAAAGGTTAAGTGTTCCACAAATTTTTTCATTCTAGATAAACAGTACCATTCTGTTCTCCCAGAACTCCTCAGCGGTAATGACTCCTCCCACCACCAGTTCGCGGTACAGTTGATGTAGTCCCGGAGTGGTGTTCAGGAGGGCCGACTTTGCCTGGAGGTCTGAGTCAGGAGGGGTCTGCGGTGGGGGTAGGGGGGCAGAATTCACATGGTAGGGGATCTAAAAATCATAACCGGCCCCTCACACCTGTTGCAGGAGTCTCTGCAGCTGGTCCTTGCACCGGTTTCTCTGCCCCAGAGCTTTCTCTCTGTCACCAGTGAAATGGAAATTGAGTTGTGTGTCAGATACAAGGATGAGCTGCAGCTGGACCTTGGAGCTGGTCTCTGAGCTCACTCGCTGGGCTGTGCAGTGAGAGAAAGAGAGTGAGTTGGAAAGATGTGGTGCTAGCTGGTTCACCTTTGACCTGACTGTAAGGATGGTTGACCTGCAGACCATTCCCCGAGTCCCAGGCAAACCGAACTGACGTGAGGAAGAGGATGCCGTCCTGCTTCTTGTGACGGACGCCATGGAACTCTGAAAGGAACTTCTCCGCCGTTCCTCCTCGACCTTCGGCCATAGCGGATCACGTTTCGCGCATGCGCATACATTCAGTTACTAGTTTGCGTGCTGCGTGTAGAGACGTTGGCGAATCGTGGTGAGTATCTCTCTCGATCCTCTTGTGTACTGCGTTCTATTGGCGTATGGCGTCTTCATCACGTTAGGGAGAGGCAGATAGTCGCTCACAATGGGTCGGAGACCGGCAAGATGGTAAGTAAGCAGTGCGGTTGATATTCTACGATCTTGTGTGTGCTTCCAGTTATAGATACTGTAAGAACAAACCGTATCCAAAGTCTAGATTCTGCAGAGGAGTACCAGGTTAGTTGTTAGTGGTGATCTCTCTAATGGTGATGCCCCGCCCACCTCCCACAGATTCAAAGATAAGGATCTTTGACCTGGGGTCGAAGAAGATGCCAGTTGATGTGTTTCCTCTCTGTGTCCACCTGGTGTCCAACGAGTATGAGCAGCTGTCCAGCGAGGCTCTCGAGGCCGGCCGAATCTGCTGCAACAAGTACATGGTCAAATATGCCGGGAAAGACCAGTTCCATATTAGGATCAGGCTCCACCCCTTTCACGTGCTGCGGATCAACAAGATGTTGTCCTGTGCCGGAGCCGATAGGTAGGTGATGTCATCATGATGTAATGTTTGATTGGCCCGACATCAGGCTCCAGACAGGGATGAGAGGTGCCTTTGGAAAGCCACAGGGTACGGTAGCGCGGGTGAATATTGGCCAAGTCATCATGTCTATCAGGGCAAAGGAGAACCATCTGGGAACTTGCCTTGAGGCTCTGCGCAGGGCAAAGTTCAAGTACCCTGGCCGGCAGAAGGTAAGGCCAGTCACAGTGTTAAACTTTGCAATCAAGTTCATCTGGTTTTGTCAACTACTAGACTGTTTGAGAAAAAAATCTCTGGCATAAACCTGCAACTCTCTGTGCTATGTTACTAATGTATGAAACTCTCTCAACCTGTCAGATCTACATCTCCAACAAGTGGGGGTTCACCAAGTGGACCAAGGAGCAGTACAAGGAGATGATGGCCAACGGGCGACTGGTCCCCGATGGTGTCCACGTTCAGTACAAGCCAGACAAGGGCCCCCTCTCAGCGTGGAAGAAGAGGCAGACTGCCTGAACCTGGCCTCTAGTCATATCTATGATATTGTCCATACATTTTATCTATATCTATGACGTGAAATTCAACGGCAAACAAAAAGAGAACGAAACGAAATTACGTATAAGTGTTTGTCACGAACATCTTATCCCGCTGCCTATTGCCATGAACACTCCAAACGTCCCTCCAGTCTGTAGCATCGTCTTCCCTAGCAGAGTGAGCAGCTCGCGTCCGCGGAGTCCGTAACGAATACCACCGAATGTTCCAAATATCGCCCCCGTGCTAATCCCCACGGCGAACCCAATCATGGCGCCGTACTTTATCCTCTCGAAGCAGCTGGGGCCTCGCGAGTAGCCGTGTTGCACCGGAGGCATCTCTCTCTCTTCTCTGCTCTACTCTACGGCTCTCGACGCTCCACGCTCAAAAGTGTGGGTGTGCTTTTATTAGAATCAGATTCACCCACGTGGGTTCAAGTGCGCTCTATTTGGCGAAAATGCAGGTAACGACTGCAGGCGGAGTGAAGGTTTACAACCTAAGCGCCGGGAAGAGCCTGCCTGAATGGATCTCGGAGAGAAAACGAAGAGCCCTGCTAAAGAACGACCTAGGTCAGAACCTATGCAATAATACCTCCATAGCATATGAGTCAAAATTTCGAGTTGACAGGTCTAAGACGTCGAATCGAGCTGCTGCAGGATTTCTCCATGCCGATAGCGTCCACAGGGATCCAAGTAACGGCCGACGGACAGTATATCATGGCGTCAGGTGAGCCAGGGCTCCGTCCTAGTGAGTGAGAGACTACCTGGAGTCGTTGCAGGGGTCTACAAGCCCAGAATCAGGTGCTATGACGTGAAACAGCTCTCGATGAAGTTTGAACGGTGTCTGGACGCGGAGAGTGAGCCATAAACCCCTCTTTTCACCCTCCCTTGCTGACACTGTCTCTATCACATCTCTCTCCAGTCGTGAAGTTTCATATGCTTTCTGAGGACTACTCTAAAGTGAGTGTCCGTTGCTGCAGAGATATTTTACACTTCTCTTGTAAATAATTGCACAGTTTGTCTGTCTTCTGTCAGACCGTCAGTTGGAAATACATGCTCAGGTGACCTCTGGTGTATTACATAACTCCGCATAATTGTGTCCGTGTCCAACAGTATGGGTTCTACTATCGGACGAGAATCCCAAAGTTTGGTAGAGATTTGTCCTACCACTCACCGTCATGTGACCTGTATATCGTGGGAGCAAGGTGATAGAACTAACTCTCCATCTTTGTCAAATTCTGATGTGGTTATACTGGCTATTCTGAATGTGATGATACTCTAGTTCAGAGGTCTACAGACTCAACCTGGATCAAGGTCGCTACATGGCACCTCTCCACACCAACGCTAGGTCTGTCTGTATTTTAGGTATAGGCTCATCATTACTTTGAGATATACATGATGTAATCCTGACCTAATAGTGGTGAGTAGCCAACAAACTTAGAGACAACACCTTTCGTTTCCTTGAAATGTCTTCAATTTTTTGGCTTCTGATTGCATTCTATTAGAGCAGAATGTCACAGGATTACATAAGACTGCATAACCTTTCTCTCCCTGATTTATCCTGCAGATCATGTACTGTTTGTGAGATTAATCCTCATCATCAGCTTCTCACCATCGGCACAGAACAGGTCGAGACACATTTGTGACCCAATTATTCAAGGCTTGTGTTGTAATAGGGGGGAGTGGAGTGCTGGGACCCCCGCTCTAACACACGATGTGGGCAGATGGCTGTGAGTTTGGACACCATGGACTCAGGGTGAGCCACCCGGCTCTGATGGACGGTGAGAGATGTGTATTCTTCTCTATCACTAGAGGTGACACTACACTGCAGCCTGCCGTGACGGCTCTGAAGTACAAGAATTCTCTCACTCTGGCTGTGGGCACTGCCTCTGGTCAGGTGAATGGTTCCAAACTCTCGGAGATGAGAGTTGGCTCTGGGGATGGTTGAATAGAACCCTCCTCACAGCTGGCTGGCTCAATGTATTACTGATCTGAAGGAGATCATAGTAATCCAGACCTACTGATTTCATAACATTTCTCTCTAAGACCTTCTTTGTCTTCATCAAAAGGTTTTTTCGTATCTAGTGTTGCATGATTTAGTCTCTCTCTCTCTCTCTCTCTCTCCTCCTGCAGGTGTTGCTATATGACCTCCGCACTCCCACACCTTTCCTTGAGAAGGATCACCACTACTCCATTCCAGTCCACTCAATTGCATTCCAACGCAGCCAGGACTTGGTTCTGTCTGCAGACGCAAAGGCCCTCCGAATATGGCACTGCAGTGATGTAAGACATTCTGCCGAACCCCTCTCCAAAGACACCCCTAAAATGTGGACACCTTATATCCCAAGAATGTTCTTGCTTCGCATTTACCCTCTGAAATAGGACACCTTATATCCCAAGAATGTTCTTGCTTCGCATTTACCCTCTGAAATAGGACACCTTATATCCCAAGAATGTTCTTGCTTCGCATTTACCCTCCGAAATAGGACACCTATCCACTTTCTTCAGTCATAGTGTCCAGATTAGGGGATTCCACTGTATAAAGTCTTCTAAACTTCCGACACAAATGTCGTTTCACTCTCTTCTTTTCTCTTTCTCTACGGTGTACAGGGCTCCCCATTCACAGCCATAGAGCCTGAGCATGCCATCAACAGCGTGTGCTACCTTCCAGAGACAGGAATGGTGTTTATGGCCTGCGAAGACTCCAAAATGCTCTCCTACTACATCCCAGTTAGCTGCCGGAACCTCTGAATGGAGGGACACTGTCCCCTATTCAGACGTTCATAGATGTATTAGTATGGGGCAGAACCAAGTGTCCTTTATAGAGAGGTGTCCCTATGTATTAGTATGGGGCAGAACCAAGTGTCCTTTATAGAGAGGTGTCCCTATGTATAGTATGGGGCAGAACCAATTGTCCTTTATAGAGAGGTGTCCCTATGTATTAGTATGGGGCAGAACCAAGTGTCCTTCATAGAGAGGTGTCCCTATGTATTAGTATGGGGCAGAACCAATTGTCCTTTATAGAGAGGTGTCCCTATATTAGTATGGGGCAGAACCAAGTGTCCTTTATAGAGAGGTGTCCCTATGTATTAGTATGGGGCAGAACCAAGTGTCCTTTATAGAGAGGTGTCCCTATGTATTAGTATGGGGCAGAACCAAGTGTCCTTTATAGAGAGGTGTCCCTATGTATTAGTATGGGGCAGAACCAAGTGTCCTTCATAGAGAGGTGTCCCTATGTATTAGTATGGGGCAGAACCAAGTGTCCTTTATAGAGAGGTGTCCCTATATTAGTATGGGGCAGAACCAAGTGTCCTTTATAGAGAGGTGTCCCTATGTATTAGTATGGGGCAGAACCAAGTGTCCTTTATAGAGAGGTGTCCTTTTTCTGAGGTTGCATGGAATAATCCTCGTGATGTAGTTTGTTCCTGGCTCCGCCCACCCAGGCGGTTGGCCACGCCCCCAGGTGGTGTTCATTCCTGGACTCCCTGACGGAGGAGCTGGAGGAGGCGGAGCCTGTCGTCTATGACGACTACAAGTTTGTCACCTCCTCAGACCTGGACACTCTTGGTAACCCTCCTCTCTATACCAGACCAGCACATTTTATAGGGAGGGGCCTTTCTTCAATTCGAGTTTTCAAATTTTTACTTGCCACCACCAATGTTTGTTTCTCCCATTAACACTGTACAGTCGCATTGGTTTTGCAAGCATGTGGTGGTTAGACGCCACTTGCAAAATACCTTCAACTCTGAATGCATTCCTCTTCCTTCCTTCCTTCCTTCCTCCTTGTCTTTCCTTTCTTCTCCCGTGTATAGGGCTGTCTCATCTTGTCGGAACCAACCTGTTGAGGGGTTACATGCACGGTTACTTTATGGACATAAGACTCTATCACAAGGTCTCATTTCCTTTCGTTGGACGACTTGTTTACATATTGTTTAGCAACATGGAGCTTCATCCACTTCCTCCCTTTTTAATTTCCCCCTTACTGCATATGTATATTATATACTATTATTGTTCCCTCCCTTCCTTCCACCTTCCACCTCTGTTACTGAATACATCCTCTATCACACGCACACACACACACACACAATGACTCTATCTCTCAGGCAAAGGCAGTTTCACAGCCATTTGCATACAGAGAGTACCGAAAGGAGAAGATAAGGCAGAAGATAGACGAACAGCGAGCTAGCAGAGTCAAGGAAAAGGTAACGGGAACAAAACTGCCAAAAAGTTCAGTTTTGACAACTGTTCATGATAATTGTGCAGAAAGTGCTGAGGGTTAATTCAGAGCTCGCCAAACGACTAATGGAAGACACCAAAAAGACGGTAAGAAAAGAAGAATTGACAGGGATTAAAAAAGTGTTTTTCAGGTGAAAGATGTGTCAAATCCTCTGGGAGACAACCGGTTTGCTGCCATGTTCTCCGATGCCAACTTTCAAATTGACGAGGAGAGTGAGGTAAGAAATGCATTACATCATTACTTAGCATTTTAATGTACAGCCGAAAAAGCAAATTACATCATTCTTTATGACATCACTCAGGAGTTTCGGGCTGTTCATCCAGTGCTAGCAAAGGCGAAATTGAAAAAGAAGAAACTGGAAGAAAAACAAGCCGATATTGAGAGAGGAGAATCAGAGGTGATGGTATCATGTCATGTGACCTTGTCATGTGACCTTGTCACGTGATGTCATGTGATGCAGGAGCGGGAGGGTCGTCCGAGTGACGAGAGCAGTTCATCAGACGAGGAAGAGGAGAGAGCTGCCTGGAGAGAAGTAGCCAGATTGAGAAGAAGCAAGATGGCAGAGGAGGGGGAGAAAGGGAGTGTGGGGGAAGAAGGAGCAAAGGTTGAAATGGTGGCGGTAAGTGGGGGAGACAGACTAAGTATTCAGAGACCTTCAACTGTGTCAAGGTACATGTAATATCAGCTGTATTGTATGGTGTCAGTGGGTTGATTCTAATTAGAGCCTCCCTGGGAAAGCGGCTGGAGAGGGAGGGAGGAGCATCTCTGGCCACGCCCCATTCTTCGTCTCTCGGGAACAAAGAGATGAAGTTCTCCCTCAAGAAGGTTTGACACGTATCTATAGATTAGTATGTAGGTATTGAACTATGTATGTAGGCCTATCTGCCCTGTGGCATTGCAGGATTTCTGATTTGTCGCATTAGCAAGTAAATGAGTAATTAACCCAAGGCTGCATGGTATGAATGCACTGTTGACCTAATTAACCTGTCAGTCTGCCAAAATCAGACACGAACTGCTTTCTCTGCCAAGTGGTGGTTTATGAGAGAGAGAGAGAGAGAGAGAGAGAGCAGCAAATACACAACCAATGGAGTAAAGATTCTTTACTGGTTTTGAAACTAATCTGAGTCCTTGCTGGTAGCTGGTGATTCATTAGCACAGCCCTGGAATGACATACAGTGTGCGTTTTTCCCAGTGACAAACCAAAACACGGGCTGTTTTGCTTACGACCAGTTTCATAACACAACATAGTCACCAGCATTCCTGCCTCCCCTCCACCTCATACGAGCTGACATAACAGGGTCTGTCGGATTTGTCACGGCATGAGCTGGCACAATAGGGTAGTGCTCATTGGATGTTTCATAAGTAAACACGACATAGTTACCAGCATTCCTGCCTCCCCTCCGCCTAATGTGAGCTGCCAAAATTATTATCCCCAGGCATATGACAGGGTCTGTTGGGTCTATCGGATTAGTCAAGGCATGAGCTGTCGCAATAGGAGAGTGCTGATTGTGTATTAATCCCAAAACACTATGCATAGTGTTGTATGTACTAGCGTTCCAACAATATGATTGTGTTGCGTATGCCATCCTTTTTTCTTCTCTTTTCTCCCACACACACACACACACACACACACACACTGTGTTCAGAGTGAAGTTGAGACAACTCACAAACAGCGGATGAGAGATCACAGAATCGAGAGAAGGAAACTCGGACGCTCGGCAAAGAAAATCCTACCAAAAACTCGAAACACACCTGTCTTTTGGAAAGGTCGCCGCGTGAAGTAAAACATTACTTTTTAACCAACACGTTAATTCATCATGCGCATACATTAAAATGAAAAAAACGAGAAAGTTTTTAAGTTGTTCAACACACTGCATTTACAATGCAATCATTACAGTAATAAGAACAAGTAAAACATAATGTCTTGATGTAAGGTGGACAGGGTTAATTTGAGAAGAAAAATAATTGCAATTCTGTCTGTGAATTCAGATGTACAAGTCTTCGGCGAGTCTCACTTTTGAGGTAGGGATTTTCCCTATTTTCCCAGTGAAGACATGAGGGGTGCTCCCGAGCTGTCCAATCCAGTAATCGGACGAGTCCCGACTGATGACGCGGAGGTAGGAGCCGGATTTGAAGCTGATCTGTTCGTCCGACTCAGCCGTGTGATCCGCTGTCGTCTCGTAAATTTCCTGCTCTCCAGACAGTAGTTCCAGCGTTGCACTCTTGGCTAGACCACGCAGGGCCGATATCCAGCTGGTCAGACTTTCCTTTGATCCCGGAGTAAAGTGGTGTACCTTGTCCCCTTTCATTAGTCTGAACGAAAACTTCCCGTCCTTGCCCGCAGGGCTGTATGCCATGTCAAACTCACTGAGCGAGAGTTTATCCGACACACGTTTATCTTTCTGGTTCTTGTAGCAACAGAAGTTAGTGCCCTCCACGGCACACCATTCTTCGTAGAATTTCGATTTCTGTGGCGGCTTGTGGCTGAGACTGTCCGAGTGTCTCGGAGTGTAGCTGGCTGGGGGTGGGGGCTTGACGATCTTGCTGGCAGCTGCTGCAGCTGGCTTGGACACACCCCTCGGTGGGAGAGAGACTGGGGGTGATTGCAGAGAGGGTGAGGTTGGATCTACCTCACAGTAGACCTCCAGTTCCTCCTCGTCTCCCTTGGGTTTCTCCATCAGTACATAGTCTTCCGTTGGTCCCTGTCCAATGTCCATTTCTGTGTAGTCCTCTGTGGGCAATTCAGCACCTTTAGCTCCACCCACTGGCGGCACCACGTCCTCATACAACTCCTCCACTACCTCACCCCCTCCTCCTCCGGCCACGACGTCGTCGTACATTTCCTCGACGATGTCGCCACCCCCTGACGATGTGGGCGGGGCCACCACGTCTTCATACAGTTCATCTCCGCCCACGTCTGGCTGGGCGGGGGGCGGGGCAGCGGATTTCTTAAGCTGAGGGGTAAGTTTTGGTGTGGGGTTCGGGGAATTTCTCGGGGGGAGTGAGGGGGAAGGTCTAGAGGAGACAGATTCGCTGCGATCATTGCGAGCAGGGAGTGCAGGGCTAGGGAGCCTCTGCTCCTGTCGGGGAGGTGGGAGAGAGGGCGCGGTCTTCTCCGGGGGAGACGAACTCGGCTTCACATCGTCAAATTCTTCGTAAATGTCTTCTTCAATTTCCTCTCCGGCTGGCAGCTCTTCATACAGACCTTGATCTGAGAGAGAGGGATGGAAATGGTGTGAGAGTGATTGTAGTAGCTTTAGAGTAGGAGTAGTTTCAATGTGGGGATTAAACCAATATTCATGATGATCCAGAGCTAGCTAGGCTCAGCAAGAGTATGTGTAGTCCAACTTCAAACAACCCGGTGCTAGGAATATACGCGGTATTCTGAGCTGTGGGCTGCACTGGTATCAGTATATAATATTGGTGTATACACGTGATGGGGAGTCTCACAGATGTGAACATACAGTGGTCTCACCATTCTCACCCTATATACTAGAACCAAACCTAGACTACCACTATTGTACATACATTATACACCAACACAGGCCATGCCATGCAAAACAACTCCCACCTTAGACAGTGTACACTGGTGGCATGCATGGCCACCTACTCAAGGGCCCCTACAACAACACTGCAGATATTACAGATGTGGGCACTGCTTTGGGAATTTGCATAGCTATATTATACAACTTCTTGCTCACTCATGTACTTGCAAAGCAAACCCGCTCTCAAAGCTGCTGTTTACATGTCCCCAGAGACTCTTTGCCATCGGGGCATCACTAATTCAAAATGCTATACATTCAGATACCGTGGAAAGCTTGATTCCTATAATTATGTAGCTTGCAAAAATTTTAGGGCTGCATTATCCATTCAGAGACAGACAGCTACCACAACAATGTAAGCAAACTCCTTATCATGAACACACACATAGAGTAATGATTACACAACCACCACACAAAGGAGGGAAGGGCCCTTACCTTCTTCGATTCTTGGGACATTAGTGGGTGTGGCTGACTCCGCCCCCTCGTCCTCTTCGTCCGATCCCAACTCCAGGTTGCTGGTGGAGACGCCTAGGACCTCCTCCATCACCTGTCTCCACGAGTGAACCTCGGACGACGGGAGACTCAGCGTTTCCTTGTTTCTCCCGCTGCGGACCAGGAGACCCTCCGACTGCTTGTCGTGGCCCTTCTTCTCCAGTTTGACAGTTCCAGAGCCGTTCAGGAGACACACGTGGTGATACTCCTTCACCTCCTCCCCACTCGTGAAATAGATGGCCGCGTACGTGACCACGGCGTAGGTTTTCTCCCACCCACCAAAAGTTCCCTTTTTCCTGTGCACGTAGCCTTTCATCTGTACTCCTTGCTCAGGGATCTCGTTCACTGGCTTGCTTTTGGCCGATCGATTAGGCGACACTGAAAAACTCGTCCTCTTGTTTTTCAACGGAGAGCCGATTTCCTCGTCTGATGTAGTGGTTGGATCTATTACGATATCAGGGCTTCTCTTGCTGTTGTTGTTGCTGTTGATCTTGCTGTGGCTCCTCTGGCTTTTCTGAAGGGGAGAAAACCATTTCAACACGCCAGAATCAACACCCAGCCTAGTAGGGGGCGGTTGGAGCTTCTTTCCTCTCTATTTCCTCTCTATGTTTACTAACTAGATCTCCAATTACATCATTAAGATATGCCAATCACAAGTCCAGCAAGTTCATGTGGCCCATATTCGATCAAAACAGAAACTTTCAGCTGCTGCCCCTACTTATTGTTATGCAAGCAGGCAGCGTCCTTTTATGGAGATCCATGTCTTACTGCGCAAACAACGACCACTCGACTCCGAGTCTAAAATCACAGGGGCCTGCCGTTTCCATGGAATACTGCACTTTGTAAGGCCGAACAACAGACAACTGCTGTCGGTTAGTGCGAAAACATGCAGACAGCACGCTCTCCAAAAGGCGACGGAATCTACAATAGTTACAACTACAATACAGAATCTACGTGGCTACTACATGGGACCTACAAGAAACACACAATCGTCTGTACAGATCCTGTACATAATGTAGACATGGTGCAGAGGTTACAATTTACCTTCTACAGGTGGACAAGTTGGCTCTGTAGGACAAGCATCTATGGCTTTCTGCAGCTCCTCCACCCACTTCTCTCTCAGCTCACTGGTCTCCACACGGAATACCCACTGCTTTTGTTCCCTGTGACTGAACAACTCGATCCCGTTTGGTGCTGCGTCGCTAGGCGATACCATGCATCCAACCAGCTCTAGCTCTTTGTCCTTGGAGCCTGCAATGAGGACGAGCGTTGTTTCCTTCAACTTCCCCGCGATCTTGATCCAGTTGAAGCTCTTTCCCAGACGCTTTGGAACCCGTTTCTCCAGCGCTGACTTGATCCTCACTCCCTCCTCCTGCACCTCTTCTTCCTTCTCAGCAGTCCCTTCTCCCTCTGTCGCCTCCTCTGCCTCTTTCTCCTCTTCCTCCTTTACCTCTCCCTCACCTCCAGCCACACTGGTCGTCTCCTCTCCTTCCCCCTGCTCTGCAGGCTCCTGCTCCCCATTCTCTCCCTCCACTAGGGTCACTGCTGACACGTTTTGTCCTGTCTTCTTGGATCGTTTGCCTATCTTATTCCGCAGCACCTTCAGACCTCCTCCACCGAACCGCTTCTTCTTTCCTTTCCCTTCGCCAGCGGCTGCAACTCCACTGCTCTCCTCCGTTGGCTCTTTTTTATCCGACTCGTTGCTCGCCGTGCTGGCTGGGCGCTCCGACGCAGCAGCGCCATCTTCTCCCTTTTTATTTTCGCGTTTCAAGACGCTAGCGGGCTCGAGATAGTCCGTGCCTTCGTTTGCAGGCGCCACATCTTCCTCCTTGGCCACCTCTGGCGCTGTACCAGCGGCTTTCTTTGGAGAAAACGCGGTCATTTCCTTCTTTGCCTTCGTCTCGATGCGTGCGTACTCGCTCACTTTGCTATCCACGACGCTGACGCTACTATTCCTGGCCAGCTCTCGCTTCCCGTCGGTCGGGGACGTGGCGTCTCCGTTCTCGTAGGACGGCGGCGTCTCTCGTATCGTGTCTCCTTGCAAGTAGAGCAGCTTCTCCAGCAATTTCTTTCTCCTCGTCTCCATGACGGCGGGGATCTTGAACTGTTCCAGCATCCGCAGGAACACCACGGTGTCTGCGACAGACAGAGAGAGAGAGAGGGAGAAAGAAGTTATTTTGTCGTCGTAACAGCTGCAGCTGGCTGCACTCACCCTGGATGCCATCTTTGAGTTTGATCAACAATACGCTGTCTTTCACAGACATGATGGGACTGCAGCTCTGGTTCCCCGAGCAAACAACACGCTCGCAGCTAGCTCGTCACAAAATAAACTGTCGTGCAGCACCGGCCCGCTATAAGATCTCACACACTAATTTGCGTGGCTTCACACGCCCTTATCATGACATGCGGCACACATTATGAGAGCTAAAGAATTCGACAGGAAAAGGTCCTGTTTCCGGTTTATAACAGGGCATCATGTCTCCCAACAGATCCCATCCATATCACCAGTATCACTGACAGTTGAGTTGACCGCTGCATTTCACCTCAGTGTGCATGAACCGGTGCAGTTCAGCCACTAGTTGTTTGTCCTCCCGTTGTGTTCCATACAGATTAGTCATCTGGTAAGGATCTGCTGCTACGTTGAACAATTCATACTCCAACGGCGTACTAAACTCAGAGCCATCGCCTTGGTAAAACTCAGCGTACATGTAATCATGCGTGGAATTGAGGAGTCGCACCCCTATGAATGTATTGTTGGGCATGTCAATGTAGTGGCCGTATCTAATCACATTTCCCAGACTCCAGTATTCGATCATGTGTTTCTGTCGGATGCTACCAACATCACTCGGTTTGAGAAGAAGGTCGGCAAAGCTCTTCCCGTCCATTGCCAGTGGAGGTGAACCACCTACAAGACTGAGAAGAGTGGGCGCAACGTCAACCATTCCTGCTACAAAGTCAAAGCTGGAGCGGGCGGGGATCCCTGGACCACTGATAGAGAAAGGGACCCTGAGGTCGTGGTCGTAGGGCTGGAGTTTGCAGCTGGGGAGTCTGAACTGGCCCCAGCTGGAACCCGTGATCACTGGTGTGGATGATGTAGGTGTTATTGAGCTGTCCATATTGTTCTAGGAGTGGGACTAGAGCACGTGTGATGTCGTCCACAGAGAGAAGGGTTCGCCAGCGATCTTCAAACAGTTCATCAACTTCTGCCTCCACCGTTTCGTTCAGGCTAGCCTGGGAGCGTACGACATAGTGGTGGTCAAGGGCAGCATAGTTATAGTTTGGGGTGCGAGGAGCTTTTAGCCCGGAGAATTCTGTTTCGTACCATGGAGCTGGGGTGGCTGGTACGTGAGGGGCATGAGGTGCAACGTACGCGAAAAACGGCTTCTCCTCTTTCAAGGCTGCAGACACAAACCCCACAGTCGTGTTCCCAATGATAGAGGTGAGGTAGTCTTCGGGAGACGTCCCGCTTGTGAAAATCTTACCGTTCAATGTGAACCTGTTCTGGAAGTATCTGTTGTCGTTGCACATGGCTAGAAAGTCGTCGAATCCAGGTAGAGCCGCGGGTTCGGGGGCTTGCAGTATTGATCCATGCCTTCCGGGTTCACCAGCTTCCCGAACATGCCCGTCGTGTAGCCGAGAGCTTGCATATGGACGCCGATTGTACTCTTTTTGAAGGTCGGGCTGGTGACGTTCATATGCATGCAGGCCCCGGGGGACGTGGTGTGCCAGTTGTGCGCGTACTTTCCAGTCAGGATCGTGGCTCGCGAAGGACAGCATACGGGAGTGTTGACGAAGAAGTTGTTGAGACGAGCTCCTCCGGTCGAGATGAGGTTACGTGTGTACGGCATGGGTTCGTTTCCCCCCAGCATCAGATCTTGGTCGTCTGTTAGCAAGAGGATCATGTTGGGCTGTCTGCAGGAGCCCAGCAGAGCCGTTAGCTGCAGAAACAAGAAGAGATCCCTGGCCGTTGCCACCATCTTTTCCCCAGCCCTGCCTGCCGCCCACACACACAAAATTGAGGCCTTACGTGATCCATAACAACATCACGTGGTATGTCACATGTCCTGTGAAATCATCAACGCACGCAAAAAGTGAAGGGAGAAGCTCTTGTAGGACCTACTGTTTGAAGAGAAAACGAGTGTGGAGACCTAGAACAAGCCATGGTGAATATCAAGACCCTCTTAGGTAAGTTTTGAACGTATACTCGCTACCACCGAGGGGCGTAAACCTTTCTCCGTGCCGTTTGACAGACAAGGCGGTGAGCTCGGAGCTAAGCGAGCCTGACTGGGAGACGATACTGGACATTGTGGAGGAGATCAAACAGAAAAACGTCTCGTGAGTCGCCCACTCTGTCTCCATAGGTCCCACTTTCAATTTCTTCCACCACCTCCACTTGTCTTTTGTCAACACTCAGAGTCAAGAATGCAGTGAAAGAGTTTAGGAAGAAACTCCTAGATCCCAACAGCACAGTTGTCTACTATACCCTCACAGGTCTGCTGTATATTCATGTGCGATGAGCCATTGAGAGAGAGAAAACATTTAGGTTTTTACCTTACTTTATGCACAAGAAATATTTCTTCTTTTTCCTGCCAATTTGTGGAAGTTGTCTCTCTCTCGAAAGTTTGGTCACTATACAGCAGTTTGTTGCTGAAGCTGTTAGCAGTTGATCACTGTGAGTGTTTTGTGCTGTATTGCCACCACCTCAGGTGCTGGATTCTGTAATGAAGAACTGTGCAACGGACGTGCACAAAGAGATACTGACCCAAGAGTTCATGGGGGTCATGAAGAGTGTCATTACATCATCCAGAGTATGTGGCTGCATTCATTGGGTGGTGCAGTAATGGCGGTGTACATTGAGTGGGTGGTAATTGAGGCGACATTGAAACACTGCATTTTTTGGCTCTGTCAACCAAAACTACATGTGTGTCTACATGTACATGCACACACCACTTTAATAAAAGCCACAACTTTCACAATGGACAAAATGTAAAACACCGATGCTGGGCTAACTGTGTTGTGTGTGTGTTTGTGTGTGTTACAGGACGGTCGCAGTGACAAGGCAATAGACAAGGCGCTGGAGCTGATAGGAGAATGGAAGGCTGCGTTTGGGAGCAGGGCAGGCTACAAGGCGGTGAACGAGGTGTTTGAAGAACTGGAGAAAGAAGGGTTCTTCATCCCGGAGCCCCAAGTGGCCTCCGCCTCCTTCATCAAGCCTCCTCCAGAGTGGATCATTGGAGACCGCTGCCACATGTGCCGGCAGGAGTTCAACCGTCTCAAGGGATGGTTCCCTGTAAGCCACACCCCCCTCTCTTCCTCTTGATTTCTCTCCTTCTCTCTGCCTCTTGTGTGGAGTGCTGTAAATATGTCGTCGTGTGCTCTCTCTCTCTCTCTCTCTCTCCTCTCTCTCTCTCTCTCTCTTCCTCTCCCCAGCACCACTGCAGGAACTGTGGAAAGAGTGCATGTACCCAATGCTCCACCAAAAGAATTCCACTGCCAGAGTTTGGGATAAAGCAGCCCACCAGAGTCTGCGACATCTGCTACAAGGCAGTGGCGCCTGACTCCGCCTCCTCCTCCTCGACCTCTGACCCCAAAACCAAGAGCGAGGGGGCCTCGGGGGCCTCCGGTGGCAACCTTCCTGAGGAATATCTGCGTAGTTCCCTGGCCAAGGAGACCCAGGTACCGGCTGCTCCAAGTGACAACATGAAGATGAAGGAAGAGGATGATCTGCAACTGGCCATCGCTATGTCGCTGAACGAGCAAGACAACAAGGTTTATCTCTCTCTCCCCATCTCTCTAACTCTAGCTTGTCTTCCTCTCTAGAAGAAGTCGTCTTCTTCGTCTTCCTCGTCATCAAAGACCCAGTCCTCGCCAGCCTCGCCCCCCACATCTACTGCCCCCTCTGCCCCTCCCCCCTCCACCCCCTCCCTCTACTCCTCCATCGCCCAGGAGGCCGCGGACACAGTGAGTCACTCTCCTCTTCCTTCAGCGCTCTCTGCTACAAAATACCCTTTTATTCTTCTACCATAGTTTCAAAAGAACTAACTTTCACATCTACCAAACTAACTACGTAGAGCGTCTATATCAACATTCCTCTTTCTCTCCCCCTCGTGTCTAGGCTGCAGCTAGCTCCACACTGTACGCTCTGCCAGAAGACCAGCCAGCTGTTGTTCAACAGCAGCCTCCAACGTCATCCAGCTCCAATGTAAATCACGCCCTCACCTCTCCACCTCTCTCCCAACTAGCTCTATACTGACAAACCCCAGAAAAAGACCTGTCCCATCATACAGTGCAAAATTATACATGCACCTCCAAATAAGGGACACCTCTGAACTTGCCCCATACTAGTTGGAAAATATTTTGAGGTCTCTAAGTTATCCCTTGTTCACTGACCACCACCCTCCTCAGCTGGCCCACTATCTTGACAGAGGTTACTGGGAGAGAAAGAAAGAGCAGCAATCAGGAGGGGGTGTGGCTCCGCAACCTCAACCTGGGGTATGTAATCATCGTGCATCTGTATTGGCGGAGGTCAACGCCATTCTGTGCAGGTGGTAACAGTGACCCCAGTGTCGGGAGGCCAGCCACAGAGCTCGGGCTCTCCACTGGCTGACACGGTCCAGTCGACGGTGGAGCAGTTTGTGCAGCAGCTGAGGGCAGTGAGTGGCGCAGGGGGCAGCGTGGCAGCAGATCCAATCGTCCTGTCTCTCTACCAGACTCTGAACGCTCTTCATCCTCAGCTACTGAAACAGATTGATGCCATTCAGCAACAGAAAGGTGAGCTCCATGTTGTATACACCCAGATCCTTCCCTCACGAGAGGAAAACGGTTTTATTGAGCGTTCGTTGTCTTTCTTGATTGTATATACTGATTCATTTTTGCCGAGTGCACAAACGATCTGTTTTGGTTCATGGACATGCAGAGTTCGTAGCCCTGCCTTACGAAATATTACATAACATCATGTGATACTTCACGTTTTTGGCAAATGTCATTCTTAAAGCAAGGTGTGTCTCTAGCTGTGAGTAAAAACATGGCTAGTTAGGAATGAAGAGTACACTGAAAGTTGCCTGGTTTGGAAAGATGGGTGGCGAGTTTTGATGAAAGTTGTAGGAGTAAGGAAGAGGTAGTGGATATGGAACGTTGGTTAAGGCAGAATGGAAAGTTAGCTGGTTTGCAGTTTCCTGCCACTACAAAAGTGATGACCTTCAATGAATAATTATGTGACCCAGTAGGAAAGTGTGTTGGCTACAGAGACAGGCCACAGGATGTTGGACCAGCTGGTGGATCCCCATCTCCATATCAGTGGGTGTAGTGTGGCATTTTTACTTGGCAGTGTAGGTGGCATTTTCACTTGGTGGCACCCACATCCCCTTTTCTCGGAACTGCAACACCAGTTAACTAACACCTCTTTATTCCCCCCACCCCCTCTCTCTCTCTCTCTCTCATCCTCCTCCTCAGTTCACCAGGAGAAGGTGCTCCATAAGATAAACGAGGCCAAGACAGCACGAGCTGCTCTCAACACCATGAGGAGGGAGCACCAGGATAGAGTGAGTCATTCCTTGCAATGGCAGCAGTAGTCATGGTATTCTGTACATCTTATGGATTGTAGTTCGTCTCCAAATTCTATGCATGCCATTCTAATGCAGTTAATTTGTGACAATTACCACATTTCCAGTGTATTAGTCACATTCTCGCTGTTTGTAAATAAGCAGCAAAGAGTGGTTGTGCCGCCTACACTATGAATGTCCGGTTCTTTGAAGCTGCACTATTCTAAGACCATTCCCCGCATAAGTTTGAATTCCCTGGAAAAATGACATTTGATCCGGAATTAGTCCTCTGCAGTAGGCCTATATTGCATGTGCATGCTGCAAATTGTTTGCATTCGAGGTCCAAATCATCTCTGTGGGTCTCCAGATCCGTCAGCAGGAAGAAGAGCAGACCCTACTGGCCAGAATGCAGATGGAGCAGAAACTGGCTCTCCTCAGACAGCAGAAACAAGAGCAGCTGATGTACCAACAGTCACTCCAACAGAAGAGACTCGACAACATGCAGGTGGGTGAGGTCACATGACTCTCATGTGGTGGTCACGTGACCCGTCTCCATGACTACCACAGGCTAAGCGACAGGAGTATGAGCGGCAGCTGGCGTTACAGAGGGACCAGGAGAGACAGCAGTTGATAGCGCAGGAACAGCAAGTCATCCAGAGACAGCTCCGCGACACCTCACCGGTCCACATGCAGATGCAGGTGGGCACTTTGAAAGTGTCCTTTATTCAGAGGTGTCCCAGTAATGTACAAGTATGGGGGCAGAACAATTTTATTTGTAGAGAGGGGTGTACTGTATTTACAAGGTCCTTTTTAGATGTTCTCCATTCTAGGCCTCAAGGTGGGTTAAAATATTGACTCAAGCTCGTGTGTGCATTGCACCCACTCACAAGAAATTAGAATGTTTATGTGTGTGTGCTTCCGCTAGCTTGTGTGGCGAGGAACAAGAAAGCTAGCAAACAAGTTGAGTCTTTTCATATGGAAACCTCCTCTTTGTTGCAACAACGACTAATATGTACATAAACACAGCACGGTGCTTGCATCAACATGTGGAAATCATCGTCTACACACGTATTTCGGAATAGTCAACCAGTTTTCATATCGTGTTCCCTGATGTTGTTTTCAGGTGGGGCCTCAACCAGTGGTAATACCCCAGTTCCAGCCGGTGGCTCCGCCCCCTGCCTCCATGGAACCCTCGGGAGCCGTTGGTCTCTCTCTCCAGTCGCTGGCTCTCCATGATCCCACTCTCTCTGCCCAGGCCCCGCCCCTTCCATCCAAATTGGATCACAACATGTCTTCAGACCCAAGACCACTCTCTCTCCCTCCTCCTTACCATCCCGTACCCCCTACTGGACCAACGTTCCAAACAATGCCCACCATCCCTCAGCATGCTATGTACTCTGACCCCAGTCATGCTCCACCCCCCGGTAGTCATGGCGACAGTTCTTTGTGGGTAAACAACTCCACGTCCAGTCTCCACCCACCGGCACATCTGTACCCCTCCCCCACCTCCACTCCTCCCCAGCAACGCTCTCCCATGACTGCACCAGTCCAGCAGTCGATGGGTGTGGCAGCGGGCGGAGCTTACCCCGCCCACTTTCAACAGGTGCATGACCCCTCCCACCAACTGACTTCTCTACCTCCTCAACAACAGGTCAGTAGAACACATGCTTACATGGCTGGAGAGTTTTATCAGTGAGTCGATTTTGTACAATAACTTTTGCTCTTTTCCCTCAGCATTAATGGCAGTTAGACTGTGTATTAATAAGTTGAGTATTCTCAACATTTCGTCTGACTGTACCTCACTGTACCTAAGATGTAGCAAGGATTTTAATTTCCTAACACAGCTGTACCAGCCACCTGCTGCCAACTTTGCCACTCAGCCCCTGGATCACGTACCAACACACACCATGCTGAACCAACAGCAGCCGTTGCGGGGGCAACAACCAATGAGCATGCAGCAGCCTCTGCAGATGCAGGGGATTGCAATGGCCCCGCCCCCTCCAATGCCAGTGGGCGGAGTCCAGAGACAGGAGTCTGGCCCACCACTCATCTCATTTGACTGAGAACAATACTCTGGAATAATTGTGTTTATATGAACATGATTGCTGATTATGTGATAACAGTCATGTGATTCATCAAAGTCACCTGATCTACCTGGGACCTGCAGTAAATGGAAGAGGTCTAGATATAAAGCAGGTAGTTCACTGTCAGCCTTATACCAAACATGCACTTCTAACAGGGCTTTTCAACAGTTCACATACCTTGTTTGAACCACTTGGGCAGCTTGCTAGGCGAGGCACCACCACCAACCCTGGCCTGACCTGAGGAGCCAGGTACAGGGGAGGGGAGAGATTGAGGAAGATGTGAGGGGCCTCCCCTCTCTGGATGTGGCTGCACAGTCTGGTGCTTCTCTGTATGGGGTCTGTTGAGAGAGAGTATAGGTTATCTGTTTGGTAGAGAGAAAGGTGTGGGGCAAAGAACCTGTTTTTTTGGTGAACAATTTCGGCTTGAAGAGAGGAAGCTGCCTGCTGGAGGGCGGAGTCAGAGAGAGTGGGGTGTGGCTGACCGTCCTCCACGCCCACGTACACCACTGCTGTCGGCAGGAACTCCGCCTAGCAACACAGCCGCAATACAAGGCAATCACATCGACACGGTCATTGTATACAGAATATACTGTATATACCTCAGCAAACGTAATTTTAGCACTTCTCAACACTTTCTTTGGTGGAGTTGTGTCTGAAAGAAGAGGAGAGGGGTGAGAGGTAGCGCGGACAGAAAAAGAACTCACAGAGATGGAACTTGACATTTGGGTCAGCGAGATTTTCACGAATGAAGTTCACCAGCATCTTCACTGCAGTGCCAGCCAACCAGTTGGTACATAGTAGTGTGGTGGGCAGAAGGGGAGGTTGTATAATACTGGTATAGATACGGAGAGAGACTTACAGCTCTCTTGAGGTCTGAAGCAACCTTGCAGGACCCAGCGATCAGGGAAGTAAACTCTCACCACACTCTGCAGAGTGAGGTCATGTGGGTGGACCGACCAGCTTCGACACATGGTAGCGATCAACTCACCTTTTCATACTTTTCCAGTCTCATTTCGTCTCTCACAGCTCTCATGGCCCTCGTCATCAGTGGGGCGTCCGATGCCGACCTGTCCAGTTCCATTCCAACATGGAATAGAAAAAATGTGGATTGGAATGTAGACTCACGCCTGTCTCTTGAGGTCAGAGTGAATCACGTGGATATCGGTCACAGTGTGTTCGAAGAAACTTGCAGACACCTCATCTGCATGGGAATGGAGTGGAGTATGGGAATGGGTGTGTGGCAACATGAGGTATGGGAATCAGACACACACCATGAGCTGGAAGGGGCAGAGGATCATCAAGACTGTACACCACTCGCTCTCGATGGCAAGGTTCCTGCGGGAGGACTCATGAATATTCATTAGTTCATTAGCACTTTAGGTCTTACATCATAGACCTTTGGTAGCTGAGGTCTAGACATGGGAGGAGCCAGAGGGTGTGGCCTCATAACACCTGCAAACTGGAAGATTTCAAAATTATTAAAGATCGAAAATCAGCTGGAAATTTTTCATACCATTTTCTGTACCTGAGAAAATGGTGAAGAGGCAACTTCCTCCAACTGAGCTGCAACCACTGACACACAACTGGTGAGCCAGAGACCACAGTATGTCACGTATACATACCTTCAGGAGGGAAGTTGTGTGGCTGTTGGAGAGCTCCACTGATGAGGGCCATGGCAGCTCCTGAAGATGACTGGGGGTCCGGTGAGAAATGGGAGGAAGAGTTTGATATTTCGACACCCTCCATTCTGTCTGGCCCCCCGGGGGACTCGTCTTCCTCTCTGGGGAAGTAGCTGATCGGGTGAGCAGGGAAATACGGCAGTTCCTCCCCTCCCTCAGTCGTATCCTTGGCAACACCACAGGTGGGCGGAGGCTTTCTACGAGGTTCGTTACCATCTTCACTTCTCCTGTCTAGCCTCCCCTCTTCCTCTCTTCCTCCATCTTGTGAGGCACTCTTAATCTCTCCCTTGGTGTTTTCTTGTTTTCTCGTGTTGGTTGGATTAGCAGCCTCTGCATCTTCCTCTGACTGGCTGACTGTGCGATGACTAAGTCTGCAGAAAAACACACCCACTCTCTCACTTGTTGGTTTCCCTCTCCTCACTCTCTCCATTTCTCTTCCAACATAATCCACTAAACCCTCACCTGAGTAGGCCCCTGCCTGACGAGAGACCAATTGATCTCAGTTGAGTAGTCCTCAGAGACTTCTCCCCACTCACCTGTGGAGTGCAGTGGTCATGTGACTCTCACATGATGTGCTCACATGACATACCTCTTGCCTCATGTACGACAGGCTTGGTTCCATACCACCTGGACTGGAATCAAGTTTGTGCTGAATCAGCACGTCCCAGAGTGACGTAGTGGAATGGAATGAGGACTGGAATCTTGTCCCGTCCACATTCTGTACTGCCACCACCACCTCACCATCTCAGAAGGGAAAAAGAATATCCAAAAAAACTGTTAAAGGCAACAATTTTTGCTGCATTGGATATGAGAGTCATGCAATGTATTCAGGTGAATAGTGCATGCAATGTCTCGCCTGGCCCATCATACGCATGCATTAATGAAGTTGCAATGCTCTTTATCTCACTGCAACAAGTTTCTTGGTGAATTATGGCCTTCAGAACTCACTCACCATCTGATCTCGGTCGCGACGCCACCACAAGTTCCACCTTCCCATTGTTTGGAATGCCAGAAAACCTCAGAGACAGCGAGAGGTCCAACAACTTGCCATGGTGTCTGGTAATTGAGAGTTAACCCTCTCGTTAGGCCAGTTTCAACATCCCCACTTACTTGATGGTGTATAGAGCTGGATCGAGCTTTTGCTTGCTGCAAGCTTGCTCCAAGACCTGAGCTTACACGGCCGTATCACGTGACTAGGCTACTAGAGCTCTAGCTGGACTGACCTGCAGGAGGACTGTGTTCGGAGTCACTTTTAAGTTGCATCTTCTCGCTCTAGGACACAGCACCGTTACCTGCCACATTTTGCCTGCAGGTGCTGGTGTGCATCTAATAGAACTGGTGCGCATTATTTGGCATTGAAGCCGGGAAGTTTGAATTCTGAACAACATGGACGTCCCGACGTCAAGCCAGGGTATGGAGGCACACGGGGTCGTAGGCACGTCTTTGACACGTCTCTCTCCCTCCCTGTAGTTACTGGTGTTGCTAACACTCTGCTGAGACAGGCAGGACTCCCACGAGTGGTACACGGCATCGAGCAGTGCGGCTCCGTGCTGTTCGGCCAACTCTACGAGGCTCTGACGGGGGCCCGGCCTCCCGGGGGCGGAGAGAGCGAGGCTGAGCGGTGTCAGGCGGTGGTGGACGCCTTCTCGGAGCAGCTGGCACCGCACGTCTCACTGGAGCACATCAGAGGCCGAGACCTCGCGTCCAGAGACCCCATCACCATCATCAACCTTCTGGACATCTTCTCAGGTCAGTGCAGAGTCTGCCTATCAGCTAGTATTCTTCTATCTTCATACACACACTCTCTCTCTTTACATTTTCTCCTCGTCTCTCTGTGTGTCAATCTTCTGAACTATTCAGTCTTGTTTCACGTGCCTACTGTGAGGAGAGATCCTCAGTCTCTTCATCGCGATCGCGACACTACTACTGATGACGATGATCATCCCTCCAACCTTCTCCCAGATCAAGGCAAGTAGACGCTACGCATGAAGAACAACCGTGTCCACAGTCCCCGACAGGTCTCGGTATAGTACTGCAGGATGAAATCGGAGACTCCGCCCAACACCACACCCTCTTTTCTAGTTCGTATTCGACGAACTCTACAGCTGAGCTGCTCCGCCCAGTTCCACCTGTCCACATTTACCACCTCACACCCCCTCCTTCCCTTACCATCATGTCTCTCACACCGAGCACCATCGACCAATCGGAAACAGCCCCGCCCACTGGGGAGGGAGTCGGCACTGACAATTCCTCCTCCACTTGGAGGTCAAGCAAAGGTCAACTGGCCACACCCTCTACACCACCCCCTGAGACTCGGCTGCTCAATTCCCCACTCCATCATAGTACACCCAGACCACACCCTTCCAGGTCACGCATCCCTCCTCCACCACCCAGGTATTACTTGATCTATTTTTAGCATAGAGTATTATTTCAAGTAACATCTTGCAGCGTGACATCATTCCCCCTGGAAAAGCCTGCGCGTGTCCAACAACCCTCATCCTTCCCTCCTCTCCCTCTCCCATCTGCCTCTCCTTCTGAGAGTCTCACAAGCAGCTGTACTGAGGCAGGCAAAGACACTGAGGAAGAAGAGGGTGGTGAGACCACGCTGACCAACACACTGAGGGAGCAAGAGGTTGAAAATCCCAATTCTATTCTGGAACAAGATCCTGGGAATGGGACTGCAGAGGAGAACCACACACCTGTATCGTCGACACCAGAGCCGACCCCCTCCCCAAGTGGGGGGAGGAAAATTGGACCCCCGACCCCAGGGGAGAAGGAACGGAGAGATATACTGAGCTCTCTCTACCAGCGGTACCTGGAGGCAGCTGGTCCTAGCCAGTCTCGCTGTAGACAGAAGAAGACCATGACTGGTGTATACAGGCAACCTAGCAGGAAACGTGGCGTCAAGCCTGGAGGTCAGAGGTCAGGCACACTAGCGAGCAGCCGAGCTAAAGACGACAGCAGAGAAGATAAGAAGAAATGTGAGGATAACATTGATGTCATTGGTTGAGCCTCTGAATATGGGGCACATGAGTGTCCCTTGTTCAGAGTAGGGGCAAACTAAGTGTCCGGCATAGAGAGTTTCCTTTGTACTTTCTGTTTCCTAGTGGGCGTGACCTCTGACCTTTTCCCTGTGGTGGAAGCAAGTCTCCCAGTGTGCCCCGTTTCCATGGAGACTGTCAAGGACCTGTGGAGGAAGCAGCTGCGGCAGATCACCACTCTCACCAAACCCACACCCTCACACCCTCACCGAGTGGACCAACAAGTGAGACATGGTGCACAGCTCCACAATATTGCTCAGTACTACCGTCATGCTAGGGCTAGAGCTTGCTTGAAGTTTGTCAAAATTTGAAGAGAGAGCATAATTGAGGTGTATTATGTCCCATTAGATTGAGGCCATGGGTAGGAAGCATTCAGCACTGCTGGAGTCTCTCAAGAAAGAGGTTGACCACACCCGACGACTGGTGAGCCACACCCACTGTTCATAGAACCTTATGTGTCCTACTGTAAAGGTATTGCAAAGCACACAAGATCACTACACTGTCGCCATTTCTCCCAGAGAGGTCAGGAGGAGGCCAGGGCTCAGCAGAGAGCAGTGAGAGCCAAACTAGAGACAAAGAGACAAGCGACGGCCCGAGCAAGACGCTACTTCCGCGACTATGAACTTGAGCTCAAGGCAAAGCTGCAGAAGAAGAGGACAAACGAGGAGCTAGTGTTTCGACGAGCGTTTGAAGACGGGCTGGCGCTGTTGAAAGAGAGGGAGAGGGAGGTGAGGAGGATGGCAAAGGAGAAGAAGGAACAGCAGAAAGAGAGACTGAGAAGAGATCTTGAGGCCATGGAACAGGTCGGCATGGCAACTTGCATGAAACATTTTGTGTAGGCATGCTATACAGTCAAACTTTGTTGTGTGAGATGCAACTTGGCCTGGCTCTTCAACATTTCTCTCTCTGCAGTACTACAGCGACCAGTTCTCGATGCTGGCAGAGTCGCTGGCAAGAGAGAGGGATAATTCATCTGCCAGAGACAAGGCTCGAGCTAAGGTAAGTCGGCATTCCCCACCGTCCACACCACTGCCCAGTGTGTGTGTGTGTGTCTCCAGTTGTCGGGGCAACTGGGCAGGGAGATGAGACAGACTCTGGAGAGAGAGGTCAGGGACCTGCAGACCTGTCTCGATAGAGACGATGACGTCACTCACTTCAGAGAACTCGACGCTCAGCAGCTCAGACTGGCACTACACCATCTCCTTACACCACTATAGGCAGCTACACCATCATCTAGTCCACTGTAATATACCTCTGTGAATACTTTTCTAAGTGATATTCTAAGGGGTTTCCCCTACTTGCTCGCTAAAAAGCACAAAAACCATAGCACTGAACGCCCCAGATACAGCCTTCCAGTTTTTAAGAAAGTTTTCACTGCCACCAGCTCACAGACCAACAGATGAAGACATGGAATGAATGGACTACTAGAGTTCAGTTGTGTCAATTTTCTCTTTCTTCCTCTTCTTGCTCCGTGGCCCCGCCCCCTTCTCTTCGCCTCTCTCTCTCTTCTTCTCCTGTGCCGTCTGCATCTCCTACACACACAGAACAGGAAAGAGACTATAGTTAGGAGCAAGATGGAGGAAAAGGCAAAGTTTGGGGCGAGATAGGGAGAAATACAAAGGGTGAGAGTTGGATAGATAGCGAGAAAGGCAAACACAGTGGGCAGATTAGGCCACACCCACCATTCTGGCAATTCTCTGAGCCTCGGTGACCCTCTCCATTAGTGCCATGACCTCCTCCTCCACTGTGGGGTGGAGTGCCAGCTGCTTCCCTATCAGCTGCTCTATCCTCTGGTACAGCTCCACATCATATCTGCACCACACATACAGTCATAGGATATGGCATATGAAACTACCAGCCATTGAATCCAGCAATTTTGGCTATGTTGTAAAATTGGCGGTCATTGAATAAACAGCTAAACATGGTTGTTTTATTATGGTTGTACAAGGAGGTGAGAAACTTACTGAGTGACGAAGGTAATTGATCTACCGGAGCGCCCAGCCCTGGCAGTTCTCCCCACTCTATGGATGTAGTCCTACGGACCAGTCGAGGGGGGGGTGAGGTACCACTGGAGACCAACAGAGACCAGACTGACCTTGGAGTGGGTGGGAATGTCAAAGTTGACAACCACGTCGACGTGTGGTATGTCAAGACCACGACTGGCGACGTCCGTAGCGACCAGAATCGATCGAGACTTGGTCTTGAACTTGTTCAGAGCTCCAAGCCTCTTTGGCTGAGAGGAGGATGAGAGACAGTGGCAGGCAAGAGAAGGAGACTGCTGGTTACCTGAGGCATCTTCCCGTGCAGTGGAACGGCATGGAGACCCAGTGTTCTGAGGAGTATGGTTGTCCTGAGGTGGAACCAGAACCAAATTTCCAGGGAAGGTGAGGAGATAAAAATCTTACCTCTGGACATTATTGCAGGTGCCACAGAAGACCATGAAAGAGTTTCCGGCTAGTTCATTCAGAATACTGACCAAGTAGCAGTCCTGTAGGGAGGGAAATAGAGAGACACTTGCAGCTGCTATATACAATCACACAAGGAGCTGGTCGACTGCATACCTTGTACTTGCTGGGTATGAAAATATAACTCTGTTGTAGTTTCTCCACCGTCTGATACCTATCGTCGTGGTAACAAAACAAATGACATCATCGCTACGTGGACCATGCCGCCTCACTTGCTGGACACCTCGACTTTGACGGGATTGTGAAGAGAGGCTCGCTGCAGTTTCTGCACCTTGCGTGTCATGGTAGCAGAGTAGAGGTAGGTGTGTCTCTCTTTCGGGACGACTTTCAGGATCTTGTCAACCTAGTAGTTCACACACATTAGGACACTTCCAAACCTCATTTCAGGACATGAGGACACATCCAAACCTCGTCCTGATCACTTCAGGACGCAGACTGTTTTAGGACACCTCTGTAATTGTGTCCTGATCAGCAGCATTATACCTCAGTTTCAAAGTCCATGTTGAGAATCCGGTCAGCCTCGTCCATGACAAGGTAGCGGAGGGTTCGCAAACTGAAACCTTTCGTGTTCTCCAGATGGTCGACAAGGCGACCAGGGGTTGCTATGACGATATGGGGTTTCTTTGCCAGTGCCATCGCCTGCGTGATTATGTCCACCCCGCCCACTATGACCGCTGCGTGGTATGGGAGGGGGGTGGGGTGCGGCACCACACGGAACCAAACAACGTACCACACTTGACTCCAATCCCAGAGCCCAGGGCCTCAAACTGCTCCGATATCTGAAATGCCAGTTCTCTGGGTATGGGAATGGAACAGTGCACACACTGACACGAGGTCCTGCCAAGCAAAGACCAAGTTGCAGCCTCGCTATTCTCAAGTAAGGAGAGACTGGTTAGCTGGACCAACCTGGTAGGTGTGAGGACAAGAGCAAACAGCCGCGTTGGAGTGTCCAGAAGAGCTTGGAGGATGGGCAGTGCAAAGGCAGCTGTCTTCCCTGACCCAGTTTCAGCCAGACCAATGATATCCTTCCCTATGACGTCATCACAATACAATATTGTGTCTATCAACATCTGGTCACACCTTTGAGAGCGATAGGAAGGCTCTCTCTCTGAATGGCTGTGGGAGTTGTCCAGTTGAGGGCCGCGCACGCCTCGCACAGAACCTCCGTCACCCCCTGCGATGATGGAATGTTGCGAATTCGTCCACACCACAAATCGCCGGGTTTACCAGAGATCTGAAGGATATTTCTTCTGTCGTTGAGTTGGCTTCTTTCTCTTCTTTCTCTCTCTTGTCTACTGTCGTCTCTGGTTCTCCTGATTCCGCCATCTTCCCAAGTCCACGTGTGCGTGTAAGTGGGTGTGGTCAGGGTACGGGGGCGGGGCACGTAATTATGTGACATCATCGCTCGAAAAGGCGAAAGTCAAGTCAGAAAGATGGAAGAAAGCGAGGAAGCTGCGCTGGGAGCAGGAGCCATGGCGCGGAAGAACCTGCAGCAGAGACTTCTGGACGCCGTCAAACAGGCAAGAGACGGAGCCGCGCGCGAGCTCTCTCTCCGAGCTAACCCTCCCTTCTTCTGCTTTTCTCACACACGCAGTGTCAGATCCACTTCGGAGCGAGGCAAGAGCTGGCGACAGAGACCGACCTGAGGTACGTAGTCTTACTGTCCGTTCAGCGACCGGTTACTGTCTCCGCTCACTGTTCAGGGTGGCGACACTGTGCGTGGAATGGGAGGCGGTACTTTTCCACGGGATGAAACGAGCGAAAAGCAAGCCACCGCTCAAGTAAACCATAGATATATTAGACTACTTAAGACCACTGCACTCCTCTATCTCCTGTATAACAAGTGTATGTGATGGGAGAGTGTGAACTGTTTGCCTATTGTGCAGGCAATTGGCTGGTCTGGGGAAGAGCGAAAACAACCACCACATCAGAGGTAGTGAGGTAACCTGATCCACTGCAATGAATCCTCAAAGTGTTGCCTGCTGACCTAGTGCATCAATGAATCCTCAAAGTGTTGCCTGCTGACCTAGTGCATCAATGAATCCTCAAAGTGTTGCCTGCTGACCTAGTGCATCAATGAATACACCCATACACCATATAGCTATACCATCAACACACTTACCAAGGTAGTAGGTATACTGTACTGAAACCAACGTTCTTGCTCTGTGCATAACACATAAGTATTGTGAGTACAGACAATTATTGTCCAAGTCTGCAAGCAATTTGCTTCTGTACTTCCTCTCCCCCCTCTCTCCCCCTCTCTCCGCTCTCTCCCCTCCTCTCCCTCCTCTCTCCTCAGTTTCCCTGTGGCCACTGGCCCAGCTGTGCCTCAGTCCCGAGGAAACACAGAGATTTCTTCATCTCACTAACGTCCGCTCCGATCTCGGCCGGGGGAGGGCGTGGCTTCGAGCTGCCATCAACGAGAGGACGTTAGAAACATATCTCCATCTCATTCTTGCCAGCACCAAATTAGAGTGAGCCCCTGTAATTATAGATGGACATATTCTGGAGGTGTCCACTTTCTCACACCGTAAAATGTTTTCTCCCTTTATTAACCCTCGGCGCGCATGTGCAGCGAGGGTTACAGTACTTGTTCTGTCCGTCTGTCTGTCTGTCCGTCTGTCCACGTTTTCTGCCACCACGCGCGACAAACAGGTAAAAATAGCGACACCAACGGGTTCATCGCTACACCCCGCTTCATTTTTAAAATGCTGATTTTTGTAAAAGTGCCGCGTTCAGAAGTTATGGCATGAAAACCAAGTGAACAAGCCAATATGCAAATTAGCACAGGCTTACCTCGACCGGGTCCGCTTGCTCTGTGTACCTTGAAGGCACATGAAGTCACAACGAAGGGCGTTTATCGACTCCTGCATGCTATCTACTACTGTAGCTAGCCCGTGTCAGACTCTTCGCGAGCTACTCCGCGAGTAAACGCATACTTACACATAGCCCAGCCCATCAATTAGTGGTACCGCGCATGCGCAGTTCGCCGAGGGTTTGCACTTTAGTGCTTTTCATTTGGACCAGTGGCCATTGTATATACAGTAAAGCAAAATTTGACAGTTACTTTGCACAATGCGTGGGCCCATTTGGCGCAATTCTACATGTATTTGGGTTGTTACCCAGCTGCCAAATTGTCCAGTTATCGTGTCTCCCCCCTGTGTAGGTCTCTGTATGAGCCTCACTCCTATCTACTGGACCAGGAGAGGAGCAGCATGCTCCCGATCATGGCTGCCGGTCTCTGTTCCATTCTGTTCTCCATCTCCCTGGACTCAGACTCCCTCAACACCCCAGTACGGACTCAGGACACCTCCCTTGAGGCCACACCCCTTCCCTCTGGCCCCGCCTCTAAACTCCTCGATGTTCAACCCAATCAGAATGGTGAGCTTTTATTAGAGTTGTGTAGCTAATGAATTATTAATGATGCAGGTCATGTGGCGGAAAGTATAGTGAGAAAGAAGAGACGAAAGAAGCCTTTGAGCCACACCCCCAAGAGTGACAGCGAGTTTACCCCAAACAAGGAAGAGGGTGTGGTTGATATAGAAGATAAGGGCGTGGCCCTGTTGCCAGGGGGCGTGTCACCTGACAACCTGTCTTCGTCCCCAAGTCTGGCTAGTTTCGGCTCTGACCTTGAGACGCCGAGGTTCGTTGCCCTGGATACGGTGCTCGGGAACCAGAGCAGCTCCGAGGCCGAAGCAGAGGCTGCCGTCACGGCAACAGCCATGGTCCTGTCGGCAACTCTCTCCTCCCCCTCCGTCCCCAGACCACACCCACTGGTAAGATCTACTGATAGTGTGAATCTGTTTGAAAATGGGAATCTGTTGACGGAGACCATTTGCAGTGGTAAATAGCAGTAATAGAATGAGTTCAGCAAACCAATAGATGTTTAAATGGTTAACTAATAATTCTCTACACATTTTCACCCACGTCCAGAGCTCTCTCCAAGCCTCCTCGTCCTCGTCGTCCCATACTCTGTCCCCCGAGGAGCTGAGAGAAGCTCTCCTGGCTATGGTGAAGACCAAAGATGAACTGGATGAGGCCAACAAGTGAGAGAGGGGGCGGGGTGGGAGGGAATCAGCGGAAGAGGGAAACTCTGAGAGAGATGTTGATTTGGTATTCTGAGAGGTGTTGATTTGGTATTCTGAGAGGTGTTGAGATTTGGTATTCTGAGAGGTGTTGATTTGGTATTCTGAGAGGTGTTGAGATTTGTTATTCTGAGAGGTGTTGATTTGGTATTCTGAGAGGTGTTGATTTGGTATTCTGAGAGGTGTTGATTTGGTATTCTGAGAGGTGTGATTTGGTGTTCTGAGAGGTGTTGAGATTTGGTATTCTGAGAGGTGTTGATTTGGTATTCTGAGAGGTGGTTAGATTTGGTATTCTGAGGTGTTGATTTGGTATTCTGAGAGGTGTTGATTTGGTATTCTGAGAGGTGTGATTTGGTATTCTGAGAGGTGTTGATTTAGTATTCTGAGAGGTGTGATTTGGTATTCTGAGAGGTGTGATTTGGTATTCTGAGAGGTGTTGATTTGGTATTCTGAGAGGTGTTGATTTGGTATTCTGAGAGGTGTTGAGATTTGGTATTCTGAGAGGTGTTGTGTTGATTTGAGCATTCTGTGAATTGTAGCTCAATCAATGAAAAGCACTAAAGTGCAAACCCTTGGCGAACTGCGCATGCGCGGTACCACTAATTGATGGGCTGGGCTTTATATGCCTTTACTCGTGGTAGCTATCCCGCTAGTTGCTCACGGAGAGTCTGACGCGGGCTAGCTACAGTAGTAGATAGCATGCGGGAGTCGATACATGGCCTTCGTTGTGACTTCTTGTGCCTTCAAGATACACAGAGCGAGCGGACGCGGTCGAGGTAAGCCTGTGCTAATTTGCATTTTGGCTTGTTCACTTGCCTTTCACGCCATAACTTTTGAATGCAGAAGTTATATCAAAATCGCCTTTTTAAAATGAAGCCAGTGTAGCACTGAACCAGTTACTATCGCTCTTTGGCCGATTTCTTGCACGTGGTGGCAGAAAACGTGGTAACAGACAGACGGACAGACACACTTACGAACCAAGTACTATAACCCTCTAGCGCATGCGTGCCGAGGGTTAATAATCTCTATAGAGTAACTTACACAAACTTAGAGGAGGGTCCGGATCCATCTGGAGCGGGTGCGCTGACAGACATCGTTATGAAAAAGTGCGCAAAAGCGGCTCTTTATATAGTCATTTTATGTGACCAGAGAGAAAAGGGGATACAATAGAGAGAAGTAAAGAGTATTTGTCACATAGGGGTGTATAAGCGGATCTCCCATACATTTAGTCTAATGCGGAGCAATAATATTCCATCACTTATTCTACCGCGCTTCTGGTGTGTTGTAGCTCATAGACACATGGGCATAAGTAAAACCATTGATGTCCCCCCACCCCCAGGCAGCTGGAGGAGGACCTGAGGATGGTGAGGGATGAGAGAGATCGCCTGGCAACGGCGCTGACCCGCTCTCAGACCCAACTGACTAGTCTCCAGTCTGCTCATCTTCCCCAACATGCCCTGGAGAGGTTTGTGAGGGGAGGAGGGTACAGGATAAAGAGGACACTTCTAAAACGAGTACACCTCTCTAATAAGGACACCTTTCCTTTCCCCAACAACGATACTTATATGCGTGCATTTTTAACCCCCGAAATAAGGACACCTCACTAATATGGGCACTTTTCGTTCCGTCCATTGGTGTCCCGTTCCTCTGTCTGACTGTAGGGAGAATGACATTCTGAAGGAGCAGCTGAAGATGATGGTCCAGAGAAGAGACTCTTTGAGGTTCGGTGACTCCACCCCCATACCTGGAGACTCCACCGTGGGTAAGCCCCTCTAATTAACTCCTTATTGGCCTCACCAGATGGGCTTGTCATGTCTCCAGAAAACAGCACTACCTACGAAGATGAAGAGCTATTGTCATCTGGTACCGTGGCAACGAGACCACGCCCACCTGGATCCACCCCCTCCAACAACAAGTTGTCCGAGGTTTGGTGACATGATTAAGTGGGTGTGGTCACAGTCGTTATTGTGATGATGTAATGTAGATGGCGGACATGCACGGTGAGCTACTGGAATTGAATGATCGTCTTCAAAGAGACCTGGCTCTCAAAGACAATTACATCACCAAGTTAATTAACACCATCCAGGAGGCGGGGCTTCAGGTTCCCGTGGTAACCAGGGCACAATCCCCACCACCATCGACTACCGACGAGAGCCAAGAGTAAGGAGTTAATTTTAATGGGGTTAATGTTTGTAAAATTAACCCCTTTCTTGCTAGTGTTGTGAGTGTGTGGATTCCGTCGGTCATCAAAAGAGGGCGTGGCCCCGAGGCCCACCACATCTACCAGGTGTTTGTAAGGATCCGAGACCAGGAATGGAACGTGTACCGGAGGTATGCCGAGTTCAGGGAGTTTCACAAGCAGGTAGTCAGAGAGTAGTCAGACATTAGAATGTAACAAAGAACCAAGTTCACAATTGTGCGTAAAAACTCCTACTTTCAATGTACCGTAAAATCCATGAGATTCACGACATTTGCAGCCCATGGAAATACACGACATACTGTTAGTTCACCCAGTTGACTAGTTCTCTCTCTCTCTCTCTCTCTCTCTCTCTCACTAACAGCTCCAACAGTGTATTCCTGAAATCGCCTCTTTCCACTTCCCTCCCAAGAGAGCCCTCGGCAACAAGGCAAGCAATTCTCCTCTTTAATCTTCCTCTGCTTCACCCTCTCCTCTCCCTCCTCTCCCTCCTCTCTCTGTCCACAGAGTGCTCAGTTGGTGGAGGAGAGGAGACAGAAGCTACAGGACTACCTACGCGTGGTGATGAGACTCTGCACCGAGCCTCGCGTGGTTCAGGGGAAGAGACGACGTCATCAACTGGACCCCATCATGAAGAAAGACATTGACAGAGACACTCTTCAGGATATACTCCCCTTCTTCAAGTGAGCCCCTGTAATCCCATACCTCGTTCCCCGTTCTGGTATTCCCATTACTTCATACCATCTCCTCCCTGTAAGTGAACCCTGTAATCCCATACCTCGTTCCCCGTTCTGGTATTCCCATTACTTCATACCATCACCTCCCTGTAAGTGAACCCTGTAATACCCACGTACCCCGTTCCCATTCTGCTATTCCCAAGACTCCCATTCTCCCATTCCCATTCTACCCAGGGAGGATATGCATAGTTCGACTCCAGCAGTCTCCCAGACTCACAGACTATCATACAGTGGACTATGACTCAAGTGTGTCCAGTTCAGTCTTTGTGTGCATTTATCAGGTATTGTCATATTATGGTTCACCACAGACTTTTGCAAATCACGTACATAAACCAGCGATTCACGGAGAATACTTTCAACAATAGCAATGCTGATTGGCAAGGCCAACTGTCAGGGCTTTTTGAGAGCGGGGGATCATGGCACGTGTGTTATTCAAGATTGGAACCGTTGTTTTGAACAAACGCTCGTGTTTCGCCTTCATTACCCTCATCCACTAACAACGAGAACGATTTTTCATAAAATTACAAACACCACAAGAGTTAATTAATTGTCGTTAAGCTAGGAGCCCAGTTTAAGACTGGAATAGTCCCCCAACATGATGAGGCAGAAGCTGAGGACCCCCATTATGCCCAGTATGGTGGAGGAGGGGCCACCTCCGAACTGGGGCAGGAAGGCATTGGGGAGGATGAAGAGGACAAGACGAGGAACGGAGAGATGGAGGCTGCGACCGGTCCAGAGGTAGTACTGGAACACACACTGACCGGGGAGCGAGCCAACCAGGCAGAGCAGCTCCAGCACACGAGCTGCAGCAAGAGAGAGAGAGAGAGAGAGAGAGAAGTTGCAGCAGTGCACTACTGTGCTATTCACGCAAGAGGTTCTCGAAAATGACGTGCAATGTTTCATCGCTTCATATCTGTTCTCTGGTGGACTCACTGGCGAGGAAGATTGAAGATCCTTTGCTCAAGGCTGAGACGGTCTTGGGAATGATGCGAGAACCAGCCAAGAAGTAGAGGAGTAGACTGGCTGCCACGAGGGAAGGAGCCAGGAAGATGGAGGAGGTTCTGGGGAGGAGCCAGCCGTCTGGCTGGAGGAGTAGGAAAACCAGAGACACCAGAACAACCTGGGCAAGGAGGGGGAGAGAGAGATGGGGTGAACAGGCAAGGTTGGATTGTGTTTCTGCACGTACCGATATCTCATACTGCACATGGAGTGGGTTGAGCAGAGCAAAGAGGAAGAAGAGGAGACAGCTGGTGTTGGCTGCCATGGAGACATACGGCTGCTCTCCACACTGACTCTGCATGCAGGACAACATGGACACAAATAATATCCTCTTCCTCCCTCTTCTCTTCTCCCCTCTTCCTCCCTCTCTTCCTACCATTTTAACTCTGAAGGTGAGTGCAATGCTGCCAAACACAGCCATTCCCAGTCTGGAACATGGAACAGAGACACTGTCAAACCAACTGCTCCCTGCATACGTGGAGTGAGGGATCACATGACATCACATGATCATCAGGTGACCTACTGGGCATGTAGATATGAGGGGCAGTAATATACTCCCCAATAAAGCCAGCCCCTGTCATTATCACCAAAACGAAAAACCTGCAAATCAGTAAATCAACGCATTATTATCACATGAACTGTGACTTTACAGGGTGTGGTCAAGAAAGCTCCGCCCCTGTCGGGTGGTGGGTGTGGTATAAGCTCGTCCGAGGAGACACCCAGTGACTCCGCCTATCATCACGTACAGCAGACCCCCCAGGGAGACTGGGGGCGTGGCCACAAGCTAACGAGGAGGGAGATCCCCTGCACAGTACGATTGGGACGAAAAAAAATTTTACTCACTAGCATTCTGGTTGCCATGGCACCGAGTGTTCCACCTAGAACAGTTGTAGCCACGGGAACAAGAACGTTTGTTACCATGGCAACCACGACGAGAACAGTTGCTCCGAGAACGGCCCAAGACAAGAGTTGTCCCCTGTCATTACGAGATTATTTACATTACATAAGAAGATGAGGCTATATGTCTTTATACCATGCGGCCGATGTCATTTCAGAAGGTATATATCTTCAGAACCTGTCAGGGCAATGGCTACAGCTTCCACCATCTGAAGTAGAGAATCGTATGCACTAACTATGTCAGGGATTCACTGACTAAGGGGTAAGGGGTTAAAAAATGGACACATTGCCACATTGTGATGATGAACTGTCTCGCCGCAATGCGACGCAGCACTACACGATGGGGACAACACGACGTATTGTGATAGTGCAGCTTCAGACCTGGGAGAGGTCAAACTGAGGTTGTAGGAAGAAGAGGAGGAGAGAGACAAGGAGGAGGCCAGGGGGACAGTAGGAGAGTCTGCCGGTCTCACTGGACCTGATGTAGTCCAGACCATGATTCATGTAGACTGCTGTCACCGCTGCTATGGTGGCTGGAGAGAGAGAGAGATGGCAGGGATTAAGCGATAACAGCAGACACACAGAGGCACAGTTGACATAAGCCATGCAGAAAAAGTAGCACAATATACCCAGACAACACCAACACACTCAGCCAAGAGAACCAACATTGACCAAAACACAAAAGGCAACTGCAGACGGAGGCAGATGGAGAGCCTAATTCATTCACAGATGGTGAGATGTACATATGTAGTACCAATGAGAGAAGCAGAGGAAGGAGGTTGGTGGGTGAAGGAGAGCCAGAGAGGAGATAAGAGAGAGTCAACTCCAGCAGGAGACCACTGACCATTGTCCCACAGAAGATAAGCAGCTGATGAGAGAGAGAGAGAGAGAGATTATATAGCCATTACTGGTGGACTGACGGAGTTACTGACCTGGCCGGGAGAGATGGGGGAGGAGGGGAAGGTAGAGAGAGAGTCTGAGGACGAGGAAGGAGAGGAGGAAGAGGGCGACGCAGGTGGTGAGGGGGGAGGAGGGGGAAGAGGGTGGGAAGGAGGGTAGGAGGAGCGATAACTTGGTGAGGTGGAGACTAGAGAGGAGGAGGCAAATGTCGGGAGACATGTACCCTGCCACATGCAGCCTGCAGCAGAGAGAAAGAGAACTAACTTTAAACTGATAGTATTGTGTGAGTGCATAACATTCTGTGTAACTTTCAAGGAGCTGGGAGACCTAAATGTGAACGTATCATTAATCACAATGTTGTATGATTCAGAGGGAGTTAAAGGAAGGAAGGGACGAGAGGAGAAGGAAGGTAGAGAGCGAGGTTCAAGGTTCGTGAAACAACCTCCAGAAGAGAAGAGCAGCGAGGGAGGCAGTGGTCAGGGCAAGAAGATGAGAGTAAGCTCCATCATAACTCAACACATACTCCAGTACCACAAACACTGCAGAAAAACATTACATCATCGTCCACACCAATGAGAGATGAGGGAATGATATTATTACCGATGTTGAAGGGAATCCAGACGACAGGAGTGACCCGCTTGTGAAATGTAACCATAGCAACGGTTGCCACGGTGATGCACCATATCAGCAGCTGTACGAGGCTCAGTGGTAGAGAGAGAAGCGAGAAGGTGTGGCTATATATAGAGAGGACGGTTAAAGAATTTGTTGAAGAAGCTACAGTAAGGCAAGGTTCATAATATGTCGCATTGCCCTCTGGCGCTGTGCCGCGTCGCGCCCCTGCCGTTGAGAGAGAAATGGATTCTATCCTTGCGACACGGCAAAGTGGCAGGGTGCGACTGGGACATAATTATTGTGAACCCAGCCAGAGAAGGAGTAGACTGAGGAAGAGGGATACGAGATGGACCATGGTAGGAAGGCAAAGGTGGCAGAGGAGAAGAATGCAGTGGCCAGAGCCAGAGTGAGTGTGGTGGGGGAGGGGGTGGAGTCAAGAGAGGAGACGAGGGCCAGGGCGGTGAAGGAGAGCGGGATGAGGAGGAGAGGGAGGAGGGACGAGGACTCCCATACCATCACAGACAGCAGACACTAACAGACAGACAAAAGAGATAGGGAGAGTGTATGTTCATGAAGAGTCATACTGTATGCAAAAATGAGGGGAAGCATTAGATATATACTGCTCACATCTTGACGTGTTGTAAACTACACCAGCACTATAGAAACAGTCATGCCTTTTTTGGAAACACACTCTAGTAGACCGTAGTGCTCACCATTACCACTGCACCAGTGGCACACCTCAGGACCAGCACAGCTGTCGGCCCCACGTCTACATACCCAGGCAGAAAAGGGTTAAAATATGCACGGCTAACATGACTTACGCAGGAAGGAGAGAAGTCTCTGGGCCTCTAGCAGCGTCAGGAGGAATACCGGAGTCACAACTAGAAGACCGAGACACTGAGAGAGAGGGAGAGAGAGAGAGAGAGAGAGAGAGAGATGCAGTGAAACATCTGAAAAGGACTCTATAGATTGCCTCTGACACACTGAATAGGTGTCCCTTATTTAGAGTTTTAAACAGCCACCAAGTCAGTTTACAGTCTTGAACTAATCATGTGAGATATGAGCAGTTTAACACCCCAGCCTCCAGCTACTTGTCTCTCTCTCTCTCACACGAGCCTCTGTCTTCAGTGAAAGACTCACCAGCCAGCTGAAGAGAGAGCTGTCGTGGAGGAGTGTGAAGTGGATGAGACAAGGAACGGTCAGCTCCAGAGATATGTACACTAGAGCCACAGACCAGTGCTGGATCACTCCTGCATCAATATGGACACAAGTAGCTGCTGGTTATGAGAACTGACAAAGAGGTGTTTTGGAGACCTAGGTATGAGTTTATGGGAACAGAAACTTTAAGTATGGGATTGCAGAGAACGGGAACGAGACCTCCTGTAGCTGACCAGTGTTGGTAGGAGTGTTTGGTCTGGCAAAGGAAGACTTGAGCGGAGACAAAAAGAGACTTAGAGACGCCACCCTGCAGGGGGAGTGGGCAGAGTCAGTGGGCGGGGCCAGCGGGGAACTCACCCAGCAACCGCAACAGAGACCGGAATGTACGTAACTCCAAACAACATGGCACACACCCACGTAACCATGACGATGGAGACTCCAGGGTACGTGGCAAACAGCATCCTCTCCACCAGCTGTGGGTGTGGTCTGTAAGTCGTGAATAATTCATGAGGCCATAAAATACTCACAAGGATGAATCTTGGGTCTTGTCTGACTAACTCTGGATCCTGCATCAACCACCACAACCCTTGGGAGGAAGATCATTACAGCAAGAAATTTCCAAGTGAAAAAAGAATTAAGTGTCAAAGATAGCGTTTGTCATACAAAATGTCCCTGTTCATGAAATTTCATTCACAGAGAAAAATTTTGATACAAACTCAAGGTGTTCTCCAAGCCATACAGTATTCACTCTAATAGCACAACATTTAGAGAACATTATTTTCCTTAAAATATTTTTGGGTGCTATAAGGTAATGTACCAGAGGTAGCGATGAATGAGTGGACGAGGAAGAAGAGGGGAATGTTCAGAGCGGACTGCCTGCAGAGAGGGAGGGAGAGATAGAGAGGTTGGGGAGGATGAGAGCTGGCTCACCAGACGAGAGGAGCCATGCAGTACACATTGAGGACTGCCAGGAGAAAGACGTGTCCTATACTGACCACCATCCCACTGAGTGGAGACAGAGAGAGACATGAGAGGAGAGAAACATTGCAGCATAATACATTGCTAAATGTGGAAGGTACGGGTACAGTATTCACATAAATTTCTGCTCCGTGGAACGCAAGAGGAGAGACAGCACCACACCAAGTACCACGGCACCAATCATCCTGCACACACCACCAGGTATGAAACTAACGATGATGCTCTACTCCTGCTAGTGAGGCGCTTGGCTTACAGTTTCCCGGTGACCGTGGCAACCAGGAGGGCCCCTGGAAGGAATGCAATCATGAACCTCAGGTTGTACTGGAACGGGGCCAGCTGGAACCAGTCTGGGACGTGGCGGAGCGAGGACGGCATCAGATGATTTTCCGAAACCTGCACATATGCAGTACGATGTACAGAACTGCACCGGCTACCGAAGTTACTCTACCTTTACCTGCTGTGTTTGTTCTGGCTGCACGTACTCCTGACGCTGGCTGGCCGCAGCCACGGCTGTCGCTCGCTGCGACATCACCAGAAACCTCTCCTTATTTCTAAATGGTGCGCAGCACGCTCGCGTGGTTGAACCTTGACCCGAAATTTCCGCTACCGCATGCGAAACTTGAAAGACAGTCGCGTGCGCTAAAATAATAGACAGTAAGCTAGCTGAAATGACCGACTATTATGAATTCTCTAGTCTAGTTCTGTGTTCTCGTACACAAGGCATGGAGCAGTAGTGGTACTGGAGTCTGTGGAATGGAACCAGACCTGCTATACCACGCCCACAACAGCTACACACACCAGCCCTGCAAAGAAAATGCAGTAGCATCATTCACAAAGGAGAGGGAGAGAGACCAGTTACCTCTGAACTGAGCTGTCAGCGGAGTTATGTGCAGCCAGTCTCCTCTCGGCAGCCAGGGCCCTCTTCTCTCTCTCACTCAGGCCCTGCACAGTCTCCCCCTGTCTCCTAGCAACCACCGCCTCTTCCTCCCTCACCTTCTCCTCGCTCTTCTTCTTCTTTGCCTGTTTCTTCTTCTCCCTCTTCTTCTCTGCTGCCTGCAGCCACAGAGTTAGTAAACCACTACAAATTTTGCTGCATTCTCACCTAAATTTTAAGGATTAATGAACAATGAGAGTGAAATAGTTGCAGCATAATCTTGAACAAAATGAGTATAAATTCCTGACCTTTTCTCTCCTCTGTCTCTCCATGTCATCGGTGAGTGGACTGGGGATCTGGGTCTGAGAATAGTCGTGTAACTGCGGCCACTGCCCCATGAACCTTCGGTAACTGTCCCGCACAGATTTATCCCTGGAAACCAGGTAGGGGACACGCCCACTTGAGTCCCTGGGGTGAGATTTACATAGTATATACATCATGCCAACTATTGGTAGAGGAGCTGTTTATAAGTGGGTAATAGCTAAAGCTCTTCAGCCCAAATAGTTTCCAACGGTAATCTCGTTCACTTTTAAAATTTACAGTCATTCACACAAGTCTCCATACACACAAGTCTCCATACACACAAGTCTCCATACACACAAGTCTCCATACACAAAAGTCTCCATTCACACAAGTCTCCATTCACACAAGTCTCCATACACACAAGTCTCCATACACACAAGTCTCCATACACACAAGTCTCCATACAGTCAGCATGAGATCACCTGAGACAGGGATCAGCTCCATGCTCTAGAAGGAGCTGCACGAGGTGAGGGTGTCCGTGTTCCGATCAGGCAACATGGAGTGCAGACACACCACCGTACAACTGGTTCAGGACACCAGACGACGAGGCTTGTCCCGAAGTTTGTCCTGATAGCTCGTTAGTAGTGGGTGTGGTCTCAGTAATGGGGGAAATGCTGAGGTTTTGTAGTACACTTGTCATCACCTCTCCCTCTCCTCTCTCACATACTGTCAGCAGCTGGGCCAGGAATGGTGACAGAGGAACTGGAGGAGAGAGTCAGTTAGTAAGCATAGTTTTCAACACTTACCATCCTTCCAAGATTTCTCCACCTTCTTTTTCTTCCTCCTCCTCTTCTTCCTCTTCCCCTCTCCCTCTCCCTGTGTCCCACCCTCATCATCCACACTACTGTCATCATCACCACAGTCACCACTCTCACCTCCTACCTCCTCTTCCTCTCTCTCAACCCTCACCTCGTCACAGTTTGTATCGTTAGTAGCTTCAACGTTCGACTCAGATTTGTTTAACATTTCCGGGGAAACAGTTTCCATCGTCAACAGCCTTCTTGGATACGTTGCCATGGTAATAAACAGAAGCCAGACACGCGTGGACTCGTTTCACTTCCTTGAACGTCGGTCGTCGTGTGGGGAAGGGGATTCCCCTCACCCGAGGGTCGTCGACGGGAAACGAGCGGGGTCTTACCCCCTGTGAACGTGGTCATGTGTGTCCTGGGAGCTCTGATGAAGATGGCGGTGGATTCCCTGAGGTGGCTTGCCCAGGACTGCAGCAGCTGTTGCACCTCTCGCTCCAGAGCTGACTCGTTGTACCTCCGTAGACTGGCCCCGGCAGACCTGCACACACAGTGAATCTATTGCCAACACATCAAGAGGAAATGAAATGACATGCACCAAATGAAAGTGTTCAGAGCACAAGTTTAGCAGAGTGTACAAGACTAGCCAAACGTTGCTGAAGTAAACATCTACTGGATTTCCTGAAAATCCTTCGCTCACTTCGGACCGTGTCCTCCAGACTGGTTGTCTCTGAGAGACTGCGAAGTGCCTCTTTTGGCTCTCACTGTGTAGCGATGGAACGTCTTGTGGAGCTACAACACTGGACCTGTACAACATGCACACAACATACGTACATACAAACTCACACGTTAACTTCTTCATGGAAAATTTTATGCTCTCAAGTTAAAGTTACACTTACCCTTTGAACACAGCTCCGGCGAAATGTCCACCACCTCTCATGAGGATCACCCAACATGGAGGGAGGGAGAGGGAGAGGAGGGAGGGGACCAGCCTCTCATTTGACACATATTTCTGCAGAGGTATATGCATGAAAGACCACGCACTGGCGCTGTCATCATCATCATCCAAAGTGATGACAAATGGTCTACATTCAGGGACTGTAGTCCACACCCATTTTACATACAAAATATGTTTTAATCGAAGCTTTTCCCCACAGACTGTAGTAATCTCCCACCTTTCCTCCAGCAAGGATCACTCTATAGACAGAATACACTGTTCCAGTGGCACTGCCGTCCGCTCTGAAGTAGACGAATGGAGAGGAGGTTGATTGGTGGGCGGAGTCGGTGGGCGTGGCCTCGCACGAGTCTTCCGAGTCACTCTCTGAACCAGATATACTAGAAAGGTCACCTGCCCAGAGCTCAAAGTCATGTGATTAACATGTGATGTAGGTGTGTAACTCACCAGCCTCTTCCTCAAATTTTGCCTGGGTAACATGGGGAAAACCCCTCAATCTCCTCTTGAGATTGTATCTGTGCCAGTCCAGATGATAGTGGGTCACCTGCTCAGCTCTGTCGGCAAATGTCACGTGACACGAGTTACACTCTGAGGCTGTCGCTCCCCTCACTTCCTCCGCAACAGATCCGGACACGTCACTAGTCCCTCCTATCAGTAGTTAGTGTTATATAGTGAGCGGATTGGATGCAACACTCACCATTAGCAGTGTCCTCGGTGATGGCAGCGGCAGGAGAGCTGCCAGAGAGACGGAGAGAGCTCGAGGAGAGGACGCCGCGGGCCTGAGGCGAGAACAGCGACACGGAGCGCAGCCCAGCTGGCCGAGTCATGGTGGCATATGGTTTATGTATTTCGCTACTCTAGCTCCGCAGCGCTCCTTTATTCAGCGTTCCATCGCAGAAGATGCTCTTACGCCACGTCCGGACAGCTGAGAAAATTGCCGGACATGTTGCAATTCTGATGGAGTGCGTTTATTGGAAACATAGCGCATGCGCAGATTCATTTATTGCCGTTCCATTACGGTTCATTACGTAACACACAGAGCTGGCACAAGTCAAGATTGGGCAATTCGGTCTAACATTCGCTTTACCCCCGCCATCTGCAGACCTTCCTTCACACCTAATTCAACAAGATACACGTAATATAGTTCTATAGCATGCACAATATAACCTACCATACAATGGTCCCGTATAGCCCCACCTACAATGACAATAATCGTTAGTTCACAGGCATTTTTTCACTACTACATACCAGTCCCAGCAGCCATAGGGATTGATGAGAATGTTGCTAGCCACCTGAGGGTAGAGTACTATGATATTGTTAATTTCAGCCACTCCGTTGTAACCACCATGGACAGCAAAAACGTCTCCAACCATACCCCTGAATAATAAGTTAATAAATTTCATGCTAGAGTCAGGAACTAAGTCTTCTCTACCTTCCTTGAAGGCAACCATGAAAAGCAATGTGCAGTCTGCAGGCTAAAGAGAAATATTATAGATTAGCCCCTGAGACTATTGGCCCCTCACCTGCTCCGTTCTGACATTGTGTTGGGACATACACGTAGCCAATGGTATCCATGGAAACCAAGCCAGGAAACCCAGAAAAGAATTGTGATTGGTCAAACTCCAGCAGCTACAGAAATGAAAGGACTCTGAATTAGCCTCGCTGGCCAGATGCTGATTTTGTTGATCCTAGCTTATTTACAGAGTCCTTCAAAGGCAGTTCACACCTATGCTTAGGTAGAGGAACACTCTCATGGAATGTTAGTGAGTGAGGCCCCAATGCTGCCAGGTGGGGGGAATCAGCTAACTCTGACCCACTTAAATTTCAACAGGAACTTTTCTGGCAACCCATACCATGGAACGTGTCCCCAGACCCATGTGAGTGCAGCACATGCAGCGAAAAATTTAACAGTTTCCTCACATTTTCAGGGATCATGGCATTATCGTCTGCATACGTGATGTCACCATAGATGTGTTGCAGCATCACAAAGCCAGAGGGATAGTCACAGTTGATGATGTAGGGAGCAGTCACAATGCTGGTACCACAATTGCTTCCATACATATTTGACAACTGATAGAATTGATCCAAAGAGTCAAACTATAATTAAAACACAACAGAGGTCTTCCTACCTGACCATGTCCTGCAGGGATTGAAAAGTTAATCTCAATATTCTCGCTCTTGACATAATTAGAGTAATACTCTTCCAGTTTTGTCATGACTCCTGAACAGGATAGAAAAGCTGCTGAGTGGAAAAAAACGCACTGTATATTGTATAGCTACCTTACCTGGCACTACAACTATGTCCTTGGTTCCAGAGATGAGAAAAACTCTGCTGCTCTCCAGATTACTAGTGGGATCTATGAGGCCACTAGTGGCGTATGTCTCGGTCAGAGCCATCAGATAATCCACTGGTATAAATATAGGACTGAACGTACACCTAGTGATAGCCAAAGAAAAATAACCGTCCGCACAGTAGAATGGGCCTGTATGGAGAAAATAGCTGCAAAAACTTCAACGTGTTTTACGCTCTTTGCTCTAACCTCCCGCAGTTATCCCTGCACCCTTGACAATGCTGGAGAAAGAGACGTGAAACTGGACCGCCATGAAAGCTCCAGAGGAAAACCCCGACACGGACGTCTCTCCAGCGACCACATTGTAAGACTCTGCAAGGATAACGCGTCGTGTCCGAGATGTGTATTCAAGAGCTAACTGAGTGTTGGAGCGTTCTCCGTGTTACCGTCGACTATGACTGCATGGCCCAGTGCTAGAGAGATCCACAACAATAGTTTGAGATTTTCCATCTTCTTAGCCGCAGCGGAGTGATGGATTGACGATCAGCGCAGACGCTATATAGCTCGCTCCGTCCGCCGTGGGACATTTTGCGCATGCGCAGATTTGTTCTTGATTCAAGATTGAGCAATTCTGTCCAACATTTTCTTTACTCCTGCCATCTGCAGACCTGCCTTCACACCTAATGCAGCACACCACATATGTACAAACAGTCGATCGCCCAATATCACTTACCATAAAACGGACCTGTATAACCCCACCTATCATAAAAACTCAGTAATGATTAGTTCAGAGGTCCTTTTCTAATACTGACATACCAGTCCCAGCAGCCATAGGGATTGGTGAGTGTACTTTTGACCACCTGAGGGTAGAGCACTATGATATTGTTCATTTCTGCCACTCCGTTGTAACCAGCGTGAACTGCAAACACATCTCCAATAGTACCTCTGAAACGTTTATTTCTCAATAATCATTATTATTATACTGGAGTAAACAAGGGTCATATATACATACCTTCCTTGACGACACCCGTGGAATGCAATATGGAGTCTGCAGGCTAATAAGAACTCTTTCATTACTTCTCAATATATCTTCAATCCTTACCCGATCCCTTCTGACATTGTGTTGGGACATACACATAGCCTGTGGTATCCATGGAAACCAAGCCAGGGAACCCAGCAAAGAACTCTGATTGGTTGAACTCCAGCAGCTAAAATATGAATGCATCAATCGTTGCCATAACTAAGAAATGTCCTCACATTCTCAGGGATCATGGCATTATCGTCTGCATATGTGATGTCACTATAGATGTGTTGCAGCATCACAAAACCAGAGGGATAGTCACAGTTGATGATGTATGGAGAGGAAACTGTGGCAGTACCACACTTGCTCCCATATACATTGGACAACTGATGGAATTGTTCCAAAGAGTCAAACTATCATTAACACGACAGAGGTCTTCCTACCTGACCATGTCCTGCAGGGATTGAAAAGTTTCTGGCAATATTCTCACTCTTGACAAAAGTAGAGTAATACTCATCCAGTTTCTCCATGACACCTGACAAGAAAGAAGATCTTGAGAGGTGAAAATGACACACTGGTAGCAGCTAGCTAGTTGGTAACCTTGTACTACGACCGTGTCTTTGGCTCCTGAAATGAGGAAGACTCGACTGTTCTCCAGGTAACTAGTAGAATCTATGAAACCATAAGCAGCGTCTGACTTGGTCAGGAGCACCAGCTGAGCTACTGGTATGAGTGCAGGGGTGACTGCACAGCTACTGACAGCTATGGAAATGAGACCCTCGGCGCAGTAGAACGGACCTGTAGCGTTGAAAGACCCAAACATGGCAAACATTTCACCCGCTGGCTCTACACACCCCCCGCGGTGATGCCGGCTCCCTTGAGCGTGCTGGAGAAGGAGACGTGGAACTGGACCGCCATGAAAGCCCCAGAGGAGAGGCCCGACACTGACGTCTCTCCGGCGTCCACATTGTAAGACTCTAAAAGTGATAGCTAGCTAGTCGATCAGTTCGTGCCAAATACCAGAACTCACCGAGCTTAGCAGCTCCTTCCGTGTGACCATCAACTGATGAACTGCCAGTAGAGCCCAATGCTAGCGAGATCCACAGCAAGAGACGGAGCTTGGCCATCTTCATTTGCCACGCCCCCTTTCTGCAGTCCACGTGCGCCTGGTTAGAATGTCCGTGTTTCAGACCTTGTCTGTGTTCCAGCTAGTGTTCTGCAGCCTATCGCTTGCTATTTCGGCGACTCCACCGCTCAGTGAGTAGACCCTGCCAATTCAAATTTCTAGCTGGTCACTCAGCTACGTATCTCTCCGCCTGTCTGCAGGAACATACAATGTGACGGCCGGCGATACCTCTGTTTCTGGGCTCTCTTCCGGAGGTTTTATGACCGTACAGTTTCACATGGCTCATTCTGCGACTCTGCGTGGAGCTGGGGTCACCGCAGGAGGTCAGTAAAACGTTCTAATATCTGGACTTTTGTCTTTCTGGACTGCAGTGTCTTCACGTCTTTTCCTTGTCCTCAGGTCCTTATTACTGCGCTCAGGACTCGCTGTCGGTAGCCCTGACGACCTGCCTCAATACGCCACTGCTTATTGATGTTGCTAAACTGGTCGACTTTGCCAAACAGGCAGGAGAAGACGGGAATATTGATCCGACATCATCACTGAGTCAGAGCCGAGTCTTCCTCATCTCAGGAACAAAGGACACTACTGTTAAACAAGGTAGCTACTGGGAGAAAATCAATGAAATGTTATCCGTTTATTGCTTTTTTCAGAGGTAATGAATAAACTGTACGACTTCTACAGTGCCTTTGTATCGAATATTGGCAAGAACTATTCGATCCCTGCTCAGCATGCCCAGGTATCTAACTAGCTAATGATTCTACTGCAAAATATTTCAAATCTCTGAGTTTGGCTGCAGCTGACTAATGACTATGGAAATGAGTGTGACGTGTACAGGTCTCCATACATTGACAACTGTAACTACCCCTCTGGATTTGTCATGCTCCAGTTCATCTACCAAGACATCACGTATGCAGACAACTCCAAGATGAATGCTAGTAATGTAAGTCAACAACCCTAACTCTAGTATGCTGAACGCCCGACTGTTTGTCTTTTTTAAGATGTTGGAGTTTAACCAGACGGAATTCTTCAATGGTGGAAGTCCGGGACAGTACTCGATGGATTCCACAGGATATGTCTATGTCCCGACACAGTGTCGGGAGGGAGCAGGTAAAGCCGAGCCTTAATAGTTGTGCTGTCAGTTTATCTCTCTGTTTTTGTGTGCAGCCTGCAGACTACACATTGCTTTTCACGGGTGTTATCAGGGAAGGTATGTATATGGTCCAGAGCTTCATGAGTATTATTGGCATTGTTGTCGCCTTCTCTCTCAGAGGTACTATTGGAGATGTGTTTGCAGTCCACGCTGGTTACAACGGAGTGGCAGAAATGAACAATATCATAGTGCTCTACCCTCAGGTGGTCAAAACCACACTCACCAATCCTGAGGGGATGCTGGGACTGGTATGTCAGTACCACGTACCGGCTCACATTTCAACCACTTTCCTCTGTATAGGTGGGGCTATACAGGGAAGGATTACAGTCAGTGGTTTATATTTGTTGTGGCTCTTTACTTGTAAACCTTTGTCCACAGTCTTCAAGACTGGACCACAGATCTCAGCAGTCAAAATGATGCTGGACAAGGTGGCTGGAACCTCCCAGTGAACGTCTATTTTTGCTGTGTGAATAGGTATATTTGCATGCTGGAGTGAGTGACACATTGTGTTACTGCCAAATGAGTCACTTAGCTAGTGTGCTGTCACAAAGCAACCCATTTTAGGGACTACTATTGTTTTAGCGTGCTGCAATATTATATACGCATGCGCAGTCTACTGTTCGCTCGCGTGAAGATGCTGCACCACCGCGGAGCTAATCATGGTCTGAGCAATGCTGGCTACGAGCCTGTCTCCGTACATACCTTCACTCTCCGCATGCGCGTGCGCAAAATATCACCGCGGAGAAAATGCCGAGAACAGAACGACTCTGTGTGTTGGCTCTTCTGCTACATCTTATCGCGAGCAGTTCTTCAACGCTCAGTAAGTGGCGGTATACACCAATTCATAATGTTTCACTGCACTCCTCCGTATGCCGTGTCAGACTACTGTCCGAGTACTCGGTACCTCACTGACCCAGTGGTCCATGGATCGCTCCCTACGCTCGTATACGACGTTGCTGTATCCAATTATTTACCTGTCTATCCTGCTGAAGAAATCTTCTCATTTAGCTCTCCTTTCGATATATACTGCTGGTGCAGTGGAACCAACATATTGCCTCAGAATATCACCATTGATTTTACTGGGCCTTTGATCATACATGGAATGCTGCTAGGTGGATATGGTATTGGATCTAGTACTAGATCATACGTAACAGCATTCTCTCTGGAGTATTCTGAGACTCACAACAGTGATGTGATAGTCGACCATCTCCCTAAGGTAAAGACTACTACAATCTGAAGTTGAATCCTTTCTATATTTGCTCAGGTGTTTTACATCCCTGATTCTAATGGCGAAGTTACAATGCTAAATCTACCACAACCCATTCTGGCCAAGACCCTTTACTTCCAGGTCCATGACTATGAGTCAAGTAGTGCTCTCCGAGAAGCATGCTGGACCCTTGGTTTATTTGGCTGCACACTCAGTGACGGTAATTTGGACTGAGTAGATTTGCAATACATACCATCAAAAGTCAGTGTGTGTCTCAGAGAAAAAATGCTCTGTGCTCCCACTGCCCTTATGGGTCTGCACTCTATGGTCTTGTAACTTCACAGCTACAATGATGACATCATCATCATCATCACCAAGTCCCACACCCTCTCCACGGGGCAACCCCTCTCAACAGCTGCCACCACAGACAGGTGTTGAGAGCTCCTCCTCTGGGGAAGCAGTCGGTATCGCAGTCTCCACGGCTGCTGGAACAGTAATAGCTGTGGCAGTGTTGGTGATAGTTGGTGTAGGCCTCTGCTGGGCCATCCACAACGGATACATGTATATACACACATATTCGTTTAGTTACACTCCCAATGATTCTTGCACTTGCAGATTATCTCGCCCAAGGAATGATAATATGAAAAGGTATGATTAGTGCGTGTTATATTAATACAATGTTGTATTATTAGACGGGTGTGACTACAGCAGCAGAAATATTCTGGAGAGAGAAGGAACATTAATGAGAGTGGATAATGAGTTATATACCTTGCCAGACAAGTAATTCCATTGTAAGTGAGATGAGCTCTAAATTATAGGTTCTACTCTACTAGAAACAGAGAGAGGGGTGTGGGCCATGAACAGACCAGGGAATCAACTTCCAGTGGAAGAGGACTGCTACCATCAGAAGACTTGACTGACACTTCTCCGGCTGTCTCGACTGTTGCCACACCCACCATCACTGAGTGAGAATCCTTCATCAATCATCAATTATTGTAATGCTTTGTCTTCTGATGATTGTAGGAGCCTCACTCAGTCAGTAGTGTACGAACTAGTCCAACCAATGGGAGATGGAGGAAAAGCAGGAGGTGAGATTTTGGTGGATAATCCAGCCTATCTTGGTCGTAAGGATCCTGTTCTGAGTAATGCTGGTTACGAACCAGTTATTCCTCGATCTAACGACTCTGCTTTCTGAACAACAGCAGTTAGGCTGAAGGAGGAATTCCTGTAATAACTCATGCATTTTTGGACACATCTGTCCACTAGTGACATATAAGCGCACGCGCATTGTAAGCGCAGACGCAAAATTAATAAATTTTTGCATGCGCAAAATACAAAACCGTTTACGCGAAGTTTACTGTAAGTTATAGAGTATCAAGATTGCGTCATCGACAATAACATTGAAGAGAGGCCAACTCGTTGAGGCTGTTCTCCGGGCTCTCTAGTTCGAGTGATGACGCTAGTTAGATAGTGGAGTGACTGGTTAGTAGTCTAGGAGAAGATGTGGGCGCCAGACATGAACGCACGGGAGCGAAGGCTGAGTGAAAGAATGCCCGAGGTCACTGGCTTCCCTCCCCGAGCCTGCTCGGCCGCCTCCGGAGGCAGCACGACGCCGGCCTCGGAGAAACCGTTCCACTACTCGTAAGAGTCGGGCCGGGTACGGGAAGTGGGTCAGAGGAGGGCCTGGGGGAGGGGTAGACACTGACGGACGGTGGGGGAGGGGAGGAGAGGGAATGTTTGGTTGCTAGAGGCACCACTGGCCTTGGTTACAGAGCTACAACTCATTGCAGGACCTAGACATCCCTCCTCTCTCCTCCCAGGTACCTGAAGGAGTTCAGAGTTGAGCAGTGTAAGGCGTTTCTGCAGCACAAGTGCAACCAACACCGGCCGTTCACCTGTTTCAACTGGCACTTCATGAACCAACGTCGCCGAAGGCCGGTCAAGCGAAGAGACGGAACCTTCAACTACAGTCCTGACGTCTACTGCACACTGTACGATGAGAACACCGGAGTCTGTCCCAACAGTGACGAGTGAGTCTACGTGTGTGGGTCGGAGTACACAGACGAAACCCAGTCTTTTGGCAAAACAGCCACAATTTGATCACGAGTGTAGAGTTGTGTGTGTTAAGTCCGCTGGTACGAGGAACACTCATATTCGCTCTTTGATGTCGGGTTAGAGGGCTCGACATTCCCTTGGCTTGAGTATTTTCACTTCCCTCTCTCACCCTTCCTTCCCTCCCGTCTCTCTTTCTCTCTTTTCCCCTCTTTATATTCTACCTCTTTCCCTCCCATCTCTCCCCCAGTTGTCCCTACCTTCACAGGACGGCAGGCGACACAGAGCGACGCTACCATCTCAGATACTATAAGACCAGTACGTGTGTCTATGAGACCGATGTCAGAGGTTACTGCGTCAAGAACGGACCTCACTGTGCCTTCGCACACGGTCCTCACGACCTCAGGTATTATACCCTCTGAGATCTGTAGCCTTTCTGAAAGTTCACAAGATAAGAAAAGAGAGAGAGGGAATAAAATTTGTAGAACAGGTGTGTAGCTGTACGTACAAAAACTTGCGTTTCGGTAGCAAACGAGAATTCCATGGATTGCTGGGACAATACAAATGTTTTACAACATTTTGTGGATGAAATGTTCGCTGTTAAACTGCAGAAGTAATGAAATTCTCTCTCTACTACATATTCTCAGGTCTCCAGTGTATGACATCAGAGAGCTGGCAGGAGTGGAGGATGAAGTTGGGAGCATGGTCAGCAGTCTGGAGAGAGAGAAAGGAGTTCTGGTGGACGATCTACGCTGGCAAGGTCAGCATCTCTCTCTCTCTCGCTGCGACCCACTCACAAAGGTCCCGGGTCTGTCCCTGCAAGGCAGAGTACACAGAGATGCCTTGTCAGCAGTCTGTCTGCTAATGGGCCTGCCACCCCTGTTTACAACCTTTCCCCACCTGCCTTGTATCGTCCTGTGCATACATTGTTCCTCCCCTCCCACTATGCTGTGAGTGCGTACTAGCTGGCCCCCCGATGGTGGTATTTCTCCTCTCACAGAATCCAGTTTTGTGTTGACGTACTACAAGACGGAGCCGTGTAAACGGCCGCCACGCCTCTGTCGTCAAGGTTACGCCTGTCCCTTCTATCACAACAACAAAGACAGAAGAAGAAGTCCGAGACATTTCAAATATCGGTCAGTGGGTGTGGTCAATACAACCAGTAGGTGTGGTCAGCTTCAGCACGGGGAATGCAAAACTACTCTTCTACTACTGTATATGTGACACAATTTCATGTAATCAATGAAGACGCGGCAGTAACTGAATATACAAGTGTTTGTAGACTGATCATGTGATCTGTGTCTGTCCTCCCTCTCCGGCCGGCAGGTCGACTCCGTGTCCAAATGTGAAACTGAATGACGAGTGGGGAGACCCTAGTCATTGTGAGCAGGGAGATGGCTGCTGTTACTGCCACACTAGAACTGAGCAGCAGTTCCATCCTGAGGTCACTCCCTCCTTTCTCTCTTCTTCTCTTGTCTTTCCTCGTTTCACGTCATCTGCCCCACTGCCTGCCTTAGTTGGCTGTCAACACTTTGTTCCCTGCGACCCACGTAGAGCGACATTGACCTCTCCCTACATCAACACCGCAGATCAGTGGCCCGATTGACCCTCTATTGTAGGAATAACTCAAGCATATTATGAACCTCTGTTATACTCTATACACAAACACCTGGTCCCATTAGGCCGTCCATGTGTCTCATCTAATACACCTGTGGGAGAAGAGCAACATCCTGCCTCTGTGCGTGTGTGTCCTCTCCAGGCATTCTTGGCCTATTATTGCGGGAGTCGCTTTTAATTTCCCACACCCCCTCCTCTCTTTCTCTCTCTCTCTCTCTCTCTCTCTCTCTCTCTCTCCTCCATGTAGTCAATATCATGTGACTATACCATTGAATCAATACGTCTTCACCTAATGTGTATGTGAGTGTGTGTGTACTGGTGTTATCTGTGATGCAGATCTACAAGTCAACCAAGTGTAACGATGTGCAGCAGACTGGGTACTGCCCGAGAGCATCGTTTTGTGCCTTTGCCCACGACGAGAGTAAGACACACACACACAGGACCCTACAATACCCTCTAGTATTTGCATCGCCCCTCACCTAATGAAGAGATAATTGACTTGTGTAAAGAGTGAGAATATTATATATGTGTGCCACACACACATTGGCTGACAGTCTGCAGTTTATACAGCTGGACTCTCTGTAACAGACACTGTCACTGAATGGTGTTGGGTTCACCATTTCCTCTCTCTCCTTTCTCTCCCTCACACCCTCCCCGATCTCTCTCCTTTCTCTCCCTCACACCCTCCCCGCTCCCTCTCCTCTATCTCTCTGTCCAGAGGAACTGTCTGCTCCCAGAGAGTTAACAGATGAACCGATGACCACAGCTCCTAGTCCTCTTGTGGTATGCCTCCACACAAGTCCTCTAGTACTACATCGTATAATTACTACATGGGAATTTTTAATTAATGTGTGTGTGTGTCTTGTAGACCGCCTTGTACCTAAAGGGGAAAATGAAGAGGAGAAGTAAAGAGAGAAAATAGCCCATATGACCTGTACACTGTGCAAGTTTGTACACCATCAGACTGTTGTTCGCAGGCTAGACTAGGAGAGAGGTTTTGACTTTAGGTATTCACTGTGCCTGCTGTGTTCTCTGTGTTAATGGCTCCGTTCTTGACCCTCTCTGTCTCTGTATGATACATACACCACACAGGGTGTCGGGGGAGGAGGTTCGCTGGACTCTGACCCCTACTCCACCTCACCGCACACCAAGAGTCTGCCGCAGCCAATCGGGCGACCGGAGAGGACCGGCAGCACCTCCTCCGACAGCTTCCAGAGAGCCGTGGGTGCAGAGGTCAAGAGCAAGAGCCTGGAGGACGAGGGACAGGTACTGTATTCGTCAGATATCTGATCTATTACATCACATTGTATAGCACCTTAACCACGGTGCAGTCTATAGCTTTGCTCAGAGAGCATTCTACACAATGTGCTGGACATGGTATTTGTGAGTCACATGTTACTCGTCAGGTGTGCATCATCCCTACTTATTTGGCTTTCTCACTGTATTTGTTACGTAATATTATGTGACATGTGCTGTACATGTACTATGCATACTTTTGTTGAGTGTATGATGATTGTTGGCATTCGAGCCACAGTGGGAGGGGGCACGGGGAGTATTATGTAAATATTTGTCTTGTCTCTCATTTCCCCTGCTTCATATAGTCTCTCTCTCTCTCTCATCTTGCCCCCCCCTCCCTCGTGTGTGTATGTGGTATTATAGGTGTACATAAGGAAGCAGATGCAACTGATTGATGCAGACACCAGCCTGGACGAGAGTGAGAAGCAGAGACGGAAACAGGTGGAGTTGCAAACCTCTCTCTCTCTCTCTTACACCGCTATCACCCCACCACCTATTAGCTGTGTATCTGTGTAGAACAACTAATCTTCTCTTTCCTAAAGAATACTCACATTATTTTAGCACAGTCCGTAAGGATGGTGTGTAATTACATTCTAGAACCATCCCTCCACACATGAACTTCACTCTCAGTCATATGAGACATATTATGATGGGTGTGCAGTGATAAAGGTTGACATCCTAATCCCCACAGAACCTGCTGCGACTGTCGTTAGGGGCGGTGGGGGCAGGGGTTTCCCCTGAGGCGGTACCTCCCCTGTCCCACAGCCTCCCTTCCTCCGTATCCGATGCTCTGGAGGCCATGGGAATGGAGGACCTCAACCTGGAGGACCTGGACTCAGGCTCTCTTAGAGACGACCCTCAGGAGGTGTTTAATCTCTTCCTATACATCTACCTCTTATAGCAATTGCACCTATAATCAGAGTAGGAGTTGTTTTCAATGTTGAGGTCTAATGATTAATTTCCTCTTGTCGCAATAAGTGAAGGGCAGAGAAACTAAAGAATGGAGCCACCACCAGAGTCGTGCAGTTTACCTGCAACACTGGTTACGGGGCTCTCAATTTAGTTGCAAGAAGTTTTGAAATTCACTCTAAAAGAACTTGCTCAGCCGCTGCACATGAATCAAAGAGAGTCTTTGAGAGTTGATGAGTGTTCTCTCTCTCTCCCTGCAGCAGATGTTGAGTGGAGGTATCCTGGGTCAGAGTCCAGTAGCACATGGCTTCATGCAGTCACTCCAGCAGCACCACCATCACCACCACTCAGGGAGCCACCCCCTCCCTTACTCCACCCCCCTGGGGCCTCTCTCTCCCTACGGCCCCTCCTCCTCCTCCCATCACACCGGACTCCCAGTACGTCGTATACACAGGATATGTAATAGTATTGTGGACCCAAATAAGGACACTCTTCAAAAAGACACCTTTTCACTAGTTCTGCTCGTTAGTGTCCAGATTAGAGAGGTTCCACTGTAAGTTGTGCACAATCAATGGTCAGTTAACTGGAGTTTGTGGGTGGTGGCAGAAGATTATTTGACTCATGAATTTCTCCGAACTATGTAATTCATTATCAGAGAAATGTCACTACCCACACACTGCCTTTGATTGACAATAAACACCCCGATGTCCTGTAATTCACATCCTCTCCCTCTCCCCACACTACAGCAGCACATGCATGCGATGGGAGCCGGCGGCTATTCCCCCTCCTCCACTCCTCCCTCCTTCCACTCCTCTGGCCCCCCGTCCGCATTCCTCCACGGCCCTCCTCAGAGGATATCGTCGCAGGGGCTCCCGGCAGGCTCTGGGGAAGGTGTCCCCCTCCCCTACCAAACACGCCTCCATGGTCAGTCATGGGCCCTAGTATTACCATAATGATAATAGTGTGATCAGATTTTGATGCTGTATTAGTTGCATATGTGAAGTGCCCAAGAAGAGATGAACTTTAAACCCCACCCCCACACACACAAACACTGACAGTTTGGGGCGGTGCTGGCGTCGCCAGTAGACAAGTCAGAGTCCTCTGCGGCCATCTTGAGAGACGAGCTGCGTCAGTCACAGCAGAGTCTGGCCTCGTGGCAGGACTCATGGAGACAGGCCAAGGGGGCCTGCGAGGCCTGGAAGAAGGAGGCCGAGGAGGTGGCAGGTCGAGCCAGAATGGAGAGAGAGAGCAGTCGGAGGAGAATTGAAGAGGTGAGGGAGAGGGAGCCATTTCCTGGCTCATTCAAGTCTCGTGCAACTTTCACTGTATGAAGCTCCATAGCAAAGTTTAAGTGCCTCGTTGCACAGGCTTGTATGGAGCCATCAAACACATACTCAATGCAAAAGCGAAACAAACAGTTTAACGGGACCCAGGATTAATATTATACTGGCTGGGGTATGTATGTCTAGGAATTGAACACTAGACACTAGACAGTCAAGGCAGAGCACCGAGCTACGTTGAAGTTGCACATGAGACTTTGTTTTTCTCTCACAGCTGGAGAGACAATTACAGGAGACTCACCTACAGCGGGTTGGATCCACGACAGCAGCAGGAGTCGACACGGCGGAGCTGAAGTCGCTGCCTCTGTCCAGACTAGAGGGACTGAGGCAGCAGTTGAGGAGAGATCTCGACCGCCTTGACTCAGTGAGACACCTACTAACCTCGTTACCGTCCTAATGACAGGATTCTCCCCTTTCCACAGAGCATTCAGCAAAGGAAGGGAGCACTGTGTCTCAAGTGTCAGGAGTTTCCACGCTGTGTCCTCACCCAGCCGTGCCAGCACTGCGTCCTGTGCGAGAAGTGTGCAGAGTCAATGGACGAGGCCCACCGGGTGTGCCCCTATTGTCAGGAACGGATCACGCACTGCTCCACAGCCCTAATCCCTCTCTAGTCGCCTTCTCTCTCTCTCTTTCTCGCGGTCATGGCCACTAGGAGTGCTCATCAACTAGGCTAGTTAGTTTCGTTGTCTTGGTACATATTATTCCTAGCCTGTCTTACAATTCATCGTGACCTAGTCTTCATATTGCCGCCTCAGTGCGAAAAGTCGGTTTTTTCTGGTCTATTTAAGGAGCACTCTTATTTGCTGTACCACCCTTTAAGAGCATATTATCCTACAATATCTGCAACTATTATTATTATTATTATATTATTATTATATTACTCTCCTCAACTTAGTGGATGTTGTTGTTTTGTGTTTTGTTTTCGGCGGTGAGGCAGCTTCAGTTCATAGACATTTCTCTCATTAGGGTTTTTCTCATTTAATGCCCACTGCTATTGCTGTCCATGGTCATATTACATGTATGTGGTCAGTCTTGTCGTCATCTCAAGCTACTAGAACTTCATGGGTTCTGTCAACGTTATAATATTGTCTCGATCTCTCTCCACGCTGTGCCTGAAATCACGTGTCACCTTATGTCGTTGTTAGTCCATCAGCTAGCCCCGCCCGCCCTGAGACGATTGATGTGACCCGCTAAGTTGATTATTATATAGTATGTCACTGTAGATGAGCCATTGCCATGGGTGAGGTTTATATGGCCTCATGAAATGATTTACTAGACGAATTGTGGAGAAAACGTGGGTGGAGCTTGGTGGTCGTAATGAGTCTGGTGATGTCTCCATTCATGTTAGTCTGGCGTCGTGCACGGGCGACAGGGAGCCGGGTACGGAGTGGAGGATGTGGTTGGAGGCTCGCAGCAGCCTCGGGCGTGAGCGGCAGAGAGAAGTTGGGAAAGGAAGGTTCTTGACCAGTCTGGTCCACTCACGCTTCCTCGACCCTTACCTCTGGCCCAGAGCTGCTTTTGAATCACTGGTGCTCCAGTTCCTGGGCCTCTGCATCATCTCTCTCACGTCCCTCCTCCTCCTCCTCGCCTCACCACTGTCACTCTCCCCCTCTCCCCTCAATGCTGCATGACTGCGTCCACATCTAATATCCACTCCTCGTCCTCTCTCGCCCACATCCTGTAGAAACAGATCTCACTTTTCACTTGCCTCAGTCACAAGCTATACACACACACAGAGACTCCTTACATGGAAACTCGGCCCCTTCGTGAGACGAAACAACGGTATCGACAAAAGATTTCACTACCACGAACCACACTTCCTCAGCCGCAGCTGTCTTTCGCCCTCCTTGCTGAATACTTCCCCCAGGTTCGTATCCTGCTGCTTTCCTCACATCAGGCATCCAGTTCAGTGGGTGAAATCTCCAGCACAGCCAATCGTCTGCACAAGTCAAACCGCTCACTCCTCGTAGCATTACCGCTGCTCGCGTCGATCTAAGATCGGACACGTACTAGCTCGCGGTGCGCGCACCCTGACCCGCGTTTGGACTCAATCCTTGCTGGAAGCTTAGCCAGCCACGCGGCACATAAATATGCCCAGAGCGTCATAAGTCTATAAGAGATATAATTATGATAGTCTATAATACAAGCACTATAACACCTCCTAGTAAATATCAGAACCCCCCCCACCCCCCCCCCCCCCCCCCACCCCACCACCCCCCCCCCCCCCCCCCCGACCCCCCCCCCACCCCCCCCCCCCCCCCCCCCCCCACCCCCCCCCCCCCCCCCCCCCCCCCCCCCACCCCCCCCCCCCCCCCATTATATCGCCACACTTGAACACTGTAAGGATGTGCCATCATCGGCTTCCACTTTACACATACATGTTACTATATGTACACATATATCGGCATTGAACTGGAGGCCTTACACACCATCAGGAGCTTGGGAGGGAGTCGAGAAGACACGGAGTTAGTGGCTGTCTCATAGCTTCTTCTCGCGCCCTGGGTGTCACACTAGCAGCAGTGGCGCGTTCTCACCAGCTGCTGCTCACACAGGGTCTCTGGGACAAGAGAACATCTAGAGATTGCATATAAGTATGTGGGCACTGCTTCTTCCCTCCTCACCGCCTTAGCATTTGCTAAATTCTGCTAGCGTGCTACGAGTTATGTCAAGCACCCGACAGTGGTGTTAGAGATAAGCTAGTCCGATCGATGTATAGACCTGTGTATTCGGACCCCTGCAGCTGATAGGTGGGTGGTCAGGAAATAGTCTCGGGCTGAGTCATCAGTTGCTGGCGTTCTGGGAGCTTCAACTTCGTTGCGATATACAATGAATGCCTTACAACACATCAGGCACCACCCACATAGCAGTGAGAGCAAAGTAACATGTTCTAACTGCTCAAAACACAATTCCTGTCCGGTGCCAATGACATGCATACTACACAGCAGACAGAAAAGTGTTCAACATTGTATCTTTATCTTAGAGAGAGACCTGAAATAATCATTCTCGCAGGATTCTTGAGAAACATCTTCCAACTTGTGTCATTCGTGAGCTGGTGCCCCTCGCACTCTCCTTTCCCACTACACTCAATACCTCGCCAGTCACAAGTCTCCGCAGAAGAGACAAAACTCACCATTACTTGTAGTGAACACAACAAAGTCACAATGAAAGCCAATCATACTCTATTGCCAGCCACATCTTGTCCAGTCCTTTCCACATGAGGTCAGAAACACTAACAATCGATTTATTAGAAACGCACCAACTCAGTCCAGTTCGTGAGCCTGGTGGGTGTGGTTGGTGGTGGAGCAGCGTCTAAACGCCAGAGGTGTGGCGGAGGGTATTAAAACTCATGTGAGGAGTTGGACCATACAGACATCTGGTGAACCTCACCTGCACACAGACCACACAGTGTCAGACACACCTAATCAGACATTCGGAACCAAACTGTCACAATCCCCACTGCAGGATTGATCTCACATATTTCACTCCAATCTCTTCTATCTGACAATAATATGAACACTGCCATCCGAATCGTAGGTACCCCTCCCACCCTCGGCACTACTGAGTCATTAGGGAGGGTACGTGATGGAGAGAAGTATTTACATGGAGCGGGCAGCCCTCATTTCCTCTGGTCCACAACGGTCACACGAGCGCATGCACTGTTGCAGCAACAGGTCTCGGGTCACATGACATCATGTGACCCACGGCCAGGGTACGGTTAGGTAGACATTGGCTCGATGGAGGTTGGTCTCGATGCAGAGCTGGGAAACTAGCGAGAGCGAGAGAGGAAATAAAGGTCGCAGCAAAAGGGAGGAGGAAATCTACCATGAAATTCGATGGAGCAGGCTTCTTGAACGACTTGTGCGGCTTTGGTGGGTGTGCTGGATCGCGACGGTTAC